TCTGCGTACAGATAACACCGCACCCCGAAACTCCGGATGATCTCTCCCAACGGCTTCATGTAGATGTTAAATTACATGGGGGACAATATTGAACCCTGCGGAATCCCACAAGACAATGGTTGTGAGGAAGAGCAGTTGTCCCCCAGCAACACCTTCTGAGTACGATCCTCTAGGAAGGACCTGAGCCATTGCAGAACAGTGCCACCAAGGCCCATTCCCGCGAGGCGTCTCAGAAGGATACCGTGGTCGACGGTATCGAAGGCCGCTGAGAGGTCCAGCAGAACTAACAGGGACACACTCCCCCTGTCTAGCTCCCTGCGCAGATCATCCACTAAGGCGACCAAGGCTGTCTCGGTACCATGTCCCGGCCTGAAACCAGACTGTGCCGGATCTAGATAATCAGTGTCTACCAAGAATACCTGGAGTTGTGAGGCCACCACACGTTCCAGGACTTTGCCCAAAAAGGGGAGATTGGAAACAGGCCGATAGTTGACGAATTGAGTGGGATCCAGTGATGGTTTTTTCAACAGCAGTTTTATCACAGCTTGTTTTAAGCTGGCTGGAATTTTGCCTTCCTGAAGGGAGGCATTAACCACCACCTTCAACGACTCGGCCAATCCCCCTCTGGCCTTCTTTAGAAGCCAGGATGGGCAGGGGTCTAGGATGCATGTGGTTGCCCTCATTCCTCCAAGTATCTTGTCCACATCCTCAGGTTTCACCAATTGAAATGAATCCAACAAAATCGGATAAGCAGATGCTCGTGTTACATCCTCTGAGACTGCCGTTAACATGGTGTCCAGGTCAGAACGGATCAAAGCGACTTTGTCCGCAAAGAACCGAGCAAATGCTTCACAGCGGGCCGTCGAGTTGTCAGGGTTCCCATCCGAAGTGGTGGGATTTAATAGACCTCTGACAACTCGAAACAGCTCCGCTGGACGGTTCTTTGCGGACGCAATATTGGCCGCAAAGAACAACTTCTTTGCCGCCTTTATTGCCACGGCATATGCCCTTAGAAGGGCAACAAACTGTGTTCGATTTAACTCGCTTGGGTCCGAACGCCACACACGCTCTAGTCTCCTCTTCTTTCGCTTCATCGCTGCCAGCTCCTCGGTGAACCAAGAAGCTGGTTTAGCTCGGCTACTTGAGAGGGGACGTTCCGGAGCAATCGTGTCTATTGCCCTAGTCATCTCCCCGGTCATCTCCCTATTCCAGTGAGACACCAGGGCATCAACAGGATCACCAACCAAGGAAGCAGGAAAATCCCCAAGAGCCGTCAGGAATCCATTCGGATCCATAAGCCTCCTGGGGCGGACCTTCTTAATGGGCCCTCCACCTCTGCGGAGGTTAGGGGGTGCAGTAAGTCTAAAGCTGACCAGGTGGTGGTCGGTCCATGGCAACGGAGAGATGGATAACTCCTCAACACCGCCACCTTCCTCCCATCCCTGACAGAAAACCAAGTCCAATGTGTGTCCAGCACTGTGGGTGGGGCCAGATACCTGTTGGGACAGCCCCATGGTTGCCATGGCAGACATGAAGTCCTGAGCCGCTCCTTAGGGTAGTCTCGGCATGTACATTGAAGTCCCCCAGCACAAGAAGCCGTTGGGACTCCAATGACAGGCTCGAGACCACCCCTGCTAGCTCAGGTAGGGAGACCGTAGTGCAGCGAGGTGGGCGGTACACTAACAGAATCCCTATTCTGTCCCGGTCACCCACCTTCAGGTAGACACATTCAAAATTAGTTGACTGCGGGATGGGGCCTCTGGTCAGAGGAATGGAATTCTTATAGACAACCGCAACTCCGCCTCCCCGCCCTCCAGGTCTCGACTGGTACTGTACGGAGAACCCTGGTGGACAAAGCTGGGTCAAATTAACTCCTCCAGCTTCGTCCAGCCAGGTCTCCGTAATGCACGCCAGATCTGCCCGCTCATCCAGAATTATATCTTGGATGAAGGATGTTTTTCCGTTGACAGATCTGGCGTTCAACAGCACCAGCTTCAACCCAGAGGGACCGCCACCCTTGGTACACCCACTTACCATGTCAGGAGACCGATTACAAGTTCTTAAATTTCTTTCCCTATCCCTAGGCCGAATTTGAGTTTTTATCTTAATTTTTCCCTTATCACTAGGCCGAATTGGCGGTCTCCCTTTCCCGCATCTCCGCCTCCCCGTTATGGTTTCTATGGGGACCCCTCGGCTAATGGAATACTCCTCTTCGTCCATATTGCACTTCAGTTTTGTAATTTCATCCCATAGTTCTTTCCAAGTTGTTTGTTAAAGCCACATTTCAATACTCTATGTTAGGGTTCCTCAAGTAGGCTTCTCTAGAACCTTAGGGTTTCACAAAAAGTCACCAGGGACTCTGCAAGAGAATGTGACTTAAAAAAATAAACTTAAAGAATAGATATATTCATTTTTATGCAGGAGTTCCCTGAGATCTGAAAATGAATGTATGGTTTTAATGCATTTATTAGTTATATTCGTATCTTTTCTTGTCTTCAATGCACTCACATTGCCGAAATCATCTGAGTGCAATCCCAGCACATTGCATTACAAACGTTACTAATACAAGGAAGCATGGCCTGGAGAGTGGGATGATGGGCGGTTAAGTCCAATAAATCAGGAAAGGAGGATGCAGTGCTTATATCTGCTTTCCTTGAATGCAAGCAAATTGTATCTTTGGGCTACAGCAAAGCCCAAACCTAAACAATTGCATTTTGGCCCAGCCATCCCATTTTTTCCCTTTTTGAATGGAAGCAAATAATAGCATGACTGCATTTTTAAAGACAGAGGTCTCTAAAAGTAAAAATGAAAGGACATATTCTGCCACCATGACATAGGATGCCCACAGTGGCTGAAGTTAACAATGCAAACCAGGCAACCACGGGCATCCTGGTTTATCATTACGGACAGAGTAATGAAAAGCCAGGATGTCCAAGTAACTATAAGTAGAATGTATATTGTTGAAGCCTTTCATGGTCGGAATCACTGGGTTGTTGTAGGTTTTTCGGGCTGTATGGCCATGTTCTAGAAGCATTCTCTCCTGACATTTCGCCTGCATCTGAGGCAGGCATCCTCGGAAGTTGTGAGGTCATAAGTAGAATATGCTGGCTGATGACTCTTGCCTGTAACAGGAGCAACTTTGCTCCATAATGTATCATTTGCTCTGAGATGAGTAAATGTCAATGGTTTCTTTCTCTCCGCACAAGTCAGAGAACAAACCCAGGTCATTAAGTTTGTCTAGTTTACAGGGAAGGAAAAGAAAGAAGGAAAGGTGTTTGACAATACAATTACTTGGTTCTTTTTGAAAGTATCCTTACCTTGAGGAGCGCCTGTAGCCATGGCGATCTGAGCAGGTCATATAACACACCAACACCATTTACATCTCGCTTATAGAAGAGGCTCAGCTCTTGCAGGACCAGAGATAGTAAATGAGACAAACCTAATTCACACAAATCATAAATAACATTGAAGTTAACGGATTCCCTCAAATTTTAATCTAGAACTTTTGTTGGGAGGTTGGGGAGGTGGGGACAATACCCAAATAAGACACATTGCCACCACAATACTCTTATCATTTGGATTTTTTTTTCTTACAAAAACAGCACCATCCTACAGTAATTATATTTCCACTGAATGGTCTAAAGGCACACAGTGTTAATGAAACCAAGCTGGAAAATCTTAGACTCAACATTGTAACCAATATGCATTTTTAAAACAGTAATATTTATTTTAATTAAGCTAGATAGTTACACATAATAGAGTTTCCAGTTTGTACTATATAAAACTCTCTTAAAACAATCCCCTGCAAAATATCCTGAGAAGCACTTTAACTACCCGTTGGGTTGCTCTCCCTATTTTTTTTGTTTAAAACCCTCCTACTAGATACATCCTATCTCTGTTCATGCCAAGCGTTTATTTTTAAAATTTTAACTATTACATCTGGCCCATAGGTTTTTAAATCTTTGTGTGTTATTGTTTATATGTGAGTTATATTAATTGTATTGTTTATTTGCTTATTGCTTGTTGTTTTTACTGATGTGTTGTTGGGCTTGGCCTCATGTAAGCCACTCCGAGTCCCTTGGGGAGATGGTGGCGGGGTATAAATAAAGATTATTATTATTATTATTATTATTATTATTATTATTATTATTAAAACAATAAAATACACATATACATAGGGAAATTGGATGATGTACTGTACCATTATCATGGCTGCGCAGGAGTGCAGCCTTTTCCATCTTCTCCTTCATCCTTGGAGATTCCCCTCGTTTCTCTGAGTGAATCATCTGGAAAACAAAGCAGAATAAGAAGCTATGTATGAATCTTTAGATGGCATAATTAACAACACTCTCAATCAAGGCCACATTAGGAAGGATATACAATCTGTAAATATTAGCTATAAGATACATATAACTCTGGATCTCGTTCTCTAAAAGAATTGTTCAAGCCAGATGATACGGCATCTGGCAGGGCTCCAAATTACCTGGGGTGCTTCTATTAAAACTACTGTGCAATTTCTGACCTGAGCAGTGGGTCAGGAAGGACTGTTTCCCTATGGATTGCCTTCTACTTTCCTTCCACTTTCTTGCTGCACCATAATCAGGGTAAGAAGAAATATCCTTCCATGGAAGACTGACAGGGGAAAATTCTAAATTCTGCAGTAACATGAGTCTTGGCTTGTTTGCCAGTGCCATCTCACACTATTAGTACTGCTGTGCCAATGCTTTGTGGGGCACTTTGTGAAAGTTGAAAGTAAGAAACCTGTGGGGACTGAGTAAAAAATCCTGGTTTGTTTGTTTTTTTGTTTTTGGGTGGAGTGGAGTTTGGACTAGGAAGTACAGTATATGACATACAGGTGTATATATACATAATATTTTAATGTCACTTGAGCCAGCATGGTGTGGTGGTATGAGCATTGGACTATGACTCTCAAGACCATGGTTCAAATCCCAACTCAGCCATGAAAACCTACAGGATGACTGGTTAAGTCACATTCACTCAGATTCGAAGGAGGAGAGAGGACTGATGGTTAGATGGTGGGGTGCTACTTGCCTCACAGTTTCCAGGGAAGCTTGGTCGCAGGCTGGACAAAGGACTCCAGACTCCCAGCTTACTATGAACATCCAAGACCCAGAACACCCTTTGTCTCATAAACAGAATATCAATGGCATATAACTCCTGAAAAGCTTTCTAAGATGTCTAAATAGGTTTCCAACACTTGCTGGAAATGTAAAAAGTAAGTTGGGTCCTTCTACCATATGTAGTCGACCTGCAAACATGTCAAGAAATATTAGATTCAAATACATAAGGTGATGCAGAAAGTTTTGGAGGAAAATATACAATTAAAACCTGAGATATTTCAGCTTGGTGTGACTGATACAAATGACTATGATAAATTTTGAAATATATTATCACCACAGTCAGATTGCTCTATGTGCAGAAATGGAAGAACTCAGCAACAACAATAACAGGCGATTAGATCATAAAAATGATGTACTTGGCCAAGATGGACAAATTAACATGTTTACTAAAAGAAGGGACATTGGAAAAAATTAGAAAGACTGGAAACCTTTTATTCACTTTTTGCACGAGGAAGAGAAGAACGTGCCAATTTTGAGTTTTGAAGAATAATGTGAGGGATGTGTTCAAGAAAGGAGTAAACATTGGGAAGCCTAGAGGGTGAAGCATATGCTGTTTCGCTTTGGCCAGGTGAGGATAGATCAGAGGTGATCTATTTTTTCTTTTTCTTTTCTTTCTGTTTTTTGTGTTTCTGTTTTGTGTTTCTGTTCTGCGTTTCTTTTCTTGATTCATTTCTTTGACTTTTAATGTAAGAATCAAAGCTCTCCTTTAAATCTTTCCTCTTTTCCATGCTCCCTTCACTTGCCTTTGCTTAGTGTGTATGTGCTTATCTCCGTGGAAAAGGAGACAAATTCTCTGTAGAGCCAGAGTACAAGTTAAACACCCCTGTAGTTCCCATTAGGTTATCGAATCCACAATTCCCATTCCACAATCCCTGTTTTAATGAGCCCCCCTCCGCAAATAACCTGCTTCTCCTTTTATCTCACCTGAGTTTTTAATCAGTTTTTTAATCATTTTTTTGCACATGTAGCCTGTCTATTGTCACTGTGATTGTGTTTATTGTAATCCTATATCGTTAATGCATTCATATATTTTATGTAATTATGTTGTTGTTTGTTGCTTGTGTTTTTGATTTTATTTTGTTGTAATTTGTTGTTTGGGCTTGGCCTCATGTAAGTTGCCCCGAGCCCCGTTGGGGAGATGGTGGCGGGGTATAAATAAAGATTATTATTTATTATTATTATTGTGTTGAGAAAATAGTGGTGGCGGCAGCTAAATAGTAATCAGGGGTCCCGTTTCCTACTCAAGAGCAGGAGACAAGGCCGGAGAGTCCATTGCATAGGGGCAGCAACACCCTGTGGTATCAAAAGTCCCATTACAGATCGAAAGAAAGGAAAACCATGTTTCATTTCACCAGTGAGGTCATAGCCACAGAAACCACAATACTCACACAAATATATTTTAGACAAACATTTCAGTGGTGTTCCAGCTATAGGAAAAAAGAGACATTTCCAAGAAACAAAGATACATTTTCAACTTGGAGTAACTACCATAATCCCAAAACACAATCAATATTCTGAATGGGAATGATATTTTTAGTCCTGCAACAAGTGAAACAAAAAAACAGCACAAGAGGGTCTTGCCACCAATTTACCAGATAATATCTTCCTTAAATTATCCCAGTATTCTCCCAAATAAGTCACACATCTCCAAGCTGCAGATCAGCATATGCACATGTATCTAGAGCAACTAGAGCAAACAGTGTCATCATTGTCAAAGGCATGTGACACAAAAAGCAGCAAACAGTGTTTTGTCATGAAGGCAATCCTAGGCAATTCTCCGCAACATATGAACAAGTGCTGCTTTGGTTTTTTAAATCTGTTGTGCTGAGTGGATAATTACATCTGTATTAAGCAAAGCATTTAAAAGGATGGGAATATATTTTGTTTAAGAATACCACTCCTCAGTTTGTTATTAAAATCCTGCTTTAGACTCAATTGCAAGAATTTCTACCTAGAAACAAAAAAAGGGGAAATGGAACCAAAAGAAGAAAAATGAAAAAAAAAATAGAGAAAACGAAGCTCATTGGGTAACTTTTGCTTTCTAGAATAGATTCTGCCAGAGGCAGTAGCTCTGACTGCTGTTGAGAAAGTCTTGAGGGGAAAATCTAGGTCTCTGGAAGCAAACGGAGCACGCATCTTAGTGCTTTGTGATATATCTTGTTATTTCATCTTAAAGCAAATGTCCTTTGCTTGATAAATGTGTGATTTTTTATTTTGTTCAGAGATAAAACTGTTGCTTGTATAAATGAGAAATTGAATTGAAAGAACTAAGAGAGTCTGACCAAACAGCAAAGTGCAGAAACAGTACAAACAACATAGTATAACATAGTATATATTGTACATATAGCAAAACAGAAACAACTAACCTGGAGTAAAATGCGTTGAAAATTGTAGTTTTCAAATGGACCAAACGAAGACAGCAGCCATTTTTCCTGGATTGGTGGGTAGAAATTTGCAGGAGTACGGCAAGAGATGTATTACCTCAATCTTCTTACCAGAGACGAAGGAATTACTGTCACTTTTTACTGCCCTCCTTAGGACCTATATTTAGAACTTGCTTCCTTCCTAAACACTGAACTGGATGCTGCAATGAAAGAGTAGAAAAGAGACAAGGAATTCAACCCATGTGTAATTGGGGCACATGAAAAACGGTACTCTGGAACGCATCCAATGTCTGAAAAGTTAATTCTGTAACATGGCAAATCACTGCAGATAAGAGATAAGAAACAGCATGTGGGCATGTGACAGAAAAGAGGAGGAGAAGGGGAGTGGTTTGCCAATATAAATACCTGCCTAGGGCAGGAAGGGAAAACAAACGTGGGAAAGGAAGAATAGGGAGAGGAACTTGGTAATTCTCAATTGCTATGAATTGATAGAAGGGACAGGATTGTTGGGGTGCCGGATAAAAAAGATTCCACAAGCTTTTCAAACAAAAAACGATGAATTTCAATACCTAGACAGCAAGCATGTCGCACGATTTCCATGCAAGCTATCCCTCCTTTGGGATCTTTACACAAAATCTATTAAAATTCCATTCTTTAATATTTCATGTTTTACATCAGCTGGCTTTAGTCGCTGACGCAATCCTTAATTTATTTGGGTCAGATAGCAGCAAACTACATTCGTCACCTATCCAAATTTCTGGAGATTTTTTCTGCAGCTGAACCTAGAAATAACCATAAATTGGAAAGGCTGCTTTTTGGACAATAACTTTCAGAATCCCCCAACTGCGGCCACATTAGCCAGAGATTCTAAGAATAGCAGCCTAAGAAGTAAGGTATACAGGTCATTTCCAAGCTCTAGAAATAACTAGTCCTATGCTTTCCTAAGCTTCTCAGCATGTACTACAATTTCAGCCTATGTGCCATTCCATCCACCCCAGCAAAGCCTGAAACCGGTTTGGTAGAACAAACTGCTCTGCGTTTTGTGGTAATACTGTAATAAAGATCATATGGAATTAAGTTCTTGTGGGTTTTTTCAGGCTATATGGCCATGTTCTAGAGGCAATACTGCAGAAAATAACTAAACTATTCAATACTACATAAGTCAGGCATGGGTCATTTTGACCATCTTTTTAAAAGTGAAGTTTACTTGCTAAATTCCAAATGCAGTGCAGTCAACACTGAATCCCTCAGCATGGAAACTTCATGGCAGGTTAAAAAAATGTGCAGAGCTGATCTAGATCTTTGTTGTGACTCTGGAAAAACATGGTTTATAAATTCAATAAGCAATTATAAATGCAACATATTTGGACTTCTCAGTTGAGGTGACAGACAGGGCTGTAGCCAAGGAGGGGGTTCAGGCCTTAAACAGCCTGCAGCTCCACCCCTGTCAACCCCCCCTCCAAGTCTGATCTCCTTCATGTAGGTCTTCAACACTCCCCCCCCCCCCCAATGCTTTAACCTTTGCCTGCCAGATATGGGTGGGCCAACTTGGTTGCTTCCATTATATCGGCTATTGATGCAAGTAATGACAGTGTGAAGAAACGGTCAAAATTTGCTTGAGACAGTGATTGCAGTTGCTTCTCATAGACTTAGCATGGGGATTTTGTTAACCAGTTAAATCCATGAGTAAACCAGGTTTTTTTAATCTGGAAAATTTGTGGGGGATGTTGAACCCCTACACCCCCCCCCCCCATAGCCCTGTTATATATACATCTGTTCAAGGCTGACTTGTAAAAGCAACATGCAGGCAGCTTCACCAACAGCAATGGAATATTATAGGCTAAATGTGTACATCCCATTTTTCTGAAGTAAGCTTCAAGAAAGGTTTACAAGGCACAGGGAAGTAGTTCAGGAACTGCAAATGTTCCTCCCCATTATCTGTGACCATTCAAAATCCAACTTGAATACGTGCATAGAACTTTATTTATTTATTTATTTATTTATTTATTTACAGCATTTATATACCATTTTTCTCACCCCTTAGGGGGACTCAAAACTTTACAATGAATTCCTTCAAGATATTGACATACTGATGGAAGAATATGACATGTGGTGTTGAAAATGGAAAAAGATTGCACCTGCAGAAAAACCATCAAATGCATTGGAAGCATATCTTGTCTGTGATCGAAAGCTTCCCCCCCCCCCCAAATGTGAAGAAACTTCTTCAGATTTCTGCAACATTTGCCATTGTCAACAGCTACAAAATGAAAGATCATTTTCAACACTTAAACCTTTGAAAACATACATAAGAAGCACAATGGGGCAAGAAAGACTGACCGGACTTGCATTTTTGAGTGTCCACTGAAGTTTATTGATGGTACCTGATTTCTGTCAAAGTGTGTTGACACAGTTTTCAAGTGTTTCCAACAGATGTTGTGGTATTGTTTTGTAATTATAAATTACCAATTAACAGTCATTTTCAGTTATTTTAAGACTTGAAACTTTGTAACTAAAATAGAAAATCGATTTAATTAAGTCTAAATAAAAATATAGAATGAACCATACTATTTAAATTGTTTTGTGTTATGGAACTGCTCTTCATAATTTGCTAAAAAATTGTCCCGTCCCCCCCACACAATTTTTTTCTAGGTATGTCCCCCCCCCCCCCCCGTGTCAGGAGCAACTTGAGAAACTGCCAGTCACTTCTGGTGTGAGAGAATAGGCTGTCTGCAAGGATGTTGCCAGGGGATGCCCAGTTTCAGATATGGTGATTGCTGGTTTTTGAAGTTGAAGATTAAACTAAACTCTTTTTACTCAATTAATTGGACTGTAAGATTGACTAATTTTCTAGTATGGGAAGAAAAAGACCCTTTTACCTATATGCTGATAAGCCCAAGGCTGCAACCAGCATATGGGAAAAGGAAGTGAACTGATGATGGATCTTATTTGACCCAAAATGCACCTTCCAGCTGGGCAAGTTGTGAGCTTAATGCTAGAGAGATACTCAGCAGCGAAGAAAATATATTTCAGCAATAAAAATCTTTACCTCCTGCTTGCTTTTTGACACTACTTTGACAGCTGTCAAAATGCGTATAGAAAGAAGTGTATCTGTGGAACAACTAGCCAAGTTGATTCATTTGAACTAAGGAATTCTTGAAGAACTGAGGCTGCTGAGAATGGATATAAATTAGGTGAGAGGTGATTTGAAGCAAGACCTGAAAACTAGCATTCCAAAAAATTTTGCAGACAGAGTTCTCCACATTATTAAAGCAATCAATACAAATGTGGATTCAAAAGACCACAGTTCTTGTTCATCATCATCGCAGGGAAGATCAATGAGTTGGAAGTGGCTGCACAAAATAATGCTGCTCTTAGTGAAGTTGAGACAAATAATGAGATTGTGGGGAAAAATGCAAGGAACACCTTTGTGAAGAGATCCTGCTAGGATTGGTTGAGATTGGAATTAAATATACTGTGTAGAAGAAGAGTTGGTGATGATTAAAGAGAACAATACTGCCTTTTAGAGAGCAGAGTAGAGAACTTTAAAACTGTTTAACAAGAGCAGTTTGAGGTCACTGAGCAGTTTGCTCGAGAAGAATATAGAACAATGGCCACATGGTCTTTTGGGAAGATGCTAGGCCTAAAGGACTATATGTTTTGGAGTAGATATGTCTTTGCCATGAGGTATAAATAATTATAACAGATAACAGCTGGATTTGACATGATTTGAGATTAATAAACAGAACTTTTTTGGATTAGAAATTTTGAGATGATAAGATTTGATGTCTGGAATCGGGAAGATAAAATCATAGAGATGGAAAAGATAATAAGGTCCTGCCAGTCCAACTCCCTACCATTCTGGAACACACACTCAAAGCATTCTTGAAAGATGGCCATCTAGCCTCTGTTTAAACACCTCCACAACACCCAGAGGAAGCATATTCCACTGCCAAACACTTCTTGTTGTTAGGAAGTTTTTTCCTCATGTCTAGGTGGAATCTCAGTTTGAATCCATTGCTCCATGTCTTATCTCTAGAGCAGTAGAAAACAGCTAGCCTTTTTAATCCTTGACACTGTGTTTTGGTCTGTCCTCTCTCTGTCCCTAATCACTTTAGAGTCTGTGCTCTTTGATTTTGAATGCACAATGTAGGTAAGTTCTTAGAGATACACTTATTTATTTCTTTACATTTATATGCTGCCCTTCTCACCCCGAAGGGGACTCAGAGCGGCTTACTATCTATCTATCTATCTATCTATCTATCTATCTATCTATCTATCTATTTATCTATCTATCTATCTTATCTATCTATCTATCTATCTTATCTATCTATCTATCTATCTTATCTATCTATCTATCCACACACATACATACAATATATTATATTATTAGCATAGTACAATATCAGTATTAAATGTTACTGTATTGTACTATGCCATTATATTGTAACAACATTAGTAATATTACATGTAATATAAGTATATAATTATAATATCATATTATTATTAGTATTATATTGCATTACATTATAATATTATCGATATTATATGTATATACAACATATTATTTTGTTAAGTAGTGAGATTTTTCTCTTTTGCCTTTTTTAAGCTGGAAAATTTAGTAACAAAGAGATGCAAACAGGAAGCTTAATTATAACAATAAGGTAATTCTATTAGTATTTTCAAAGTTTTGAGAGGCTATTTGGATGCATTGCATTAGGTTAGAAAGATGCATAAATTTAAATGAATACTAGGATTTGAAGAACAGTAGGATTAGATAACACAGAAGTTTACTTAATAGACATTGTAGAGGAAATAAGACAACCTTATTGGCTGAAAAGTTGGGAGACATTGCTGTTGTCACCACTGCCTTTAAGGTATTCATGTTTTAGTTTGGCATGTTAGTTCAGCTTGTGCAGTTTCACCTTATGTATGACTTTATATATTGAAAATGGCACTTGTCACTAAAATATTTTTAAATACATAGAGCATATTCTGTACACTTATAATGAAAAGGCCTGAATATTTCCTCTCGCCCAGTATACAGACTCCCAGAAGTCTGGGAAGAGTAGTAGGCTTAGTTGGGTATCACTTACGAAACCATCGCTTACAAAACTTGACTAGGTTTTATTACAGGCACGTGTGCCTTTCTGATCAAGGGAGACTGTGCTTCATGCATGTGTGCTGTTTCCAACTTAATGCCTCTCTTTCTGCTTATCACACATTTAATCTGACCGCTCATTTGATTTGCCTAAAGGTACTGCTCCAGAACTTGACCAATCAGCTGAAATGCACGTCAAGATAGACAAGTGGCAACAGAGTTATCCAACTGACACAATACAAACTGGGGCAGACCAGCATGGGACTCTATACCTCTTTCATATGTTCAAGGCTATACAACATCCCATTTCAGTGATTCCAGGATAATGGTAGATCTGTCTTTTTGAACACTGTGGCACCTAAGTCATTCAAGTCCAGTATTCTTCCTGATAGTCCTAAATGGGAGCTTGTTACAGTCTTGCTGAGCCCACTTTCCTACAGGGTGCACTCAAAAAAAGAAAGCACTCTTGACAAAACATACTTTCATCCACATAAGTCAGATGAAGGACTGCAACAGTGGTTCTAGAAATCATAACACCATGCTGGTAATAACTAGAGTTGTGCGCAGAATTAATTTCTCCTGTTTCATCTGTTTTTTCGTTCCCTTTGGGAACACGGAATGGGAAGCCCCCTCCTAGTAAGAAAATCAGCTCAACACGAAAGCAAGCAGGAACCGATGACTGACTCCCCTTCTGCTTTCATGACTAGATGATGCTGCCAGCTCAACCGAGCTCCAGGTCATCGGCTCTTCCTTCCCTGGGCTCCTTGAAATGCACAGCCAAGGGCCAAGGAGCTCCCCCATCCCTCCCTCGGTCTCTTTCTCCATGCTGCAGAAACCTGGATAAGGACAAACAAAAAATCCCAGAAAGAGGGGTATCTTTAACACTCCTAGGTCCAGCCTCCTCCTCCTTCACCACCAACATGGAAAACGTTAGCAGCAGCAACAACCAGGCTTCCAGTTCGTGTCCACAGAAGGGGGGGCGAGGAACCAAGGCTAAGTGCGCACAGCCAAGGGCCAAGAAACTCTCCCTCTCCCTCCCTCAGCCTCTCTCTCGGGGAGATGGACTCTGCACTGCAGGAGCCTAGATAAGGACAAACAATTCCAGAAAGAGGGGTATCTTTAACTCTCCCAGGTCTGGGCTCCTCCTCCTTCACCATCAACATGGAAAACTTCGGCAGCAGCAGCCAGGCTTCCAGCTTGTGTCTGTGGAAGGAGGTGGCTGGGTGGAACCAAGGCTAAGGGCACGCAGCTAAAGGCCAAGGAACTCTCCCCTTCCTCCCTTAGCCTCTCTCTTGGGGAGAAGGACCTGGCGCCGCAGGAGCCTCAAAGCCAAGCCACGTCCTGGCGTCACAGGAGCCTCAAAGTCAAGCCACGTCCTGCCTCTCCTCTAGAATAGAAAACAGCTTTAAGAAGCATTAAACCCGGTCTCCTCTTCTACAAAGGGAAAGGACCCTGAAAAAGTGGTAACTCTTGATGCTTTTTAAAATCCAGGGCTTAATGAAGGACATGGAAAGGGTGCCTGTGGGAAGTCCTCCCAAATGGATGCATTCTTAACCCATTGCTGCCAATGGGTCAAAAAGAACCAATTTTTTTTTGGATGCTGAACAAAAACCCCATTTAGCAGAAAGCAGAAATGGATAGCAATTCACCCCGAATGCACAATCCTAGTAATAACTTTGATCAGATCTACCACTTACCTGGCTTTCAACTGCACAGAGAAGTTGAATCCTCACTTAAAATGAAACCATATTTAAAATGCAGATGTTCTATTTCAAAAGGATAAACCACTGGAAACATTTTAGAGCCCATCTGTTCATAAACACATAGCTCACTCATTACCACTAAGTTAGGACAGAAGATATAACTGTGCCGTTCTATCGTTCTATCCCTGGCCTATTTCATACAATAGGTCAAACAGAGCAAAATTTCACATTACTTTAAACTAGAGAGTGGGTGTTTCCAATTTTCTCCTCACAACTGTATTGAAGACAAAAGAGAGGGGGGTACATGAGGCTGCAGATAGCTGCTGCTTGTCCACATAGGCATGAAGCAAAACAATTTTGAAATGAACATTGTTTTATCATGCCAGAAGAAACCAGCAACGATTGCCTTGAAGTAATTATGGGACACAATAGTAATATCTTACACCAAATGAAAAAGAACAGACCCTTTTACAAAAGAAGCTTAGTAAACCTACATCTCTGGGAGCACGAAATCAGTCTGGCACTTTGAAATAGAAATGGATATAGGCTGCGACTGAACTTTTGAAAAAATACATATAGTGGAACGCTAGTGTTTAAATATACATTTAACTGTTCCCACTGTAATGAATTTCATTTGAAAATGAAGTTATATTAAATTTATTTGCAGGATTTTGGATATCATTCATGAATTCTCATTTCCCAGAAACAAATAAATTAGCTTACTTGTTATTCAATTAGCTGGATTTCAGAGCAGCGGTTGAGATGGTGTCTTACTTATCCTAAAAGGGAGCATGGTTTCTTGTCAGATTTTACATGTTCCAATCGTATAAAATTGCCAAGGAAAACCTTTACTGGATATTTGCAATCTCAGTCACCTTACTGCTCCAACTAATCTAGGGACATCCTTTCCTTTTTAATCCGTTGAAACATAACCTTAGCATGCCTCATTACCAAAGAGAGAACAAAGCTCCTTAACAATTCGCTCTTACAAAGATCAACTTCAGCATACCTTCTGCATTTGAAATGGTGATTCTGGCACACTTGGTTATTATTACAACTAAGCAACATATTTCATACTGTAAAGTGGAATATTTTAGGAGCATTACCTCTAAAGAGATTCGTGTAAAAATTAAATTAAGACACGATCAGAATAAAAATTATTTTTTGTCACACAGGAACATTACACTATATCTGCACAGCTTTTGCATTCAGCCTCGACTGTTGGAAAAGGCCAAGTCCATTTTAATGATGGGATTCTTTTACACTAATAATTACATCCCAATAAAATGGACTAGGAATAATCCACTTAGACATTTAAGTGGTTTCGTTCATTAGTGAAGAGAATTAAAACAATGAGTTCTATGGAAGAAACAGCTAGTTGTTAAACTTTATTTTCAGTCTTACGAAGTACATAAGACGCAGAGTTATGAAGACTTCTAAATTACTCGTTTCCAAATTATTATAAACTATCAGATGAGATTCTAAATAAATCCCTTTGAGTACATTGCTAAGATTTACTTTCTAATATATAGGCTTGAGGCAGTACCCTTAAAACCGAGTGGGCATCAGGCTGTTTTCCAGATATTGGACTACAACTTCCATCAGCCCAGCTAGTATAGCCTATAGAGAAGAATGCTGGGAGTTCCAATTCAGAAACATCTGGAGGGTTGCCTGTTCTCACTACTCATTAACATTTTTCTGAATAAATGCGATTTTCAGAAACATTTACTATCAATAAATTGGATTATCAGAAACTGCCAGCTGCAGAAAATCCTGTTGATTGAGAGGTCGACAGTTCAAGCCTGGGGTTGGGCTGAACTCCTAACCATCAGCCCAGCTTCTGCTCACCTAGTAGTTCGAAAACAGCAATGTGAGTATATAAATAAATACCCCTTTGGCAAGGAGATAATAAAAGGCGTGCGTCTAAGGACAATAAAGCTCCTCGACATAGAAGATGGAGAGACAACTCCTCCCTGGTGGCCGGAGTCGAGCACAGCCTGCAGATGCCAGAAACAGCAAAAGATGGGAAGCCTTTACCTCTGTTTATGTACTGTTTGTCTTTGTTAATTGTGTAACGGCATTGAATGTTTGCCATATATGTGTACTGCAATCTGCCCTGAGTCTCCTTGGGGAGATAAAGAAGAATATAAATAAAGTGTATAATAACAATAACAACAACAACAACAATATATTTTATTTATATTCTGTACTACTACTAGCATGTTGAAGCAAAAATTCCCTGTGAGGTGTACACCTTCAAGTTATCTAATGATAACACTATATAATATGATTTTTCTTCCTGGATCATAAATGTCATGTCCTAATTAGTTCTATCATAAAAACAGTGGAAAAGTTTAGTAAACTGCAAAAAAATTGTTTTTGCGGGACATTCTGCAGCACATTTTGCTAAAAATTTTCAATGAATATCTCATTGGTTCTCAACCAATTCAACATAGTTTGTGGGAGCCACAAAAAAAGTTTTTGGAATATAAGAATTGCTATAAAAATAAGTTCCGCACAACTGAACAGGAAATAAGACTTTCATACCAGGAACAATTTTTTTCTGAATTAAAGGTGAAATTATTGATTGCCCTGATGAAAGAGTAATATGGCACTGGCAACTAACTACTAACACAACAGAACATCCTTACCTTCCCATCCTCCCTCTAGTGTTCTGCAGAAACCAAAACCCCTCTCTAAACATTTCTCCAGCTCCTTGGAAGATGTTCTCAGTGGCGGCTGTAGATATTGGCCTTTCTTAAATGTTACCTTACAAAATATATCACATGACACATTTCTGATTCTCTTTCAATTACGAACTTACATTTTCATAGTGTTAAGACACCACTGGAACCTGGAATCATCACTTCAATCATTTCTTTAATCATTCCAGTATACAAATAAGTACAATTAGCCTGCAATTAATGACTTCATCCTACATGGGTCTATTTTTTTTTGTTCTAGTTCTATGATACATGCTCGAAGTTGAAATCTTTAAAAAAGATGAATCACTTGAAGAAAACTTTTTTGTTAGCTGACTACCAAGGCTTACTAGCAACTTCAGGTGTATGCTACTATTAACCATACATCTGTTAATTAAGGTAGCAATTACACACACACATAGACTAAGCAGACTGTCTCCAGTTGACTGAGGTCTGTAAGGATATTTAGTTGAATGGACTTTCAACCATATCCCTACATCTCCCACTATAGTTTGCAAGGATCTATAAAAGAATACACTGGGGACTGTTGGAAGCTGAGATTGTGTTAATACCTTTGTTCCCAATATACTTTTAATTCTCATTGGTTCAGGCACATTATACTGTGCTGCAGAAAACAAAATCTGTATAGAGGACAGAAAGCTGGATATAAGTATAGATTACAAAGATAACTGTAGATATTTCCTTTGCTGCTCTAGATGCAAAATATTTACCATCCAAATCTGACAGACTTTGGCCTTCATCATATGATTTTGGAGTAGTGTTCACCGGTCTATGGGGTTTTGGCCATCTTACAGATTTGGGGCTGTGTTGTGCCTTATTCATCTGCTACTTGAACTATTGTAAACTTCTGAGTGATTGTCAAATTGCACCAAAATGAGATTTGCACCAATGGTCAGACAAGGAATTACCACGGCATTAGTAACGTTCTTTATTATGAAAACTGCTCCATTTAAATTCACAGCTCCCACAAAAATTTTTTTTTTAAATAAAGGAGCTACACACAAGCCATGATTGAGATGTTTAGAAATTATTTGCACTGGTATACTAACTCTAGTTCATATTAGCCAAAAGTGTATTTTACATATCTTTCACTCATCTGTAATAGACCTGGTAAAGAACAGCACCAGTTTGATCCAAGATGTCAGACAACACAATTTGATTTCACTCAAGGAAACAGTCACAGGCAGAATGCATGAATGGTGTGCATGTGTTTCAACAAAAATAGAATTAAAAAAGATTTACACCTTGCCAAATAGGCATAGTAGCTCCATGGCTCAGCATGCTAAGCCAATAACAATGTTGACAAAGAACATATTTTTTTTAGACCACATTTACACCATTTTATAGCTTGGGTTTTAACAAGCAAACAGTTCCACTTATAAGTTGAAGCTTTTGTTCCTCTCAAGTCCTGGATTGCCAAAGCTCAAAGGAAGGAATTTTTTGAGTTCTGTAAACATATGAAGTATCAAATTCAGTGCTGATGTTCATGATGAGTGCTCCTTGATGTTGACCAGTAAGCAAAATAGAGGAGTTGGGGGGGGGGGGGGGGGGGGGGGGAGAGACAGTGCCTGTATTCTTACCATTCTGGTATTAATAAATTCACACCACTGAAATAGCTTCTGTTATAATCTTACTTACAGATAGACGTCCATAGGCCTTTTTGAGCAAGAAATACCACAGCTTTTCTTTTTTTGTTTAGTAATGCACCAACGTCGGCAGTTAACTTGAGAAAGACACTGAGTGGTTCTATGTTTGATTTCAGTTATTCAAAAAGCACAACTTTGACCACCTCTTCAATGTAAGAAGCACATGCCTGGACTATGCATTTACATACGCAACACATAATTCTTTCTTGTCAGTTGCCCTGCAAAGTATCTTTGCGTCCTCTGTCTCTTCCCTTTTGGGGTGGGTCATCTTAGGGTTTTGTTTCTTCCATCCTTAAAAAAGGTCTCAGAATTATACCCACAACATGATGGTTTTTCTCATCATTTTAAGTGATTTCAGGAAAGAAGTACAGTTCTGTTCAAAAGAACCTTCCATATTTAGACGAAAACTTTAGGTCAGCTTTTCATGTTGAATCTGGTAATAACATGCCTGAAAACAAAGGGTTTTAAAAACAGTTTTAGTGGAAATAATTACTTGTGCTGTGTTCATCAGCTATAGCTGAATTCTACACTCTTTAAAATCAATGAGACTCAAACCTAACAAAGAAACTGTGTTTTTATTCAACTCTCAGAATACAGACTACAATCAGTTTTCCTAGCCTCCAATGTGTTAGCATTTAACCATCATGATAAACTCTAGATAAACTCTAGATTCATGAAGTTTATCTAGTTTCTAGATAAACTCTTCATGAATGAGTGACAAAATAAGAAAGCTGTTTTACACCCCTAAACATCAATACCAATTGTGTACTAATATTTTTATCTATATTTTCCAGTCTAGAATGCCATTCAACTATTAGTCTACTTTAATCTAAGAGCATAGTTTTCAGAATTCCATGTTAGAGGTTGGTGACTACTTTCAAATAAAAGGACCAAAGTCTAGTTATGAAAGCTGACAAGAGATGCAAGTGAAACTTCATCCAAGTCTAGATGTAAACATGCCAGGTAGACATTATAAGGAAGATAGACTATCTAAGGCTTGCCTTCAAAGTAGTAAACATAATGCCTTGCTCTCCATGCTGAAGAAATGGGTCCATCAGGTCCTCAATCAAGTGTACTTCAGATCCCAGATTCCTTATTCTGGAATAAAAAACCCTCATATATTAAATTCAACCAACCAGTTTTCTGTAAGGTTTTGCCAAGAAATCAGCAAGCAAGGAAAACATCTCTAATAAGTACCCACATGCAATTGTCTCTACACATTTGTACTTTTGACTTTTGTGGATCTAATTATTCACTCATTTGATTTAAAATGTTATTTCAAGGAATCTCTAGGTCCTACAGTACAACTCTATGGGCAACTTCCTTCAGTCATATTGGAGGACTTAGGGATTTTTTTAGAAATAACAATTCTCTAGGAATCTCTAGGTCCTTTAATGTGATTTTGTGTTCAGCTACTAGAGGAAGTTGATCACAGAGTCATGTTAGAAGACCTAGAAATTCCTAGAGAAGTATTCTCTTTGGTTTTTTTTTTTAAAAAAAAGCAATTTCTTTGTATTGTCGAAGGCTTTTATGGCCGGAATCACTGGGTTGTTGTAGGTTTTTTCGGGCTATATGGCCATGTTCTACAACATGGCCATATAGCCCGAGAAAACCTACAACAACCCAGCAATTTCTTTATTTGGTGTTTTTTCACTTTCACAGTGGTCCTGTGCCCTCAACAGCAGTGAATATGGATGACTGACTAAACACTATTCTATAGTACAGTGGTTCTCAACCTGGGGTCCTCAGATGTTTTTGGCCTACAACTCCCAGAAATCCCAGCCAGTTTACCAGTTGTTAGGATTTCTGGGAGTTGAAGGCCAAAAACATCTGGGGACCCTAGGTTGAGAACCACTGCTATAGTAGAATTGGGTTTGTGAATGTATGTGTGCCTCTCTGAATCGCAAAATCCCATACCAGTGATGATGCCAGCTAAAGTTAAGAGCTGTAACCCAACTTCTGGAACACTGCACTGTTCTCTATCTGTAACACAGACCTTTCTCTTGCTATTTTTTTTTTCCTTGAAAGTTATGTTTTTACACAAATATATCAACAAACATGCATGCTGCCAATTATAGAATTATCTGTTTATTTTATTTTTAACAATTTGGACTGATCCCTTCATTTCAGAGTGATTTTTCCAAGTGGCAAATTTTAGGATGTGATATCATATCTAAACACAGTATAGTGCCAGGCTGCGAATAGCCAAAGGCCAACATTATAATTATACGGGTAAAATCTGTCTTAGCACCTGCATGACATCCTTTCTCATTATTCTCATTACTGTGAACAATCTGCTCCTAATTTTCAGACTTGTGGGTCATTTCTGCCTGATTAGTTTTTAAAGCAATACATTGACACTCTTTAGTTGACATCAGTGGCATTCAACCTTCAGGCTCTGTAGATATTCTAGACTTCCGCTGCAAAAATTCTTTATCATTTACCCCAAAAATCAATCATGATTTTTGGGCATTGGCATGTAAAACATCTGGAGCACAAAAAGCTGAGAACTGCTAATTTACATAATTAATATGACTCCCACTGAAGATCAGTAGCTGCTGCAGGATTAACACCATCTTGCAGTCCTATGTGAGCTCTATTTAGTAGAGAAAGTCTAACATTTTTCCAAAGTATGCTGTTATAATGCATATAATTGTTGCTGACGAGTGACACATCATAGATCATTATTTCCCATGGATCATATTGTTTTACATCTTTGGGTGTTATTATTGTTCTGTTTTACAACCCTCAATGCTAAGTCATTCATCTTGCTTCCCTTTCCCCTTGTTGGAATACACATTTATTGTTGTTAAGATATCAAATAATAGGACAAAGTTGCCCCATTCATCCTTTTAAAAGATATAGGGGTGGTGTGCACTGGAATAGGATGACAACCAACAGGGTAAGATCTCATCACTGCGTAATGGGCAAAACCTCAAATGGGAGACACAACTTGTCACATATTTACCTGGAATTTTCAATACAATAATTAATTGTAGCTTTCACTGCATTTTAAAAAGTTTTGCCCACCTGGCTCGTAGCACCACATATAGGAAAACAGGAAACAAATCATCCATGGACCAAAGGAAATCTTCATGAAGATTCTCAAGTACATTTTGGGAGATCTCCTCAAAAGTCTGCTGGATCACCTTCAGTTTGTCAGCAGGTGTAAAAGTTGTACTATTGGGAAAACATTTTTATAATGAAATTAAGGCACTAAGGTATCTTTTATTTTTGAAGATGGAATCAAGCCTTTCCTCTGATCTTTGGGAACATGTGAGAGAATAAAACATGCATCACATCAATGAAAGCTAAGAACAGATGGAGAGTTCTAGGACTCAGAAATACTTAGGAAAGTTAAAAAAAACTCAACATTTTTCAATCTTTTATAGAATGGATCATCAGAGGGATTTTCTGTCTCTGTAAGACTCCCATTAACAATTCCAAGAGCACTGAAACAAACTAATAAGTTAACTTGTTTTCTGTAAAGCGAGATTCAAAATGGCTAAAAACTTCAAAACATTATATTGACTTTGACATATAGTTTCATAAGTTAATAGTACAAATATGTTTTGGAAAGTGTTAAGCTTATGTGTGGATGATCCCAGCTCCATTTCTATAGTGTCCTCATGTCTTATAGTTCACAATTCCAAAAACAGAAATTAAACATTTTGGAGAGAACAGAAACTGACATTATGGTGTAAGCAATGAATTCATTTATATTGAAATAAAATTAGCCAACCCCCCCAAAAAAACAAAAGGTTTCAATGCCACGCGTTGTATATACTTATAGCACAATTATATGCATGTGTACCCAGAAATGTTTAATTTGACTTGTATGTTTAATTTGACTTTTTTTGTTGAATATAGCATAACCGAAAGGCCACAGTCTTCATATCAACAAGCAAAGGTAGACCTATCGTACAAAGATCAACAGGGCTACTTTAGTTTGGTGATAAAAGAACTAGACAGGCAGGAAAATGAAAAGTCTTAATTTGACATTACCTGATCTGTTGTAAGCATTCCACCGCAGAAGCAAAACAGGCATTCTTTGTACTTGGCAATACCTAACAATAAGAATGAAAAGCAGGGATTGTTGCCAACATCATCTCCAAGGATGTACTGAATATGAAGGACTAATTAAGTTTATGAATTTCAAAAACAGAAATTCTAGGTTAGCACTTGTTGTCTAACACTGATTGTTCAATTGTTCCATTCATTCCGATTTGGAAAAGCCTTCTCCAAGGAAAGAAATGAGATTTTAAAAATGATTTTGATCAAGCTTTATGTTGAATGGGCAGATTAGCAGAAATTTGCTTGATTACTGATTTATTCATTGGATTCACACCCCTCCTTTTTCCAAGACTGGGATTCAATAGTGCTCTGACTTGAAGTACCATTGATCTTTCTTTTAAAACACTTTGGGTTCTGATTTGTTACCTGAGAAAGGCGTTAAAACGTTTTTCAACATATCCTCTTGTAAGTGTGAGAGGTAGTTTTTGTTTACTAAATGATTAAAAACACTATTTATGTGCCCTTTTAACTATACTGGGAGGCTGAGATAACTACTAAAAAGGGATTCAAATGTAATGTTTCATGTAAATGAGAATAGTTATAGTCTACAGGACACGAGTAACTGAAAATACTGTATTGACAGCAGGCAATAGTCTATTAGTTAGTACATTAGAAATGAACCAAATGACTTTGCATACAATTGAACCTAGAAATGTGTTGATTGTGTCAACCATACTGGGCTATGTGGTTCAACAATCTGATTCAGAATAAAACTATTTCAGATGCTGCTAGAAAATCCTGTAACAAACAATTGGTGTTTGTGTGTGCAAATGACACCAGAGTATATGGCCACAGCTGCTCCACAACTAATGATATATCAGATTGTATCTTCTTATAAAGCAATCATCTGGAAATTATTTTACAATCACATCAATGAAGTAGAGACAGAAAAGATAACTGTAAAATTACATGTTCTTGGAGCCATGCATCTGGATTTAACTGTCACTGGAAGAATTGTAAACTGTGAAAATGATTGACATACCATTAAGAAAAGTTTTTAATGCTAATCAAAAGAATGCTGTATTAAAATTGCCACACAAACCTTTTTTTATATAAAGGTCAAAACCCACCAAAGAAACATAAACATATGCAGGTAAAAATCCTGCAAAGGAAATATACCTTTTTATTTTCCCCAAGGACAGATGTAGTTGTTGGCCAAAATTTCCTAGAAAAAGGACCACAAATAGAGTTAATGGATATTTATTTGTTTATTTTACCACTGAAAAGGATTGTTTAAACTCACAAAACAAAGAATCAGAGTGTATAAAGGGGAACCAATGAATGAATCAAACAGCAAGGAGTTGGAACCAGTAATAACATCCTGAATCATGCTTACGTTTGTACTCCCAAAAAGCTCAAGAGTGCTGTGTCTGGTTGTTTATTCAGACGAAGGACACACTCCCAGTAAACATCTTCCTCTCGCTCATTGTCCAAGGCATACAGCATAAACAAAGGAGGGTAGAGTCGTGGTAGCAAAACTGGAAGTAGCAACCCAGAGCTTGTGACGACATAACTTAAAAATAAAACATTAATAAAACTTTTATAAAACAAAAAAATAAACATTTTAGATAAAAATATCAAAGTAGGAGAGTTCACTGAAAATTCACTAACTCATTCTCACGTATCAATATCAATATCAAATATTGAAGACAAAGAAAGAAAAATAAGTTAAGGAAAGGGAGGAGGTCAGCATTTCAATCCACTCTGCTTTTTGGACCTTTCCCATCAGCCCCTTGCATCAATGTTGATATTTATCGTAGACATCATAACCATCTAATACCTATGTAAGAGGGAGACTGAAACAATGATGTCATTATCAGGCAGAGGAACACAGAACAAAGCCAATCCTTCTTTCCCTGGGGCTGACAATGCTGCTACACACACACACACACACACAGCGTATATCTGGAGCACACACTTGCTTGTCCCAATAGAATGCAGATTACATCTGGGATTTTTTTGTTGTGCTCACAATCGAAAGAAGAAGGATTGAGGTGGCTTTAGTTAACAGCATTGAAGTTATCTGCCCTTGCGCTTTGCTACTCTGCTGCTGAATACACATGCCCAGTGTAAAATACATCTCACCACGTTAAAACAATGGATGTGGCTCTTATTGAGACATGACGCATTCTCACAGGATGTCTACGCCCACCACTGAAGATCATACTGTTCAGCAAGTATTGCACCATCTGACATCTGCCAGGAAGTAGCAGCCAATAATGGAAGGATGAAGGCAGTGACATCTCCGGCCCATCCTCTGTTCAGATATCAGCCAGCAAGCCAGCCCCTTAAATCAAGAAATAGCTAAGATACTCTTAGGAACACCCCAGCAAGCGAGAGTCCAAAAGTGGCAGGCAAAAACCCGGTACCTCAATCCATGGCTGAGACCAGATGAGAAAGTCCCCCCTGGGTAGACAGAAGACTGGGCAACTTGGAAGGCACTGAACAGACTCTGCTCTGGCACCACAAGATGCAGAGCCAATCTTAAGAAATGAGGCTATGAAGTGGAGTCCTCAACATGAGAGTGTGGAGAAGAGCAAACCACAGACCACCTATTACAATGCAGCCTGAGCCCTGCCACATGCACAATGGAGGACTTTCTCACAGTGACACCAGAGGCACTCCAAGTGGCCAGCTTCTGGTCAAAGGAAATCTAGTATAATGCCAAATTTTTAACTTTGTTTGTGTTCTTTTTAAAATATATTATAACTATACCCTTATTTTGCTTCTGACACGAATAAATAAATAAATAAATAAATAGTTAACAGCACTGTAACAATATGAAAACAAACATCCTCTATTTATGGAGGCCGAAAAAGGATAGAAAGATTTGTTTATTGTTTAGGCCTCTGACCATATCAACAGTAAAAGACAAAATACAAATATACAAAGACACAATAAACCAAAATCCCTAACCTAACACTCCTGTAATAGTTAGCTACAATACATTTCTGCACTTAAAATTTGAACAAGTAATACGTTTGGTAAAATCAGATTAAATTACAAAATGATTTAAAATACATTCACCACCATGACAAGAAACCTATTTTGTGAGAGAACGAGATATCTCAAGTGGGCAGCTTTTATAAATAATTTGGCTATGCAGTGGACTGAGTTTAAATTCTTCCCAGAAAGAAAATAGGACAGTTTAGCATTTGGGATCCCAGTTGGTTATTCTAAACAGAAGTGGTTGTAAATATTGAGATCTCACCTTGGTATATAAACAAACAATCAAACAAAATATGCATGATGCCCTCTTTGGCAGATGCAGCTTCTTTCATGATAAGGGATGCTTTGACATCGTCCTGTTCTTACCATAGAATTAAGTTGCTCAAATCCAGCTCTGGCAAAAGCTATTCTCTGTCCCTGTGTGAGGTTCATCTTAAGATAAATTTCTGTGCCATATATATATATATATATATATATATATATATATATATGGCACAGAAATTTATCTTAAGATGAACTGGCATGCATGCATGCATGCATGCATGCATATATATATATATATATATATATATATGCATGCATGCATGCACGCATGCTAGCCAGTTTAAAGATTGGAAGCTGGCCAACAAAGCTAGGTCTGTTTGTGTGCTGATTTATTTATTTATTATTTATTTACTTCATTTGTTGACCGCCGCTCTCAGCCCTGGGGCGACTCGCGGCGGTGTACAACATGTAAAAACAGTCTACAAAAACATATAAAATCACAACAACCGAATTACACATTAATCTAAATCACACTAATAGATCCGCGCCATCACAACATGGAATCATAGCCAACCTCATCATCCATAGTCCGTTCCAAATATCATTACCAGATTTGTGTGGGTCTCAATTGAATGCCTTCTCGAATAGCCAGGTCTTTAGGCTCTTACGAAAAGCCATAAGGGAGGGCGCCTGTCTGATGTCAACAGGGAGGGTGTTCCACAGCCGGGGGGCCACCACTGAGAAGGCCCTCTCTCTCGTCCCCGCCAGACGTGCCTGTGAGGCGGGCGGGATCGAGAGAAGGGCCTCCCCGGATGATCTCAAGGCCCTCGTGGGCTCATAGGCCGAGATGCGGTCCAAAAGGTATTTTGGGCCGGAACCGTTTAGGGCTTTGTAGGATAACACCAGCACCTTGAATTGGGCCCGGTAGCAGATCGGCAGCCAGTGGAGCTGGGACAACAGGGCGTTGTATGCTCCCTGCGTCCCGCTCCCGTTAGTAACATGGCTGCCGCGCGCTGGACTAGCTGAAGCTTCCGGGCCGTCTTCAAGGGCAGCCCCACGTAGAGAGCGTTGCAGTAGTCAAGACGGGATGTGACCAGAGCGTGTACCACCGTGGCCAAGTCAGACTTCCCAAGATACGGGCGCAGCTGGCGCACGAGCCGAAGCTGTGCAAATGCTCCCCTGGTCACCCCTGAGACCTGGGGATCCAGGCTCAAAGATGAATCCAGGGTCACACCCAAGCTGCGAACCTGCGCCTTCAAGGGGAGTGCGACCCCGTCCAGCACAGGCTGTAACCCTATACCCTGTTCGGCCTTGCGACTGACCAGGAGTACCTCTGTCTTGTCTGGATTTAATTTCAGTTTGTTCGCCCTCATCCAGACCATTACAGCGGCCAGGCACCGGTTCAGGACCTCGACAGCCTCCTTAGTAGCAGGTGGAAAGGAGTGACAGAGTTGGACATCATCTGCGTACAGATGACACCGCACCCCGAAACTCCGGATGATCTCACCCAGCGGCTTCATGTAGATATTAAACAGCATGGGGGACAGTATAGAACCCTGTGGAACCCCACAGGTCAAAGGCTGTGGTGTTGAACAGCAGTCCCCCAATAACACCTTCTGGGTACGACCCTCCAGAAATGACTGGAGCCACTGCAGAGCAGTGCCCCCAAGACCCATTTCCGCAAGGCGCCCCAGAAGGATACCGTGGTCGACGGTATCGAAGGCCGCTGAGAGGTCCAGGAGCACCAACAGGGACACACTCCCCCTGTCTAGCTCCCGGCGCAGATCATCCACTAAGGCGACCAAGACCGTCTCGGTACCATGTCCCGGTCTGAAGCCAGACTGTGCCGGATCCATAATATCCGTGTCTCTCAAGAATACCTGGAGTTGTGAGGCCACCACGCTTTCCATGACTTTGCCCAAAAAGGGGAGATTGGAAACAGGCCGAAAGTTGTCAAATTTAGTGGGGTCCATGATGGTTTCTTCAACAGCGGTTTTATAATTGCTTGTTTTAAGCACGCTGGAATCTTGCCTTCCCGAAGGGAGGCATTAACCACCACCGTTACCCACTCAGCCAATCCCCCTCTGGCCTCTTTCAGAAGCCAGGATGGACAGGGGTCTAGGATGGACGTGGTAGGCCTCATTCCTCCAAGTATCTTGTCCACATCCTCGGGTTTCACAAACTGAAAAGAATCCAACAAAATAGGACAAGCAGGTGCTCGTGTCACATCCACAGAGACTGCATTTAACATGGTGTCCAGCTCAGAACGGATCAAAGCGACTTTGTCTGCAAAGAACCGAGCAAATGCTTCACAGCGCGTGACCGAATTGTCAGGGCTCCCGCCTGAAGTGGCGGGAGTTAAAAGACCTCTGACAATTCGAAAATACTCCGCCGGACGGTTCTTTGCAGACGCAATAGAAGCTGCAAAGAAGGTTTTCTTTGCGGCTTTTATTGCCGCGGCGTATGCCCTTAAAAAGGACACAAACCGTGTTCGATTTGACTCGCTTGGGTCTGATGTCCAGCACTCTTTGTTTGAATGTTTCCTGAGGTCCCAAAAAGGATAGAAGCCAGGAAGTGAAATAACTTTTTTTTCCATTTCATATACAGAATATAAAAATGAGAGATAGTAGTGATGCATCAGAAAAGATTTTCAAGGCTAGTCTCACAATGAAAAAGTTTTAATTAAAAACACATAGGTCGCTCATAACTGATGCTCTGCACCTATATTTAGATGGCATCCTTATTGTGCATATTCACCCATCTGTTATCTTGGCCAAAAAAGAAAAATACTGTCTCAAGTAAGAATAAACCTAGATTTATTTTTTATAATGGTCTCTTGCATTCAAATAAACCTGGGGCCCAAATGACATTAATTAACTCAACTTCCTAAAAGAGTTCAATCTACATACCCTGGTTCTGGAGAATCAGGTCTAGAGTCACTTCTCCCACTACAGAACGATCTTCTTCCCTTGGTTTCAATCAACAAAAATGGAATTGTACTGCCCTCTTCAGGAAGGTCAGGGAATAGGAATCTTCAAACCAAAACACATCAAAAAGTAACAAATCACCAAAATGAATACAACTATGAATTATTTAAGAAAGATTTGACAAGTTTAGAAACATTTTTTCTATAAAGATTTCAGATGAACCCATAAACAATTCATGTCATGAACCTGATAATAACTTTTTAAAAATACACTAACATGGTTCTACCTGCATTTAAAAAAATGGCTTTTGATGTTTGTGAAAGAGAAGACAGGTTATATAAACTACAAGCAATAATTTTTTTCCAGTTTATTTTCCTACCTGACCAACTGGAAGATGCGTTTGAGGTAGGATTTAATTTCCCGGACTGCTTCCTGCAACAGCCGCCGATTGGCACCCACTCCTACATATGTCATCCGATAGACTGCTACTAAGGTCTCAACAAGCTTCCCCAAAGGATGAAGAGGGGTGTCACATGCCTGTATACCAGGAAGATATCAGAGTCATAAAGAAGCAGCATCTTCACTGCAAGGCTCATACGATAGGCTCTTTCCGCAAATCTGGATTAAGCAAGATACAATCCATTGACTCTCTTTTGCCTTCTAAGCCATTTTCATAACTCCCCAGCAGCCTCCAGAATTTATATTTTTTAAAAGTAATTGACACAATAGTATATAACTGATAAGGTAAAGGTAAAAGTTTCCCCTGACATTAAGTCTAGTTGTGCCCAACTCTGGAGGGTGGTGCTCTTCTCCATTTCTAAGCTAAAGGGTTGGCATTGTCCAGAGATGCCTCCAAGGTCATGTGGTCGGCATGTCTGCATGGAGCACTGTTATCTTCCTGCAGAAGCGGTACCTACTGATCTACTCACATTTGCATGTTTTCAAACTGCTAGGTTGGCAGAAGCTGGGCGCAACATTGGGAGCTCACCCCTGCTCCCTGGAGTCGAACTGCCAACCTTTTGGTCAGAAAGTTCAGCAGCTCAGTGGTTTAACCTGCTGCACCACCAGGGGGCCCTATATAACTGATATTTGGCAACAAACTGCTAAAATACACAATAGTCAACTCAAAAAGGAACAAAATACATGATAGCAAATTGTACCAGTAAAGTATGTCCACCATCATATTAAATCAATTTAAGTACTTTCAAGGGTTATTTATATATAAAAATTAAATTTAAGAATAATATGTATCAGTGGGAGATTTTATGTGTTAAAAAGGGGAAATGTTTTCAATATTGTAAATAATAAAAATTAAGTTTGAATTAATTTCAGTAGATGTCTAATCTTATTTATGCAGATATTGTGAATTCATATTTCTTGTCCAAAAAAACTAAAAACAGCTACAGAAAATGCAATTCTTGAACATTGAGCAAACCTAAAAAGTGGCTCCTGCTACATCACTGCCCCATTCCTGGTTTCAGTGATGTAGAGAGATCCGTTTATTGATGAGTCCGCTAACCATATCAACAATAAAAGACAAAAACAAAAATACACAGATAAATAGACACTAATCACTATCCTAAAACCCCTGTAATAGTTAACTAAAATAACTTAACACACTATAAAACTTTATTAAATAATATGTTTGGTAAAAATTGGATTAAATTGCAAGATGAAATAAGGGGGAGTTGAGTGACGAGTATAAAAGAATGATGTAGATTCCATATTATAGGAAATCTGAGCCTAAATACTTAATGCAAAATAGATCTTTGGGTCAAAGTAAAAACTATTGCATTGTGTCTTAAATTATAACAAAGTCTTGTACTCTGGAGGCACTTAGAGCTGGCTGGGGGAAAGAAATGGTTTTCTTAGTAAAGTAATTGTTTGTGACATCAGGTTTCATAGCTGTGATTTAAATCAAGAGTTTCACAAAACTGTTATTCACAACTATGAAACAAGGCAATTACGATATTTATTTTAACTTCAATAGTGATTGGATCAGTGAACAGCAGAAACTAGCAGAATGCATATTAATTATATTTTGGTGTAGAGACAGAACAGCTGTGCAAGCAGTAGTCAAGTTACCTTTATGAGATATTTTTTAATGCTGTCATATTTTTCCAGTGAGAAGGTACCAACATGCTGTGGAATAAACTCCAAACTCTCCAGGGTTTGTGTATGTGACCGGCTCAACATTTCTGGGCTGCAATGACAGAAGAAATATAGAAAAAATAGAGAAATATGTATACAAAATACAACAGTACAAGTATCTATAGTAGTACATGATCTATAAAAAGTAGCACATTTCTTAAAGAAGCCAGATAAAGTAATGAAAGGCTACCAATGCCAATCCACTACGGCAAGCCAGAATCCATTGAACAGTCTGAGTGAAGCCAAAGAAAGCATCCAGAACAGACAAGTTGAAATCAAAAGGAAGAAAGCAAAAAGGTCGTCCAAAGAGAGTTTAAAAACTAGAAATATGGCCCAAGAGAAGCAAATAGCTCATCAAATATTCCTTCAATGCTGCTGTTGCAACAGAAAAAAGGAGCTGAGAATTTGAGTGGGTCTCAGACTTGTTACATGGAGCGAGAGGGGAATGGCTACTGCAAAAAAAAAAGCATACAGAATAGCTCTGAAAGTATATGACTGATGTGCTGTGACAAAATAGTAAACCTGTCTGCATGAGACACAGAAAACATTAAGAAGGATTACTGTTTTGGGGAGCAGTGAATGGAAAAGATGGACCTGAATGTCTATGCCTCACTAATGAGAGGTTTCTTTTGATTATGAATGGAAAAACACTGTTGAATCCAATACATATGAGAGTATTTTTCAAAGATATGTATTGATCATATACATTTTGTTTTATCACTGAAGAATGCATGTTTATTGCACCCATTCTGTTTTCCAGATTCACAAGTTTCCCTTTCTTAATGTTTCTAAAATTGCATCATTGCAGAACTGAGATGCTTCTACTATGTCATCTCTGAAGACCTGTGGAATCACCACATAGCCAAGCATGTAAACCAGTTTCCTTATTTGCTGGATGCCATTGCATAAATGACTCTTCTTCAGCTTCTGCCAACTGGCACAATCTCTTACTAGACATTTTGCTGTAAACTTCTAGTGATTTTAATACTTCACTTGAATCACTGTTTCATAGCTACCCTTCCTGACTCACTCTCAATTCTTTACTCTTAACGTCTGCAATAGTCAAATAATTCTGAGCAGCAAGTAAATGTTTCATTATAGACTTTCTTGGTTGCGTATTTTCTTTCTTATCATTACCTAATATTCATTGTTATTCTCATTATTAACAAATTTATACTTACGTAAAAAGATCTCAAGGCAGCTTACAAAGAGCATTAATACAGATCAAACAGTTTTAAAATAGGAGTATATTGTATATTGACCTCAACCATCTAACAGATATTAACCCTTGAGCAGATACACATGAGGATAGTCTTTCTGTTAGGGCTTTAAAATCCATCACCAAAACCTTGAATTCAGTCTGGGAATATACTGGCAATCAGTGAAATTCTTTGAAGATGAGCATCACATGTTTTTATTGGTGTATTTGGTCTGTTTGTCTGTATGATTTTAAGATATCATAAGCCACTTTGGGTCACATGAGAACAGTGGGGTATAAATAAAGATTTATTAATATTACACATATTATTATATATATCTATTGTCAAGCTGCTGTATTTTGCACTAGATCAGTGGTTCTCAACCTGGGGTCCCCAGATGTTTTTGGCCTTCAACTCCCAGAAATCCTAACAGCTGGTAAATTGATTGGGATTTCTGGGAGTTGTAGGCCAAAAACATCTGGGGACCCCAGGTTGAGAACCACTGCACTACATGAAGCAGTTGTCTCTTCTTCAAGGGCAGCCCCTTGTAGAGGGCATTATAATACTTTAACTGGGATGGTGGTGGTTACCAGTTCATGGGCTATTGTGGTTAGGATAACTCCTTCCAAGGAAGGCCTTAGCTGGTACATCAACAGAAAGAGGCAACGAATACTTCAAGTGACAAAATCCACTTGGGGCTCCATTTGCTCTTTCAGGCGAAGTGCAATCTCATCCAAGATGGACTCAGTTCTCAGACCTAAGAATCATGAGTGGTTCTGGGATCTCCCCCTCAGAAGCTTTGTGCAGATATTGAGCAATATGGGGGATAAGATGGCACTGCGTGGCACTCCATAGCTTAATATTCATGTGGTGGAACAGAACCCTCCCCACCCAAATGCATGACATGTTGGGCTTTGCAAAAACTTCAGAAAGAGTAAAGAAGCAACAGATATGTATCGAAACAATAATGTATACCTTGCCAATCTGTTATGATTCAGAAATCTACATGTGCTTTGCCCAACACACCACACAAGTGGTATGGTACTTTTTGGAATGAAATAAAAATCACAGTAAGGCTTTGGATCCAGCTCACCAACTACTGTGCGTACCTCTTGAACAAGCACTTTAAATATCTGATTTTTTTGGTGTTAGAATGCACATTTATGAACCAGATTTGATATTTGATAAATGTAGACTGACTTGTTAAATATTTTTGCGCACATTTAAGACTAAATGAAAAAAAATGGGAAGGTTCTGGAAATTTGCCATTTGTGGTTCATTGCATATGAAAACAGAATTATTTATAGAGGCTTATGGATTGAAATTATTGCTGAACTCTGGTTTAGAATATACTGTGCTATGACCGGAAATACATTACATGACATCACTAACCTATCTCTGTGTTGCCGCCGATTTGTTGTCAGGGCCACAGCAATATTATCCCAGGCCTTCCACCGATCCCCTTGGCCTGCCTGTTCACAGCCCAACTGATGCCAGCATTCATCAAACACTGCCTTCCACTTCTCATCAGCAGGAACAGCAAGGTTTCCAAGTTTCCGCCTGGCAATATGAACAACAATCTTATCAATTATCATCAAAAACACTTGACGATCAAACAAAGGTGCACACATTTGGTCTAATCTATTCAGCTCTGAAATGTCCTGAGAGCAGGTTAGAAATAACATATTAAAACAGTACTCCCTTAAAAACAGATCTCCTACATCAGACACTAAGGCAGACTATAATTGTGTCTTTGATTTTTAACGATACTATTAATTTTTTGCTGTATTAGTTTTATATGGAGTTTTGCTAAGTAAGTTGGTGTGGGGCAGGTTTTTCCATTTAATGTGATCTAGAAACAGATGTGGTTCCCGCTTCCCTATATCAGTTTCTAATATCTAATCCTGTTTCTAAGATTTCAAGGCTGCATTACACGTTGTCATATCCTCTCAAGATTGACATCAGAGGCAGAAACAGGCATTCTTAATATCTAAAAGCTGAGATGAACCAGGAAGCTGTACTGTGTGAATTTAGGATGTAAACCTACTAGAAATCTCCATCAGTCTAGCTCTGTTACTGGAAACCACAGCAGAAGGGAAAATACAGTAAGACATTGGAGAAACACGTTCCTTAAAGTTAGAATATTTTTCCTGACTTTCCTTTCCAATGAAATAAATGAATGACCTATTAGTTCATGAAAATTCCTGGCCAGCAGTAAATAACACTATGTAACAACATTTATTTCCTGTTTAATAGTGCAGTACTTACTTTGCAAGTAGTTGTTATGCTACAAAAACTGCATTTTTGTATTGGTTAAGACACTATGAGATATTCATTGAAAAATGATAGCAAAATATGCTGCAGGATGTCCCACAAAAACAACATTTTTGCCATTTAATAAATGGTTTAGTTTAATATAAGTCATCTCTGTTTGTTTTGTTTTCCTCTTGAAGGAATTCAGCTTTTTTCATTTAGTCTGGTTCCACTAAGACTGGTAAGACTAATGGGATTGTTGCTTCTTTCATCAATAAAGAAATAAGGATCCATACGCTAGCTGGAAGATGATATCATGAAGATCAAAAAATACTGTTTTAAGACTGAAAGTATTGAAAAACAATGCTATCAATATTATCATCTTTTCCTATTTTGAAGCTTCATGGCTTTTATTGAGAGCAGAGCCAGAACTGGCTTCTCTGTCTGCTACTCTAGATAGCATTGTTTACCTAAGCATTGGATTTTTAAAAAAGAAATATCATACGTCAATAAGTTCTGAACCCAAGACTTAAAAAAAAGGACAGACGGCAATTCTTGCTTCAGAGGCACCTACATGCATTTATTCATAGACCCCCTAGTGTGGTAAAAAACCCAGTTCCTATAAATTTATGTTCATTTCAGCAGGGAAGCCTGCTTCACATTCAAATGTAGGTACCAATGATGTCAAGATTAATTAATAGCAAGAATTTTTGAGATCACATAAAAACTAGGGTGGAGGAAACAAAGGGTTGGGCTGCCCATAAAAATAACAGGCACATGTATTTTGCTTAACAAGACCAAAACAACCATGGCTCTGACTAAAACTGACAGTGGCATTTCTGCTTGTTACAGGTGACAGGTCATACACTATGCATGAGTCATGCTATCAATCTCCCAATAGCATTTCTTTGATGATTTCTAAAAATGCCTGAAACCATAACTTATGAATTAGATGTGCTGGGCCACTTCATTTCCAAGTTTGTAATGGGAGCATTTCCAGTTCCATTTATACAAATGTCTCTCCAGTCACTGCATACTCCAAAAAATTATACTATGTAACACGATTTTTGTTCCTGGGTTATAAATGTCATTTTCTAATTATTCCTATCATAAAAACACGGAAAGGTTAATTAAACTGCAAAACCTTTGGTTTTTGCAAGACATCCTGCAGCACATTTTGATATAGTTTTTCAATGAATATCTCATCGAGTCTTAACCAATTCAACATAGTTTGTGGCAACCACAAAAACAAAGTTCCTGGAGTATAACAACTACTTTCAAAGTCAGTACCACACAATTAAACAGGAAAAAAATACTTTCAAAATATGAACATTTTTTTTCAAATTTTGTTACACAGTGGTATTGTACTCCAAGACCAAGCAAGTTAAAAGTCACTTGGCAAAATGACAAAGGTACAGGTGGCCGTTCATATCCACAGAATATGCATCCATGGATTCAACCATCCATGACTTGAATGTTTTTTTTAAAAAAATCCCAAAAGCAAATCCCAATTTTTGTCACATAAGGAACACCATTTTACTATGCCACTGCATATAATGAAACTTGACATTTGGGTATCAATCGTTGGGGCGGGGTCATGGAACCAAACCCCAACAAATACCAAAGGCCCACTGTACACTGAAATGTACATTACAAAGGCAAGACGATAAGTGGAAACACTGTCAATGGATGTAGTTCATGTCATAAGTAACATTTTCTAGTTATTTTAAAATTGTGTTTTTAAAATTAGAGGAAAGTTGAATACATTTTTCAAATCTTATGATATCCTCAGGATTCCAAAGAGATCAAATATTTAAAAAGAAATAAAACAAAGATCACGAAAAGTAAGGGTTAAAAGAACAGATAACACAGAGGTGGAAGGGAGAGAACAGTTATAAACTGCTTGTTCTGCTCCCACGCTATTTTAACTACTTGGAAGGTGAACTGATCAGAGACGATATAGTTGAATCAAACAAGAATGTATTAACTGACAAGAATTTCAGACTTTCTCTCCTCCTGAGTCTCACTACAAAGTCTTTATGAGAAGTAAAGTATTCTAGCCAAACTGAGGCTCTTGAATCTTTATTTCTTCTTACTGTCTCTTTCTTGTATGTAGTTCAACTGTCTCTAAGATGGTCTCAAGATTTAACTCCAACTGGACTTGAATACAGATCCTACTAGACTTGAATACAGCTCACACAGTTCTGACTAGATGTGATATTTTGTAGATCTTCTGGCCTTCCTCTCTCCACCTTCTAGTCACAAAAAGGCTGACTCTTCCAAGAACCAGAAGTATCTTGCCAGAAGCTCTGCCTCTGAGGGGATTCTTAAAGGGGCAGGGCGACAGAGGTTTCAAATGCAAACAAGCTGTCTAATCTAACCCATCAGAAACTGTACATAAAATATTAATTCCTTTAACTAAAAAGGGCTTAACTAAGGGTAAACAGTGAGGGACTTCATGGGGCATGACACCTCCATCTAAAACTTATCAATACATTTTACCATTTATTAAACATAGCTTTTTAAAACTAATTATGACCAAGCTTAGAAAGATCTGTGACTGACCACAGTCTCCAAAAGACAACTGCTTAATTTTGCCTGCATGAGTCATCTGCCACTCCAATCACATGCCTCCTTTTAATGTCATTTTCAATTTCTCATATTTTTGATGATAACAGGTTGATATTCATTATATCTCATTACAGGTTATAAACTCCAGTGACACTCTGAAAGCTTTAATTAGTAGCACTTGATGAACACCACTAATAATACTGTACCAGTCTTGTTGCCTACTCAGATAGAACAACCTGAGATCAGCAACAAGGAACTAAGCAAACAAAGCAGAGCAGTTTACAATAATCATATCAGTGCTAGTTGGGTTCATTTGCTACATTAAACAATACATTAGCCTGGACAGTAGCTATCCACTCACAGTCTTTTGGGTCGTTCCTTCTCAGGATCATATAAAGCAGGTTTGAAGTATGTCCCAGTGATCTTTATCCCAGATCCCCACTCACCACTGAAAGACCCTTCAATGGTGTCCCCATTTGGCAAAGTCAGTGTTCCCTTAATGGAAAAAAACCAATTAGTATAAAACACCTTCCATGAAATAACTCATTATATTCTCCCTACCAAAATCTTAATAACCAACCTTCCCATTTAGAGTCCAGTTATCTGAGAACTCTCCTTCATACACTGTATCGTCTTCAGAAAGCAAAACTCCAGACCCCTATAAAAAACAATATCATAATCAACAATAAAGCACTTTTGCAGCAATTGTTCCATTAACACGGAAGATCTTCCGGATGTCAAATAAGGACCTTCTTGGTAGAATTTTGTACTGCTTAGACGTTATTCAACATTTGCAGAGCCAAAAGTAAATTTGTGTAAGGGGCAGAAATTCAACAATCCTGCTATAGGAAGGATGGCACCATTTTCACAGATTCCACCCTCTCTCCAGTGGACATCTCTGCAGACCACCTTCTGTCTACCTTCCTTTCGCTCAACTCATTGAACATTGGATCAAAACCTCTATAACACTACTTAGTACATTTTTACTGCAACACTGTTGATATTCCAATAGCAAAACAAATTCAGGCACTCCCAAGATTGCTCCTTCAGTTGTCAAACACCAGTTTACATGCAACTTACCATCATTTTATTGTTGTTAAAGGCTCCTTCATAATACAGTCCAAACTGAGTGACTACAACACTATTGCCTTGGCAAAGGTCATCTTGCCACATTCCCATATACTTTTCTCCCCTGAAGAGACAAGAAGACATTACTGTCAGAAGCAATAAACCAGCATGTTTTGTCTTATGTCTGTTATAACAGGCTGTGCTTTTTAATTTTAGTTTGTTAAGTTATAACTCGTATTTATATGTTGGGTTGTATAAATTTTATTAGTATGCATGTATTGTTGTATTCGGGCATTGAATGTTTGCCTTTTATGTTTGGAATCTGCCCTGAGTCCCTTTTGGGGAGATAGAGCGGAATATAAGTAAAGTAGTAGTAGTAGTAGTAGTAGTTGTTGTTGTTGTTATTATTATTATTATTATTATTATTATTATTATTATTATTATTATTATATCATTTCTGCAGCCCTAAAGTTGCAGTATGAATGGCAGCTTCTATCAGTACTAGTCACATAGCAATTGGTGAGAAATGCCGAAGTTGTAATTCAACACAGGGAGAGCTATACTTTGCTCACATCTGGGGGGGGGGGGGGGGGATAAGCAATGGCTATCTTGTCTCATAAGTAGGAGTGTTTTCAGCAATTACTAGGGTTCCATCAAAAACCTATAATGAGGCCAGAGATGACAAGCCAGTTTCATGTGCAATTCATATTGTTCAACAGTTGAAACAACTGCCTCTAATCTCTTGGTTCGAACAAGGGTCCTCCAGCACCACCTTCTGATAATGTCCCTCCAGGGAGGGACGGAGCCATTGAAGAACAGTACCTCCAACCCCCATCCAAGAAAGGCATCTCAGAAGGGTGCCATGGTTGATGCTATCGAAAGCTGCTGAAAGGTCCAGGAGAACCAACAGGGGCACACACCCACTGCCCAGTTCTCTTCGTAGGTCATCCACCAAGGTAACCAAAGCTGTCTCTGTCCCATAACCAGGCCTGAAACCAGACTGAAATAGATCTAGATAATATATTTTAAAAGTTCCCCTAACATTGTACAATTATGTACATTTTAAAAATAATACAGAGCATTTATGTGTTCACTTCCCTCTAACATTAAAAGAAAATATAACACAATATTTAGTTAGTATTTTTGATAGGGGAACTGCTAATTCAGAAAAGCCTGAATACCAAAGAATAACTACTTTTCACTTTGTGCATTGGTCCAAAAACCATGAATTATGCAGGCTTACATTAAAATGTGAACTAAACTAAAGTATTCCCATTCCTTTTTTCCAATACTGGCAATTGTTGGCAAACATTTATTATTATTTATTGGATTTATATCCCATCCTTCTACCAAGGAACAAAACTAAATGCATGATTTAGCTCCCTTGATACAGAATTCAAAGTTAGTATGTTACTACATTCCACGGCAGTGTTATTTAATTTAAGCAAGCAATACCCCCCCCCCCTTTTTTTTTTTTTTACAAATATCTGAATCAGAAGTTGTTTTGAACCCCATTGAAGTAAAAGTGAGATAGACAGACAACAAATAAGGCTCCTTAGTGATTTGGCCAAATAAATATTTTCCAGCTATGGCACTTAGCACATTTGACTGCAATGTTCAGGATTTATTCACCTTGTAATGTCATCAAATACTCCATACCCAGTCTTCTTATCCATCATCCACTGACCAATGAACATACTGGGAGAAGTAGAAGTCAGTTTGCCACTACGCAGGAGACCATGGCCATGGCGCATGTTATCCTGAAAGCTCCCTTCATACACTTCTCCAGTGGCATAGCTGAAAGAAATATCATGTCTCTTTGCACAAAGAATGTGAAGATACACAACACTGCTCTCTGTTTCTTTACAAATTGTTCCTTTGATTCTTACAAACAAATGCAACAGACAGGTTCAGAAGAAAGGGACAAAGAAAGGGACATGTAATTGCTGTCAACATATTTACAACCATTTAAAATCTTCTCCTCTTTTCAGTGAAAAAGAATAGATAGGTATGTGGATACCAGTTCTAGATTAATTATCCAATTATTATTAAAATGCTGCCAAGTCGCTGCATAGCAACACCAGATACACTCCAAGTAGCTGCATAGCAACACCTACTCATAGCAACACCAGAGGCACTCCAAGTGGCCGGCTACTGGTCAAAGGACATTTAGTATAATGCCAAGTTTTTAAACTTGGTTTGTGCTTTTAAATACATTACAACTGTACCCTTGGTTTGTTTCTGACACAATAAATAAATAAATAAATAGAATTATCAACATTAACTCATATGGGTAACTGTTACATAGGCATATGTTTCATGCTGTTTTCTATATGGGAGTGCACTGTATACAAAACAAAGTCTTTCAGATCTTATTTCTGTATGCCTTCAAGTCATTTCTGATTCATGGCGACTCTAAGATAAATCTATCATGGGGTTTTCCTGGCAAGATTTGTTCAGAGTGGGTTTGTCATTGCCATCCTCTGAAGTGGAGGGGGTGATTTACCTAAAGCTCCTCCTACACTGTCCTTATATCCCAGGATCTGATTCCAGGTTATCTGATTTGATCTGGATTATATGCGTCTCCACTGCCATACAATCTGGGATAAACAGAAAATCTGGGATCAGATCCTGGGGTATATGGATAGTGCAGAAGGGGCCTAAGGTCACTCAGTGAATTTCCATAACTGAGCCGGGATTTTAACTGTGTTCTCCCAGAGTCCTAGTCTAACACTCCAACCACAACTAGCTCATTCAAAACAGATTTTGAAGTTTGTGGTTTATCTGCTATTTTTTCTTTCACCACGTATGATGTCCTTCAAAATAATTCCCATGCCGTTTGACTTACTTGTAGGTGCCATGTCCGCACATTTTGCCTTCTTTCCAATATCCAATATAGTGGTCATTCTTCTTCAGTATTTTGTTTGGTACTGTATATTCACCATGTCTGTCAACATGAAACATTCATACACTATACATTAAAAAACCAGGTAAAAAGATCCAACCCTAACAAAATCCAAAATTAATTAATTATTACAGTTAGACCTATAACCTGGGCGGCAATCCTGTGCAAATTTATGTGGTAACGAGATGCTCTGAAATCATAGAATGATAGAATAATAGGCCATCTAGTCTAACCTCCTGCTAAGCAGCAAAAGCACAATCAAACTACTACTGACAGATGGCCATGCAGCCTCTGTTTAAAAGCCTCCAAGGCTGCTTATATGCAACTGTGAATCTTTGTCATCTAGGCCCACACATGAATGGGGTTTTATCCTCACTCAGAGACCCCATTCAAAAAGTATGAAAGCTGAATAGCCTTGGTGAGAACTCCACCCTTTCCCTTCAGTTTCAAAAACCCATGACCTGAAACAAGGAGATTAAAGCAGTTTATCTGAGGGCACAGATGACCACTCAAAGAACCATAGCGATAGTTTGGAAATGTGCTCTTTTTCATCATGGTTTCTGTGCCTCACACAAATAGGTGAGTGAAAAACCCGTCAGTGGAAATGAGCAGGTCACAAACAATGCAGTATGATCAAAGGAAGCAAAATCGAAGTTCTAGAACAGTGGTTCTCTACCTGTGGGTCCCCAGTTGTTTTGGCCTACAACTCCCAGAAATCTCAGTCAGTTTACCAGCTGTTGGGATTTCTGGAAGTTGAAGGCCAAAACATATGGGGACCCACAGGTTGAGAACCACTGGGCTAGAATCTAAGAGATAAATGTAGGAGGCTGAGACCATAGAGCTGGTAAAAAAGTACTTTGAGGAGAGTTTTGGAAGGAAGAAATGGCTCTTAGACTAAATGCCCTGGTGCCAGCTGGCAAAAAAATTGTAATTTAATAAATCAATTAATAAGAAAACCGACCTCGACTCAGTAACACTGGAGCAAGGTTGGAGAAGCTGCAGCCCATTATCACTAACTGGGCAATGTGACTGGGTCTGATGGAAATTGAGGTGAAACAATGCTCAATAGTAACTTAATAAGAAGGAAAGCAAGAGCAGACTTTTACACTGCAAGGTGCTTGGGGCAGCAATTAAGTCAGCTTTAGAAGATGTCTTGCTATTTATGTGACAGTATAATAAAAAGAGCTCACTTTGCATTTCTCACTTTTAACACCAACAAATATGTAATGACAAATAGGACGCCTTTCCTTATATCCCAAGCATAGGCAAGCTTGGGCCCTCCAGGTGTTTTGGATTTCAACTCCCACAATTCCTAACATCCAAGTTTGCCCATGCCTGTTATATCCCAACTGGTTATGCTTATTTTACGTACCCATCTTCCAGGCCAATTCTGAACATGCCAGAATACATTCGTCCATCTGCCCACTTCAACACTCCTCTGAAATACAAAGAGAAAAATTGTTGAACAAATTTATTGTCTGAAACATCAGGATTCACTTTATGAAGGACTATTTCAGGGGCAACTGGGTTGCTCCCTACTAGCTTTCAGAGTTCAAGGTTAGGCTTACAAGGCTAGAAACGCAGAATAGTCTACCCAACTCAAAGATGTTTTCAAACTTTTTAAAAAAGTTCTTCTCTGATATAAATTTAAGTAGCTGGAACATTTTCTTATCTAAGTAATAGGTACATAAAAATGATTTCTACAGTTTTACCTGCCATGTGGTTTTCCAGAAAGCCATCGGCCATCGTAAATGGCATCTTTAAGCCGAGGATCCTTGTAAAAGGTGTACTTGGCGCTCCGCGAGATAGGAGGTTCCTGCCTCTGAATGCTTCCACTTCCCGCATAGGGAGGCAAGTCAGATGTTCCCTTTAAGGCCTGATCCACAGCTTGGCTGATAGCTCTCAACCATTTAGTCTGAAACAATAGCAGTAAATATATTCAAAGGCTTGCCTGCCCCCTGTGTTCCTCCATTCCCTCTCTTTGTCCATCTACTTTTATGCAAAACCACCTGGAGTTTGACTCACAGGCCTATTATTGCAACACAAAATCAATGAACATGGAATATCATTGAAATGTTTAGTTTAACACTTTTCAGATCTTGTATCTAATTTTATCACCATGTCATTCTTATTTGTTTCTTTTTCTCCCTCTTAAAAGCACAGACTAAATTAAAATTAAAAATTTAAAAAAGAAAGAATTGGCTGTGTCACTACTGCTTTGAATCATCTTAGGCCAGACATCATTCAGCTTTGGACCACAACCCACCTTATGAAGACCAGTGATTAAGTTCAATCTTCCTTCCAAGGCAGAATGTTACACTTGTTCTGAGATGGGAAATTATATATTGATTCTACAATGAATGCAGAATGCAACAAGCAGACGCTTGCCTTGTACATCATTCCTAAAAGAGTGAATGGCTAAAATGTCTCCAATGAAGCTCTGTTCTACAAAGAATACAGCTTTATTAGAGCTCTACATTAATGTAGTAATTTACTTTTGCATAGAAACAGAGTGTCAGTAACTCATCTTGTGAACAGCATGGAGGAGAAGGACAAGAAATAATTGGAATTGTATGTGTTCTAAGGCATTGAATTATTGCTTATATGTAAGCTGCCTGGAGTCCCCTATGGGGTATAGTAAGGTGGGGTATAAATAGGATAAATAAATAAGAAATAAAAGGTGCTTTTGTATCTTCCTACCTTTTCCTGTGGAGTGGATGCAATAAGAATGAACTGCTCTTCAGGTGTAGTGACCCTCAAACCATTCCTAACACAGACAAAATGAATGCAAAGACTATAGAAGGCTTTAAAGCACAAGAAATAAAGCAGCTCTAATCCTGTTTGTTTGAAGAAAAAACCACTATGAAAGTAAAAAAGAGCTGTACAGATAATTACTTTTGTCATAAGCAAAATCAGTTTCAAAGCAAGCAAACATATGCAAAGAGATATTGCTTTTTTCTCCTGTGTGTTGCTGGAAAAGCAGTCCATCTCAGGTCAAATTCCAAACCCTTTTATTTTTCAGCTCAGTGAAGTATTTTCTCCAAAGAATGTGTGAAAAATGGAAAATGTGACACGTGCAATAGAATGGAAACCAATGGATTAGGTGACACTTGCAATAGCAAGTGTCACCTAATCCATTGGTTTCCACTACATATGCAACAGCAAGGAAGGCTAGGTGTAAAAAATATTCTCAAGTTCTACAGAACAGATGCACAAAATTGGTTATTTTTTAATCTTACATGCCTCTCCCCAGGTTGATTTTTTTAAAAATTCTACAGTGCCTACAAATGCACTCTAAGGCAGTAGTTCTCAACCTGGGGTCCCCAGATGTTGTTGGCCTACAACTCCCAGAAATCCCAGCCAGTTTACCAGCTGTTAGGATTTCTGGGAGTTGAAGGCCAAAAACACCTGGGGACCCCAGGTTGAGAACCACTGCTCTAAGGGGTGTGTAGGATATTCTCAAACATCTCTGGAGGTCTCTAGACCTTCCAGAGATCAAAACCATTTTTGCTCAAAAAAAGAAAGATCTCAAAATATCCACTAGGGGGCATAGTGTGCATTGTAACCACACTTTGTGGGCACCTGGGCCAATTTGGTCCAAGCACAGGCTTTGTTTGCAACCCAAAATATAGTGGGAAAGCTCACATACCCCTTAAAATATTTTTGGTGTAAATATTTTTCTTATCTCCCCCTCTATCTTCTATTGATGCCCACAGCTCTATATTATACATATTAATCACATGCTGCATGTTTAGTTACACGGCATATTTGTTGTAGTTTATTTCTCCAACTGCTACAAATTCTATTTAACAGGATTCTATTTTCTAATAATTCACCCAGATTCTCCCAGTTGATTCCACACACATTCCCAGAATCATACGCACTGCAAAGATTTTTTTAAAAAGTGGGATAGAGAAAAGGAATATAAGATTGTCAAGAATTGTCAAGAATCCGAAATCATCAGATCATCAAGATCGAATTTGGCAGCAATAGTACCTCCCTTGCAACCTCCCTATGAATATAGATCTGCAAACATTTTCTGAAGAAAATGATCATATAAGTTCATCACACTAGAGAAAAAATCCACTCAAAATCTGGTTTCTGTCTCCTGCAGAATTCTGGGGTTTGTAGTTTAGGGAGGCTGTTCAAGGCTCCTCCCTAAACTACACACCCCAGAATTCTGCAGAAGGCAGAAAATGGATTTAAAGTGAATTTTTTTCTCTAGTGTGATGAGGCCCATAGTCCTATTTATGTAGATACAAGAAATACAGCAACATTCTTCAGTCATATTGAAACACAAAGGAGCCCCCGGTGGCGCAGTGGGTTAAACCCCTGTGCCGGCAGAACTGAAGACCGACAGGTCGCAGGTTTGAATCCAGGGAGAGGTGGATGAGCTCCCTCTGTCAGCTCCAGCTCCCCAAGTGGGGGACATGAGAGAAGACTCCCACAAGGATGATAAAAACATCAAATCATCTGGACGTCCCCTGGGCAACGTCCTTGAAGACGGCCAATTCTCTCACACCAGAAGCAACTTGAAGTTTCACAAGTCGCTCCTGATATGACAAAAAAAAAATTGAAACACAGGCTAGATTTGTATTTATTTAAGGGATTTATCATTACAAACAGTTCTAAAATGTAAGGCTCATCTTTAAGCGCACCTACATCAACTAACAAAGGCTTTAAAAGGGCCAGATGAACAATATTTGCTTCATTATCTTTGAGCAAAATACTGTCTATAAAAAGATTAGTACATTATCACAACAGACCAAAGAAGAGGACTGGGGTGCCAAAAATATGAAAGGAGTAAGTTAGTTCCTAAACTGTAATTCATTGTCCTTGAAGGGAAACTTAGGAATACTTACATATTGCCAGACTCTTCCGAAACTGGTTCGACCCACAGTGTGGATAAGGAAAAAATATGATGAGTTGAGAACTGCACAAAGACATAAAACAGAAATGTTCACTCAATGGTATTTAATCACTCACTGAATTTCTTCTTTATTTCCCTCCTTTTCAATAGCAAATGCCAGTAAATGAGGCTATTGCGGTTCAATTACTGCTAAAATCTCTAACTAAAGCTTATATCTTTCAATGAGTTCCCAAGCCTCAATGCAACAGTGATACACTTAAGTCAAATTTGCAAACAGAAATATAGGCCTATAAACCCACTGATCTTTGAGTTCACTGTTAAGCATGTTTGAATGAATACAAATGACAATATTATCAGCTAAAGTTGAAAACAAAACTTGAAACAAAGTTATGTACAAGCAGAACTATCCTGAGGCTTTTGAGATTTTGTATAAAACAAGTAAAGGTAGTTTAAAGACACCTTTGAAAGTATGAATCCAAATAGCATAAATTGGTAAGATACAACACCAATGGAAGAGTGCAGAAAAAAATGGATTTTGAATTGTGTTCAGAAAACCTAGTAGGAAGGATTCCAAACTCAAACGCCTCTATTTGATCCCAGCAACTTTTTTAAGGTTCTCAATTTCTTCTTGAATTTTTCTGCACATGATGTATATACCTCCCTAACCTGAAAACTACTGTTATTCTCTAGGGGCTGAAAACATCCAGTAACTACATAGTTAAAGCCACATTTGAGGAAACTATCCCTATTGCCTTATCCAGCCACACACAATGAGAATTATTCACTTCTAAATGTCCAGTGAGAGCAAACCTGAGCATGGACCAAGGCATCATTGAAGAGGATGAACCAGTTCACCGAGAACCTCCCAGCATGCTGCAGGGACAGAGCACGGTTGCTGCTTTCACAGATTAATCGTCGCTCAGGTTTTCTCAGGGAATCCTACCACGGAAAAGAGGGGCATGAATGAGGTTGACGGTGACTAATACAGTGATACCTTGAGTTAAGGGTTTACTTTGCTCCATTATTTAGCTCTTAACTCAAAACATTCTTATCTCAAAGCACATTTTCCCACTGAAATGCATGGAAAAGCTATTAATCAGTTCCAGCCCCACAAACCTCCCTCCCCCTTTTTGTTGCATGTTTTTAAATAAGAAAATGTACTCGGTAAATAAGCAATAATGTATAAATGTACATTAGTAGAAGTACAAGTTGTGGCAAGGAAGCCAAACTCATGAAGTGAAGAGGCAGAAGCATCGTTTTCCTCATAACGTACTCATTCCAGCCTCCCTCCCTCTCTTGCTCTCTCCCCCTCTCCCTTTTCATGAAGCCAAACATACCAGGAATAAAAACTGCACAAAATCAACTAACCCAAAGTTCCACAAAGCAGACAACAGCAAAGCGAACAGCAGTCTCCCAAAGTGGACAAGAGCACGAGGCATGGAGGCTGCTCCCTTGAAGCTTTAAAGTCCTCTGGCTGCTTGTATGTCAAAGTAAAACCCGGGCCAAGTGACAGCTCTTATCTCAAAATGCTCTTAAGAGTTGAGTCACTCTTAAGTAGAGGTTTCACTGTATATAGTTCATTGACCCTGGAATATGTTATGCATCACAGGCAAGGTCTGAATTTGTATTAGTCCCAATGACAATATAGATGTGATAAGATGTATGCCGATATATATTGTCTAAAAGTATTTCTGAAATTAAAGTTTTGCCACAATATAAAGAGCCAATGGAAACCTATAGCACAACTGTTGTCCCGTCAGAGAATACAGTAAGTTTATAACTGGACAGCAATGTCAACCTACTGTCATTTTCCCAGGAAATGTCTTCCAGAATCCCAGTGTATATTCTGCTTCTTTTCTTTTTCGGCTCAGATGGACAGCTAGGGCTTCATAACAAGAACTAGAATCCTGAAGACTCTGGTATTCTGGAGATGTCTACAAATAAAGATGGCACCGATTGATGTTTTCACAGATTAATCCCAATATTTAATTACAGTTGCACTGTCAAGAAAAATAGATTCTTAAGAATTAAGTGAGGTTATTAAATAAGATCACTGTGCATGGTAGTGTGTGTATTAGTAATATATTGATGAAGGAAACTCAATCAAAGCAAGAATAGTAGCAGCACTTATGATTTAAACACTCTTACTTTTGTATTACTCTTGAAATAATCTGGAATGTTTCAAGTGATGAGATCCACTGACTTCACTATAATTTCTAACCAAGAGGTTTCCCAATCTCTGATCTAGGATGATTCACTCTGTTTTTTAAAAAAGGCTTATTATGCGCCTATTCCTATGTAACAACATTTGAAAAAAAAATCTTTTCCTGGTTTGAAAGTGTTAATTTCTGTTTAATTGTGTGGTACAGTGTTCCCTCACTGTTTCGTGGTTTGCTTTCCGCGGACTCGGCATTTCGCCGTTAGGGTTGAGAATTAATATTTTTAATATATTTGTATACATTTTGTGGTTTTAAAATCACAAAATGTATAAAATATATTAAAATATTAATTCTTAATCCTATCCACTAAACAACAAGTCCGCAGAAAGCAAACCCCTGCTTACAGGGGGCTTCTTCTTCCCAGAAGCCCCCTGAGCGGTGGGAAGTTTCCCAACATTTAAGTACCAGCTTTAGAGTGAATAGCGAGCAGAAGAGAGATCTTCTCCACTTCCTGGTTGCATTGACAAAAGCAATTCTGTTAGCAGAACTGCCTCACTAGATCTTGGCTCTAGTAATTATAATCATAGGATATATCAAAGAATTGAAGAGTAATTGAAACTTTTATATCTAATAACTTACCACTTCGAAACATGTAGCAAGTTTTAGTAAAACTCTAGCATAATTATGAAGTCGTCTGAGCGGCAAGAAAAACAGAGCATTTAGCACTTCCACTAATTGGAAAGTTTCCTCATTTGTCTCTGACAGATCCTGGAGCAAGGCCTGGTTTTTACTTAAGAAATCCCTACAAATAAAAAGAAGCATGCATTAAAATGCTGTACTAAAAACATACAGGAACAACCATTTTGTTAAATGACACATTAAGAACATTTTAAAGATAAAAAGTCCAAGCAGTGAGAAAAATGTATTCCATTGTGAAATATGAAAGATGCTATTTTATAAATATTAGTGATTGTAACAGATTCACTTTAGCAGATTTTTTTTTCATATATTGCACTTTTTTCTCTGAACTTCATAGATAGTTCCCAGGTGGTGTCTAATTCACACACACACAGTCTTTATTTGCATACAACAAAATCACAACATAGGCATATGCAACAAGAGGAAGTCACAGATAAAAAAGGAAGCATATTTAAGAGTTGCTAATCTCAAGAATAAAATTTGCAACCATCTCAGAAGATATGGAAGTTTATCTCACCCTTTCCATTGAAAACACTGTAAAAAAAAGGCAATTTTGGTATTTCATCTATAGATTATCATATTTAGGGCAAACAAACAAAGAATAGTCAAGTGTTTCAACAGAGACCAAGTCACCAGATCAAACCCTTTTGTAATGTTCCACGTTTTTATATCCCGCATCCAAAAGAGCTGATGGCAACACATTACATCTTGCAATCACCAAAGATCTCCTCTGAGCTGGATTAATCAAGATGTGAAGATAAGCTGCCATGACTCCATGCTTTCATGGAATTAATTATGTGGTAGAGGAACACATCTGTAAGTATTAAGAGTGCTTCCAAAGACAGGCCAGTTGCTTTGATCTTTCTGAGAATCAAAGAATACTATTCTGAAATAAAATGATCTTATAACGAAAAGGGAACATAGCTATTGGCTATGAAAATGTATGGGCAGCCAGAATTTTATAGCTCTCATCCATGCCAAGTTTGATCCATATCTGCCAATGGTGGGGGTTGCAGTGCTCTCTGAATGAGGGTGAAGGTATTGCAAATTCCATTGTCCACGGTCCATCCTCCCCTAGACCTCAGCAGGACGTAAAGTGAGTGATTGGAGGGGGGGGGGGCTGTGTTCCAAGTTTGGTCCAGGTTCGTCATTCGTAGTGGTCTCTGGAAGCAGGTGAAAGTACTGAAAATTATATTGAATATTGACAGTGGTCCCTTCTCCTCCAAACCAAATGGTAGAACTGCCTTGCAACATCCAATCACTCTTTGGGTTAGGGCATGGATGAATATCTGCCCTGCTTTACAACTAATTCCCACAGAAAAGCAACACAGGTTGGATCCAGACCACACATTATTAAAATTGGTAGCACTTCAGTTAAACATTATTAACTTTTTACTGTGAGATTTAGTTGAAACCATCTAGGTTCAGTTACAACTCCACAGGTTTTGTGATTACTTACTAAAAGTAGCATGGCTCCATTGAAGATCAAATACAGAAATTATTACACATTAACCACACATTTCATAGAACCATAGAGCTGGATGAGTCCACATAGGCCATCCAGTCCAATCCCCTGCCATGCAGGAAAAGCACAAAGTACTCCTGACAGATGGCCATCCAGCCTCTGTTTAAAAGCCTTCAAGGAAGGTGCTTGAACCACACTCTGAAGCAGAGAGTTCTACTGCTGAACAGCTCTTACAGTCAGGACATTCTTCCTAATGTTCAGGCGAAATCTCCTTTCCTGTAATTTGAACCCACTCCTCCTAGTTTCTAGGGCAGCAGAAAACAAGCCTGCTCCCTCTTCCCTATGCCAGTCTTTCACATATCTATACATGGTGATCATGTCTCCTCTCAACCTTCTCTTCTGCAGGTGAAACATACCCACCTCTTTAAGATGTTCCTCATAGGACATGATTTCCAGACCTTTAAGCATTTTAGCTGCCTTCCTCTGGACAATTTAGTGGTGTGCTGTGTAGTTTCCGAGCTCTATGGCTGTGTTCTAGCAGCATTTTTTCCTGACATTTTGCCTGCACCTGTGGCTGGCATTTTCTCCCTCTGAAGATGCCAGCCACAGATGCAGGCAAAACATTAAGAGAAAACGCTGCTAGAACATGGCCGTACAGCTTGGAAACCAAACAACACCCAAGTGACTCTGGCTGTGAAAGCCTTTGACAATCCATCACATAGATTTAATTTCAAATGATAATAATAATAAATAATAAAACTTTATTTATACCCCGCTACCATCTCCCCAAGGGACTCGGTGCGGCTTACATGAGGCCAAGCCCAAAGTACATCATTAAACAAAGGCAATAACAAAAACAATCAATACAAAACAATTAATATAAATCACATAAACAAAAAATAAACAATAAACAATAACAGTAACACATAAGCATTTAGAAATCTATGGCCGGGCCAAATATAATAATTTAAAATTTAAAAAATAATGCTGGGCTTGAACAAGGTAGGATATAACTGGGATAGGGTTTTTCAAAGAGAGATGAGGGAACGCAGTCAGTCCTAAATCAGTGGTAAAGTGCATTTTGAGGGCATGATGACTCTCAGTGAAATATAGTAATACTTCTATGGCCCCGTCTACACTGCCATATAAAATCCAGATTATCTGCCTTGACCTGCATTATATGACACTGTGGGCTCATATAATCCACTTCAAAGCAGATAATGTGGATTGTCTATTTTGATAATCTGGATTATATGGCAATGTAGAAGGAGGTCTACGTTGCTGTAGGAAAATGAAATGTCTGTCTTCTCCACTGTTGTTGTTGTGTGCCTTCGAGTTGCTTCCGACTCATGGTAACCTTCAGGCGACCCTATAACAGGGTTTTCTTGACTTCCATTGCCATATCATTGCGCCTGCAATAATGGAAGTTTTCAGGGCAACTTCCTAGAAGAAATTCGCTCAAAGCAGTGGAAAGTGAGCTCAAATACTATTACACTAGAGCACAATTGTGAAGATAAAGGTTTACAACTTTTGTCTTCCCTCTGTCCTGCTGTCTACATCTAAGCGTTTTAACTATCAATGTATTCATAAAGCTCTGAAACAAGTTAAGGAGCTAGGAATTTGGAAAAGGAATAAGCAAGGCAGAGGAGACAAATCAAAGCTTTCTGAACAAAGGAGCAGCTCGCGAACTAAACAGCAGGGCCACTCTACATGATTAACGAGGTGCTGCCAGAGGAGCATCAAACGCCCAGGCCTTGCCTGGCTCCACAACTCCTCATTTCTGAACCACTCAGAAGAAAAAAGGTGCCAGGTTTTTTTTCAGAACCTTCCTTTTCTCAGACACTAGACAGACTAACCATCTGGATAGTTTGCATTTTTAAAGTGCTTTGAGATCAACACTTGGAAGTCACAATGCTCAAGCATCAAGTGGTATTAGCTATCGTTAAGACCAAGTCTCAGCTAATGTCTCAAAGGAAAGACTGCAAAGTTGCCTGACAATGAGGAATCCTGGTGAGTCTCTTCTTCCTTTTCATGATGGGATTGCTTAAAAGATTGTACTAAAGAATAGTCACAGAAGACCATCTGATATCATTAACTACCAACATTAGTATTTCACAGAAAAGATCTCATTGCCTGATTCACCCATTCCAAAAATATAGCCATTGTCTGCAGAGACAGCTCTCCATCCTTTGATATCCACAATGTAACAAATGGCAAAATACTTCAATGGTTTGCTGAACACATAAGAATGGAACTACCTATTAAGATGATGGCCACCATGTAAGGCCCTTATTACATATTATACCTAACAGTAGCATCCAGATGTTGTCAGTGCTCATTAGAGATCTAGAATTTAGGCCAAATCTGAGGTTACCATTTAAAAGCGCGTCTATCTGCTAGTTCACAAATTTTAAGAGGAAAAAACTTTTCCTGTGTGAGCACTTCATATTTAGCAAAGCACTTATGGTTCACAATTACACCTTAAAAAGGCTTTTTTTGGGGGGGAGTCCGACTGCTCTTTTAGGATGAGAAATTATCTTTATTTTGGAAAATCATTTGAGAAAGAAAGAAAAAATGAGAACTCCGTAGATGCACAGATTGGATATTATCACATTCTGCATGGAGAAAATACATATTCCCAATTATTTTAATTGATGCCTTTTGAAATTAGTTTCAACATCTCCACCTATACTGAATGTTGCTTCTACTCTGGACCTTGGAAACAGCAAAGTCAGTTCTCTTTCTTGGTTCCTGGGTCTTTTTAAATAAACATACTTAGGTCCCTTCTCTGCTGCCATATAAAATCCAGATTATCTGCTTTGAACTAGATTATATGGCAGTGTAGACACTTATAATCCAGTTCTCATCAGATAATGTGGGCTATCTGCTTTTATAATCTAGATTATATGGCTGCGTAGAAGGGCCTTAGCATATCTTAGATTGAACCTTAAACAGAAGGAGAAATGGAAGTGGATAGGAATATTGAGGACTGACAAACTATGACACTTGTGACCAGTTGCCATGGGAGGAAAAACGATCAGGGATGAAAGTAAGTGATCTTCTTCCATTTCTGCAATACAGTACCAGAAGCAGTTTGCATGTTAACAACTCCCAGTGCAACTGCCTGATCAACTCTCATTCCAGCTACTATCAATAGCAATGCTTATGAAGGAGCTGGATGCAAACGCCAGTAAGACTTCAGTTTGCTCAGTTGCCCCCATTTATTTCCATTTTACATTTTGATCTTATCAGGTGGATTTTCCAGAGAACTGTAGGTGGCACTTCAAGTTAATCTCTCTCACATCTCTCCTCCTGCAACTTCATCTCTGGCCTGCATCACAATCCAGATTTAATCCAGGTCACAGAATCACAGATTGGAAGAGACCACAAGGACCCTCCAGTCCAACCCACTAACATGTAAGAATACACAATCAAAACACTCCTGAAAGATGGTCATCCAGCCTCTGCCTAAAAACATCCACAGAAAGAGATTCTACTATGCTCCAAAGCAGCACATTTAACTGTCAAACAGCTTTTACTAGTTACCAGGGACAAAATGCAACAGCAAGCTATATGAAGGACTGAAAGGAAAACTGAAATGGGAAGGGAGGTCATAGTGTTTGTCTCTGTGTATGTTCTGGCATACAGAAAGACCAAGCAGGCTGGCTCATTTTCTCCACTTGAGTTTATAGGCTTGCCATAGTTAAATGACAAGAAGATGGGAGGTGAAAATTTAAGTCATTCTCCCGTTACAAACCATCATGAAGTTTAAGATCAGCTGGAGAGGTCCTGCTCTTGATCCCACCACCATCGGAAATGCATCTGGTGGGGACGAGAGACAGGGCCTTCTCTGTGGTGGCCTCTCAGTTATGCAACTCCCTTTCCAGTGACATCAGACTGGCCCCCTCCCTCCTTTCCTTTAGGAAGAAACTAAAAACCTGGTTGCGGGATCAAGCATTTGAACAGTAGTAGCAGCAATTGGGATAAGACTCAATGTGACATGTATAACAATGGACTGTCCCAGACAATGATTTTCAAACTGGCATGATTTTAATCAAATGTTTTTAATATAATGTATTTTAATGATCTGTTTTAAATGTACCTATGATTGTGGTTGGGACTTGAATGAGTGCTTGTTGTAAAACTGCCCTGAGTCCCCCCTACTCCCGAGGGGTGAGAAGTACGGGGTACAAATGTACGAAATAAATAAATAATTGTTCTCTGGTGAGCTCAAAGAATAATTATGGTACTAAACCATAACAGTTTAGTTTAAATATGGCTCATCCTTGGAAATTTGCAGATCCCTCTATGAAAGGTTTAAGACAGCCCTTCAGGTGCTGATAACTAATAACTCCCATTATAACTCTTTATTAGCTAGACTGACTATGGCAGATATGAATTAAACACCTGGTGAGTGCTAGGTCCTTCAGCTCTTTAAGCTGAGAATAACCTAAAACTAATAATTACAAAAATGATAACAGACCATTCTAAGTTAAGCATGGCTGTCTTTTGGGTATCCTTTGTTACACAGAGGTCTGTGTTACATTGCATTACACAGACCTCTGAGAAATACATAGAAATATTCAACTGTTCCCACAGAAAGAATGCAACTTAAGGCAGGTAATAAGAATGAAAAAAGCAATCTGTAGCTTCCATTGTCACTTTGGGAAGCAAGGAAACCAGCAAGCACATCTGTTGGACAACAAGCCTCGAAGAAGGCCTAGATTATTCTGTCCCCTAGGTGGGACTATGCAGCATTAAACCACACTATAGTCATACAACTGGATCTACACAATGATATTGACATTCACCATGGTTTGCAGAAATTACTTCAACAACTTATGAACAGTCTCAAGATCAGGACAGATTAACTTACACTGCTGGTTTGGCAAGCAGGGCAAATCCTCCCATCACCAGAAAATTTGTCAAGGAAGTACAATACCTACATTAGAAAAAAAAGGAACAATGATACTACTTGGAACTAAGAATTTAAAATGCCTTTACAGAGATGCTGGATGGCAGAAATGAGGAGTAAGTGCAAGAACCTCTTTTAGTCTAAACAAAAAACATAAAGCTTAATGTACATTAACCCCACTCATACACCTTACTTTTAAAACCTTTGAGACAAAAATTCTTTTTAAATTTATTTCCAGTCACACCTTAACAACATGACTTCTTTGTATGACTGTCATCACCATCCCACTCCTACCACAAATTTGTAGAAGGCTAATACAGGAAAGATTTGCAATGAAAGCTTCTCTCAAGCAAACCGAGGGATTTCACATTATGGAAAAAGAAGTCGAGCTACACTGACAATAAAGTCGACGCAAAAATACTGTGCGTCCCCCTCCACCCAGTCCTTGAAATAATAGAATAGTTACTAAAGTGAGTGTAATCATCCACTCACTGTTTATATACAGCACCAATTTCATTATCATTTGTGTAACTGTTACCTATATCATGCACTGAAATGAATAGAAATTTCACAGCAGGAGTTCTTGTTGGACTGAATCTTTAAAAGATTTATGTCTGGCATCTTTAATATTCCATTTAATCTACAGCAGCACATACATTATATTTCAGCATTTAAAATGCCCAATTGTTCCACTTCACTCATAACCTGGCCATGAATGTGGTCACGAGGCAAATCTGCTGAAAAATTACATAAGGAAAGATTCAAGAATGTCATTCCGTGTCTGCAGTCTTAAGCAGCACTGCCCAGAAAAGAAAATGATAGGATTTTTCTGAAGATGTACTACAATGCAATTTTTTTAAAAATGCTGCAGAAAGTAAAGTTAATGCTTAAAACTTTTTCTTATATCAGTTTTTCCCCTTATAAATAATTCTGTATCTTCCCAGGTACAATACAAATGAGAAAAGTAGATACTTGCTCAGTGTAACTTTCCAAAAAAAGGCTTGAATGCTTCAGGATAGCCAAATTTTTTGCCTCTTTTAATCCTTGAAGAAAACCAGTCAAAGAAGCTCCATGTTGACCAATCAAGTAGCACAACTTGCTGAACTTACTTGCCACTTCTTGCAAGAGTTGGACAGTTGATGGAGCACCTAAATTATCTGCAATGGAAAACCCCCCACAAAAGACAGTGCAGAAAGTCATTACATACCTTATAAAATATGAATTACTCTTCTGAAGGCTTCCATAGAGGCAAAAGAGTCCAACCCCCCCCCCCATTTTAACCAGATCTGGAGTAATTGAGGGCAGTAAAGAAAAAAAAAGGGGGGGGGGAGACACCTTGCAATCTATACTTCATAAACAGCAATTTAACCAAATATTTCAAAAGAATATTTGGTTAAACTGCTGTTTATGAAGTATAGGTGTTAACCTTAACATCACCTAATGACTAATTTCTACTTTTCTTGCAAAAGGGAACGGCACATGTTACAGTCAAACATGATAATCAATAGTTGGGGTACTTTCCACTAGCAGCATAAGAGACAAGAGTTTAGTACCCACAGAGAAATCAGAAGATAACTAGTAAGGGTGGATATGAGAAGGTGGTCTTGAAGAGCAGCAGGAGATCAAGATACGTTAGACGCCTCGGGGAGAATTTGTAAAGGAACCTGGGTGGCCGTGAGCAAGGCAGCAGGAGTCTGGCCTGAGGATTCAGGGCCAGCTGTAGAGCGAGTGAGTGAAGTCAAAGATACTGCTGCTCTATAAAATATATAGTGCCGAGTTACCAGCTGAGCCCCAAAGCTCAGCAGGTAGGGGAGTTGTACTCTATTAAGTATTAAAGAAGTGGTGTTATGCTTTGGAACAGCAGGAGAGGCAGCACAGCCGAAGAGCACAAAAGGTAGCTCAACAAACACAGTGCATGGCTGGTCAAAGCAGGGAGGCGAATCTCTGATTAGAGAGGGCTGGATACATAGTCAAGAAAAGGCAGGATTTCTAATGGCATTCACCTGCAAAAAACTCCAACAAACCCAAAAACCTAAATGAAAGGAAATTGTCCTAATAACTTTATATTAAAGCTATGAAGATATATCTTACCTAATCCCAGGAGAGGTCGGAGAACTTGCGATTTTATGGAACTCAGTTTGGAGTAAAACTGTCTTTCTGTCGACGCCAGCTCATGCAGACTAGCAATGTATCCCATAATGTTTTTGTCCACCAAAGCCAGACAGTTGCTCCCACCTGCTGCCACACTACTAATATACCCTAGCTGGAAGAAAGACAAACTATTTTTACAATCTCATGAAACATAGGTAAACTCTTCTAGTTTACACACTTTATAACCTAAAACAAATATATCATGCACCCATTTTCATTACTACTAGGAGGACTAATTTCCATTCATTTGGTAGCCTATTTTTAAAGTTATGTTCAGATTGTGCAGCCATAAATAATTCCATTGGGATTAATTTATATAATTTACATCCAAAACTGAAACTCAAGGAACTAGCACTATGATAAGTACTACATTCATATTTGCCTCATTTATTGGCGTGGTTTGATGTGGTTTAGTAACTAAAATCTTGGCCTGATAAAACTATGCCTGCGCAGCCCCTCCTCATCCCTTTTCTTTCAAACCTTAATTTGACACAGTTGTGTTGGCCTGGGAAGCTACTGTTTTCCTGTGATATGATCAAAGTGATCAAATCAGGTCTCCACAAAGTCTGTCCTTTTTAAAAAATACTCTTTTAGCCCAAAATACCTGTGTGATGCATCTTTCTCGTTCACTTAAATCACCCCTCAAATTCCACCTTTATCTTTTTTTTAGTATCCATATCCTATGCTAGTAATCCTGCAAGCAAGCCTAAGCATTCCTGTCACTAAAATTATCACTTATTTTTATTCTGCCTCCATTTCTTGTGTTGTTTCCTGTAGGAATGTCTGATTTTCAGCAACTTGCGCCGGGGACCTATTTTCTTTACCACATATTTATGCCAAGCTCATGCTGTCGTTTTCACTGCTGTTGGTTTTTGTACAGTCACTGATATTGTCATTATATCCAATGATATACGGGAATAGTGATTTATGAGTAATGATAGTACAAAAAACATTACTAAGGAATCTGTATGGTTTGGTACAGGAAGAAGTCAATTGAGATGATACTATGAGTTACCAGACTGATAAACACCAACTGTAGTGGCACTACTGGTGGGAAGTCCATTGCATTGGCTCTAACCCCTTGTTACTTCCAGAATAACAACTTGCTCAGTACACAGCAGGGACTTAATGGTTATAAATCTGAACAGTGAGGAGCAACTTTCTGAATCAAGCTAAATGCAGATAAACTCAAGAAACAACTTTCTTTTTAAAAAGTTAATTATTTGTCTTTCATGCCCTTTTCAAAGTTTGCTTGAACTGGATTTCACAACACATAACAGAAGTAAGAAGTCTGCATCACCTAGATTTTCCTAAAAAGCATGCATTCAGAAACATCTCATGACTTGAAATTTCAGGAAGACCTTGCAATAGCATCTATTTTAAATTCAAAATGCTGCTATAGCTTCAGGTGAAATGAAATATGAAAAATACAAATCCCAGGGGTTGCTGCACTTGGAAGTTTCTATTAAATCAAGGTTGAAAGCTTCATGAAACCCTGCTATAAGATCTCCCTACTGCTTCTGGTAAGTGTATTTGGGCAGAATGGTTAACAGATAGAGTTGGGAAAATGCACTGGGGTGAGCTCAAATTTGAATTCAATTTGGACATGGGCTCAATGTGAAATGTGCACTGGAGTAAAAAGGGAGAAACTTCACACCCTTTAAAGCCCTCTGGCCTTATATCTAAAATTCTGCCTCTAAAAGTTTCTTAAATCATCAAAATACTACACTTGATCTTAGCCAAAAATTATGATGTTCACTAAACGACCCAAGAAGTACTGCTGGAGAATAGATGGAAACAAAATTGAGCAGGCTTCAGATTTTAAATACCTGGGAGTAACCCTCCATTGCACAAACAGCAAGAAAGCCCACGCAGAGTATGCAGCAGAGACAGCGCAAAAGAGCTCATCCGCCATCTTAAGATACCTCAAGACGGGAGAAAGTCACTTTATACCAGCGGCACTTAAACTTTTCGAAGCTAAACCAATCACACAAATGCTGTATGGAACCCAGCTTGGCCCCTTTTCAAATTATGCACCACTACAGCATGTTCAATCAAAATTCCTAAGAGCAGCTCTACAGGCTCCCAGATGTGTCTCTAATGCCACCCTGAGATTGGAGACAGGCTTCGTGAAAGTGGAGGCGAGAATATGGACAGCCATTCTCAACTACTGGCTACGCCTATCCTTCTCCCCATGTGGTCTTGCCCCACTAACCATGAGGGGCAACTTCCAGTCCACATGGACTAAAACAGTGGCAACAAAGATCACAACTCTAGGTTTCTCCTAAGGACAATTGTGAAGCATGAGATGGGACCAAGCCAAATATTTCATTAAGTAACAGATCCTGGACATAGAGTGCCAATCAGACTTAGCCTGTTCCCCAACCTTTATTGTTAGGGAAGCCAATAGATCCCTCACTGCCCCCATAGCATACCTAACAGACCTGGAGGTGCCCAAACACCAAAGGGCTTTTACCTTGGCAAGATATCATTCCCTACCATTGGCTGCATTGGAGGAGAGGTATCGAAAGACCCCCCTTCAAGGAGAGACTATGCCCCTGTGAGTCTAGACACGTAGAAACAACTGAACAGACACCTTAGAACAAATCTCATTACACCATGGCTTCTAAAATACCCAGGGTGCAGCGAAAAATATTATTCCACCCTGCTGCTTTCGGATTCTAGTACTACAATAACTTACAGTGTTCCTAAGTTTTATGCTACAGCACTTAAAACTAGACAAATGATGATTGACCCTGCAAGGCAACGCTCTATTGGGAATGTAGTTACGAGCAAAATGTTACAGCTGAAATGCTACTAGACTTGTAATGTGCTCCTCTCATCCCCTTTAGTCCTCCCCCCCCCCAAGTGTTTTGACCCCTCCTATCAGTCTTCCCCCTCTCAGTTCCATACCTGTTGCATTAACCTGTGTTTTAAACTGTGATTTTAAACTGTTTTCTAATCTGCTTTTTAATAACTGCTTCATTGAGGAGCTGTGTTTCCCTTCTCAGGGAGCTTGTGCCCTGCTTTGTGCTGGTCAGTGACCGTAATAAAGTTTTGAATTGTACTGTAAATCATCAAGAAAATCACAGTCCATACCTTACTACAGTCTAGCAATAGTGTTGGACTCTTGAAACAGAATTCTTCTGATGAAGAGTCATCTTTTCCCTTTTCCTGTTGACCACTATAATACAACAAAGGTTGAAAATCATCTCCATCTATCAGGAAGAGTGAATAATCTGGACCTGCTGCTATATTCCAGATGTTGTTGTCACTGCAAACCTGGAAAACATACAAGTATCAATATCATAATAAGGATAAAAGAAAATCCTCCTCAACCATAAACCTGCAAGTCACCTTCAACTTATGGTGACCCCATGGGTTTCACTGGATTTTCTTAGGCAAGGAATCCTTTTACAAATTCTCCTATCCAAATACTAACTGTGGTCTAAGAGCTAATCCATAAAATTATTATTATTATTATTATTATTATTATTATTATTATTATTATTTAGGAGTCACTGCTTAGCTTCCAAGATCCTGCTAAACAATAGTGCAAGGATTGAAATATTTTGCATGTAGGTAATGAACAGCTGCTTTGAGTCCCCTTGCAGGGAGAAAAGCGGAATGGAAACAAACAAACAAACAAACAAACAAATATTGAACAGCTGTTTAAATCAATTGAGGCAGATTTCAGACAGATTTCAGACAATGAAGGTGACTGGTATTCTAATTTTTGAAGATAACATACTGACCTCAATTATGCTTGTTCTAAGAGTCAAAACATTTATAAATATCCTGATTCTGTATAGAGTTCATTTGTTTAAACCAAGACTTGACAAACACACCAGGTCCAGGAGCTGTTCTCACCCAACTCTCCAGCCCCTCAATTCCTTGCAGATCTCCTGCATACATTTTTAAAACTGGAAGTGATTAGATGGTTACTCAAGATTTCAAGAAAAAAGCTATATATATTTTTTAAAAACCTGAAGAAAACTAGAATTGAAGTGGAGGTACATGACTCTGGTAATCTCCAATTCTCCATCTTGGTGTGGGGCGGCTTCATATGACTTCATGGCATGGCTTCCTGGCTTAAACCCTAAAGGCTTCAATGGGATTTAAGAAGCCAGTGTGCAAGCTACAGCCTTCAAGTTTAGTTGTATCTCGACTTGAGAGTAAATTCAGGTGTCATGGTGAAGGAGATTCAGAAGGATCTGGAGATTATTCCCACAGCGGTACAGTTTAATTACAACTCTCAAAAGTATAGAAGATTAGAGGAATAAACTCCAGCTACTCCTCAGATCCAAGGATATGAAAAAGTGGACTATGGAGGCAGTAGAGGATCAAGCAGTCAAGCACCTGAGCCCTAGAGCAAAAAGTAAGTAGCCATTATGCTTTTGAACTGGAGAGTTTTGCTGCATTGTTGCAAGCATTTGCTTCCGCTTCAGATGATCCAGTACATAGGTTTCATTCCTCCATTATACTGGGCCATCAAGGCTCTCCAAACTGTAGTGCAACTGCAGGGATGAGCCCATCACACCATCAGCTCCTAGCTTGACAGAAGCACTAGCAAAAGTCCCCTAATTCCTTCCTCAGATGGACACTTGGAACTGGGGATGCAACACATGTTTTACTCTGTTTCTGTTTACAGTTGGCCATTTTTACAATAGTTCTTATCATGGGTTATTGGGCACTGTTTTGACCTTAAATTATTGTTTTATATGCCATTGGTTTTATCTTCTATTGTACTGTGTGTTTTTATGCATTGTTTTAGGCACATTGTGCCATAAGTAAGCCATCCCAAGTCCCTTCGAGGAGATGGAAGTGGGGTATAAAAATAAAGTTATATTATATTATTAATGTTAATTTTAATGTTTATTTTAATTGTATGTTGTTTTTAAGGCATTGACTAGTTGCCTATGTGTAAAGCCGCCTTGAGTCCCCTTTGGAGTTGAGAAGGGCAGGGTATAAATATGGTAAATAAATAAAATAAATAAACTTAAGGACTACTCCTGGTATTACACTGTGATCTGGAGGAGATGTATAAGGATAGAAATAAGATTCCACTTCCTGGGGCTACAAATGTGTGGCTAGGCATCATAGGCAGAACTTGCTATCAGTAGCCATAATGCAAAGAAGAAAATCTGTCATTTAACAACTACACTGGTGTGACCTTCAATTTCAGCACTCACAAAGGGTTATTATTATGATGGGAGGCTTTGTCACAAACAGAACTGAATCATTTAAAAAAAAAAAATACCTTAGCAAGACGAGGAACTGTTGTTGGAGAACTTAAGTGACTGAGCTGTCCAAAAGAATTACTGCCCCATGAATATACCTGCATAAAAACATTAGTGAAAAGTGTGTAGAAATCCATTTAGTCTTTAAGAGAGTGGTGGTAAACGTTTGACATACTAAACTTAGCTCAGAAGCCTATCCATCTATGTATCCAGGTAAGTCACGTGTAGAGAGCATTTCACCACCACTAAATTACTGCAACTAATGTTTTGCACCAAATGGTTAATAACTGAGTTCTGGAGATCCCATTAAAAAATATCCAAACTGTCTCATCTTGTTAAAATTTCTCTTTCCCCTCCCTTTTTTTTCATACACCAAGAAGAGAATATCAAATCTTTCTGCTTTTAGTTTCAAACTAAAATACCACATGATCTCTTGAACTAAAATAACCCTGGATTATTTACACTGTGGTTACTAGGAAAATATCAGGATATGAAACCTCTGCTTACTTCCAAATATATGGTAACAAACTCTCCCTTTCTTCCTACCACTCCTCCATTATCAGAACTGGATGACTCCTTGTGTATCTTCAGCTTCTTTCATATTATTCTCTTCTGCTTCCCACCTATTCCATTTCTCTATTCCATTTAGCACATCGGTGGGGAATTGTAGGCCCTTCAGATGTTTTGGACTTACTTTCCCATAGTATCATTTACTGTGCTACCTGGGGCTTCTGGAATTGAACCTGAAAGCTGCCAATGACAGCGTATTAGTTGGCATTACTACCACTCTTCTTCCTTTATCTTTCTATTCCTACTTCCTCTTGCTGTTCATTAATATGTAGAAAAAGAACCAAACCAGTTCTGATCACAGTGAGGGCTGGCATCTAAACCCTACAGGAGAGGGTAAGTCAAAATGAAATTCTGGGGATTCAGACCTTGTTCACAATCACAATTTCCTTACTACATCTCTTAACAGGATTTTAGGCAGACATATACATATAGAATGTGTTTGTGTACTCTCTCTCTCTCTCTCTCTATATATATATATACATATACACACACACACATACATTTTGCCCATAACATAAGTTTCTTTGCAACAAAGTTAACTACAGCATGAACCCAACATTAAACTCTGAACTAGGCAACAACTAGGTAAGCAAATAAAACCAAGTTCCACAATTAAAATAGATACATTACGTTATCTTTATACCTGTGATTTGGCAGTAAGGGCCAAGGAATGATGGCCACCTGCAGACAATTGAATTACTTCCTTGCCATCAAGACTTTTTACACACAGTGGTTGTAACCTGTGAACTCACAAAATGAAATAAATTACAACCTTAACCACAGCCTATATAATGCACAATATTTCAAAGGAATGTAGTTTGTAAGCCACATATAATACAATTAGCAATATAGTAGATCAAAAGGTTGCTGTCAGTCTTGATCACAAACTTGTTTTGTTTTGCTAGAGATCAATTTCACAGACTGGATAACCATCACCCTTGCACAGAAAATATTTTCTCTGTGGACTCACCTTGGCAAGATATCACCATGTCCGAGTTGTCCTTCTTTTCCTTTTCCCCAGCTCCACACCTCAGTTCGCAAAGATGGGAGAAGTGCATCAGCTTCACCACTATAGGTTGGTGTGAGGGCCACTGTCCTCATTCTGGCTCTCCCTACTTTCCTTAAGAGCCTTGGAGAAACTAAGGAATAAATTTCAAAAGCTCAGTTTCCTTTGTGGTCAAAGCAATGAATGAAAACGAAAACCACAATCTAAGCTCATAAGACCATCAGTCACTATTGTGAAAACATTACCTGAGAAATTTAGCACAAGAACAGATTGATACTTTTATTTTAGAAGTACTAATATGACATTCATGGATTTGCCATAGATCTACAGATGATGTGAAATCACATATATGCACACACATTCACACATGAAAACCAACTTTTAGGGGCTCTTATACTGAAGTGTAGGTAAACTTTGTCTATTTTCTTTCGTATTCCAAGATGGATCTCCAGAAACAATAAATATAAGTTTTACTTTTTTTGCTTTATAAGAGCATCCTTGCTTTCTCCTATTTTATCACTAGGTCAAAATGTATTGATTTCACTCTATTTTGCTTTTTATAGATACCAAATATTCCTCAAATTTCCCCACTTCTTGCTCAAGGAAACAGAATCCTTATTTCAGTACCCCATTCTGGATCAGTTCTGAGGTATGTGTCCCGTGTAGATAGGCCACTTCAACTATCACTATCAACCGAAATATCACAAGGCAACCAAACCAGAAGAATTTCTAGACAAAATGTAAAGTTTTATCAGACAGAAACAGGAGCATCTGCAGGAACTGTCAACCAACTGTAATTAGGAAGCAGGAAAGATATTCTGTTGCAGAGTTTACATGTAACCTTCCAAGTCATCTGGTATACATTCATTCCACATTTGTATCATTTTTCAGCTCTACTGACATTTTTTTTATAACAAACATAAGTTAATAGCCATGTGTCCTATCACATGCAAAAGTATATACATCGGGTGTGTGTATGTGTGTGTGAATATTTCCAGGGTAAGTTACACAAACACTATATTCGAGCATCTCACCTTGAGACAGCAAACCAGGTAAAGAAAGTCTTCTAGAAATTCCTTCAGATTCCTCTTCCCGAATATCTACCAAGCTGGAACTCTTTTTTCCTTGCATTGATTCTAGCTTGACCTGCTCTTCTCTGCTATCCTTCAGGCTATCCAAGGCTGGAGAACCACCACTAGATGGGGAAACAGCATCACTGGGAATGGTGCCATAGAAGTTCATTACTTTCTTCAGCGATAAGGCCCCAGCTTCATAGGTGGCAGCTACTCTCACACCAACTGCTGATGCACATGAGACTACCAGGCTATTAAGAGCAGAAGTACCTGGTCCAGATGGACTGGGCAGACAAGCAATGAAATTTTCTTCTTGAGAATGCTAGAAAAAACAAAAATGGAAGCCAAAGAACTCTATAACGATGGATTACTCAAGTAGATTTAATATAATGCATTATATGCAGCCTCTAGTCCCAAGTTTGATTTTGCATACGATGATAACATTAAATGTTGCATAAATATATTTTCTAACATCTCCAAAACAGAATAAACAAATAATTGCACAATTATAGGGATGTTCTCTGTGATACATACAAATTGGTTTGAGGGACAATCAAATTTTAAAGTACAACTTTAAAAAAGCCAGCATTAAATTCTGCTGCATCAGTTCTGTTCACTTCAGATTAACTGCATAAGTAAAGTGATATTTACTCCTGGACTTGGGGTGCCTCTATACCATAGAATTAATGCAGTTTGAAGCTACTTTAACTGTCATGGATCAATGCTATTACATTGTTGGAGTTGTAGTTTTACAAGATATTTAGTGTTCTCTGCCAAAGAATGCCAGAGCGTCACCAAACTACAACTCCCACGATTTCACAGCATAGTGCCATGGCAGTTAAAGTGGTATCAAACTGCTTTAATTCTCCTAGCAACAGAAGGGCTTATACTAGAATTAAATAAAATACAATGTGTTGATAAGCAATTCTACACTGCATTTCAACCACTTTCATTACAACCATTAGCTTATTTTAGATAAAATGCATATCTTAACCTGTGAATTGCTAGTAGACAAAATAAGCATTACCAACAAGATTTTTAAAAGATAGTATCTCATATGATACAACTTTATTTAGGGGAAAGAATTAAATGAGTTTTAATAGTCAAGTAATGGTGTAACTCAGGAGTCCTCAAACTAAGGCCCGGGGGCCGGATACGGCCCTCCAAGGTCATTTACCCGGTCTTCGCTCAGGGTCAACCTAAGTCTGAAATGACTTGAAAGCACACAACAACAACAACAAGAACAATCCTATCTCATCAGCCAAAAGCAGGCCCACACTTCCCATTGAAATACTAATAAGTTTATATTTTGTTAAAATTGTTCTTTATTTTAATTATTGTATTTTTAAAGTGTTTTTTGCACTACAGATAAGATATGTGCAGTGTGCATAGAAATTCATTCATTTTGTTTCAAATTATAATCTGGCCCTCCAACACTTTGAGGGACTAGGACCTGTCCCTCTATTTGAAAAGTTTGAGCACCCTGGTGTAACTTATGGTTCTGGGAATTAAACATATGAGGTACCATCTCTTCCAAGGACACTCTAGGTAGAGATTATTACAGAAAAAGAAAATTACTTCCTCATTAAGGATTGAGATAGTGGAAGAAAAGCTATCCATTTTGAGGTTTTTGTTTCTGGTTTTGTGGGAAGACAGGTTCAGCGACTCTCTATTTAAAATACCTTAGTCAACTGCTATTTTTTTAAAAAATGTTTATGTTATTTATCTACACTGCCACTATGAAAACAAACACAGAAGTGTATAATGAATAAAATAAAGGAGCACTCACGTAAAAACATAACACAATCCCTGAGAGTTGTCCACCCCTGCCTGCAATGCTATAAAAAGTTGCAGAGTGAGCTAAGAGAACCAATGAGGCTGTTTTCCTTCCATATATTTTCCAGCATAAGTCATTTACCAAGAGCACCCCCATATTCCAGAAAGATGCGCAGCACAAATGAGTATTATCTAACTTTTTGGACAAATTTTATCTGCTTCTTTCGGTCAGAATATGCAAAAATGTCAGCAATATATTCTGCAATATATTCCCAGTAACTGACTCTGACACAGAAGTTAGAATTTTTGGCTGGAAAGTCTGCTTTCACTGTCACCATGGTTAAACTAACCAAAAAAAGAAAGCACAATCCTTTCTATTATACTTTCTGAAACAGGGAGATTGAGATCACCCACTATAGCTGCACTGGTTATTAGCTCAAGTAGTTGCTCACAGACCCTTTTTATTTCTTCATTATTCAAGGCACATTTTCAAGGCTCACAAGGGAAGCAGATAAATCATTTCTTAAATTAAGTTTTTAAAAGCCACACAATCCACCCATCAAATGAATAACATTTTTAGCATCCTCACACACCCTACAACATAAACAGAAAGTAGCTAGAGGGGGGTTTCTTCAGCCTCTGTGTCTGTCATATGCTCCAACTGGACAGAGCCTCTTTTGTGTTAACCCCATACCACGTAGATGGTGACTCTGCCTATAGGAATTCTGGTATCGAACATCTTGCAGAACACAAACCAAGCCCCCAAACACCCTATAGCACTCCCACCCAGTAAAGGTCAAATGAGGAATTTTGGAGAGCAGATCACCTCAAATCCAGCAATGATCCCGTGAGTTTGCATCTTAGTCATATGTAACTTTGGAGCTCTCTCCAGAAGCATAACGAACAAGATGACCATGGCTATCTTATGATCTGAAATGTCAAGGAATTTTGAGAAGTTTTCCAAGCACTGATCCTCAGTTACACCATGTAAATATGTGTGCCCTGAAAGTGTTTTTAAAGAAATATGTTTTGAATGCCTTTTCAAGATTTCTAGTTCCAGAAAACAGAGTAAGAGGAATCAGAGATATTAGCTCAAGCAGATTTTACTGGAAATAAATAAATGTAATAAAAAAAATCTAAGTCCAGTATATCTGCAGAACAGACATTTGATTTCGATTTCTGTGCAAAGCAGAAAGGGTACATTGAACTTAGTTATCATCAGGAGGCCCAAACTGAAAAACAAGATCTTGTCTGCCATGCACATGTCTAATTGCACGCATGCAGCCCCATGAGAAAAAGCTTTGACCTACACAAGGGAATGGTTCAAGATGCTACAGTACACAAAATGAGAAAAGCACATTAAAATCCACTTCACAAACCAAGATATGGAATACTGTACAAGATATGGAATACTGTACTGTACAGCCTAATTTTATTTTTTACAGCCCAAAGGTATTCACAGCACATACCAAAAATAGATATTATAAGGAGACTGATTTGACATTGCTCTTTTCATTTATTAAAAGGCATAATTGGCATGATTCCTCACAGTATGTTACAGAAATATCCTAAATAAAACAAATTTCAGATATTTCTGTTGCTTTTGTGAATTTTTGTTTAAATCCTGATGAGGGAATGATCAAATTTTTAACACCTCTATCACCAGTTACATGGAGGAGACACTGAAAATTTTAAAATATAGCCGGTTCATATATGCTAGTGTGTGATGGAAGCTATTTTGATAAGGGGTTTAACATCTGTGACAAGGCCTTTTCAGTTGTGGTACTTGGTGTTGGTATGCAAACTTCAGAAAGGTTCAGCCTTCCCTGTTTTGTGGGGAGGTGGTGCAAGGTTTAAAAAAATCTTCTATTGTGAACTTCTTTTGTTTTTGTTTTTATTCCTCATTTCTATCATAAAGAGATTCTATTTTTTCCAAAGGATTATATTAGCCATTTCTCTTTTGGAATACATGGGGCTACCCTTGAAGACGGCCTGGAAACTACAACTTGTCCAACGTTTGGCAGCCAGATTAATAATGGGGGAGAATTACAGGGAGGGGTCAACCCCCGTTTCAGGAGCTCCATTGGCTGCTGTTCATTTTCCAGTCTCAATTCAAGGTACAGGTCATCATCTATAAAGCCCTAAATGGTTTGGGACCCGCCTACCTTTGTGACCGTATCTTCCTCCATGAACCTGCTCAAACCCTTCAATCCTTGGGGGAGGCTCTTCTTTCACCCCTACTACTATCTCAGACCCACCTTGTGGGAACAAGGGAGAAAGCCTTTTCCTCAGTGGCTCCCTGACTATGGAATAAATTGCCCAATGAGATTAGGTGAGCCCCTACTTTAGAAAGTTTTAAGAAGAATCTCAAAACCTGGCTCTTCTGCTGCAATCTTGGAGATTAATCATATAATCTCATATTGCTGTTATCCCTCAACATCTGTCTTTAGTGCATACCTCCTCCCCTTCTGTATGAAGGCCCTCTTCCACCCCATTCTGGAAGAGTTCCTCCCCCACAAATAATCTGCTCCATCGCTGTCTCACCTCGTATTTTTAGTCGTGTTTTTAGCCCTAGTAGTTTATTCTGTACATGCGGCCTGCTCACTGTTTTATGTTTTGTTCATGAATGATTTTATTGTAATTTTATTTTGTTTGCTGTGTTCTTATGCTTTATGCTTTATGTAATTTATCATATTGTATGTATTTTTATCCTTTACAATTTTAGCTTGTAAATCGCCTAGAGCATCTTGGATGGAGGGCGATTAATAAGTGATTAAATGATGATGATGATGATGATATTGTTGTTTGTGGTTTGATTTCATTTATTGTATTGCGTTGCTGGGCTTGGCCTCATGTAAGCCACCCCGAGTCCCCATTGGGGAGATGGTGGCAAGATACAAATAAAGATTATTATTATTATTATTATTATTATTATTATTATTATTATGAGAGAGGCACATTAGATATCTTTACATATATCCTTCAGAATCATGACGTTCATTTTGACATCAAATTTTTGACAATCTTGAGAATCTGACATACTTGTTTACACATTGTACAGTACAAACAAATGAGTATGGGTACCTGTTCAGGTTGTGAATCAATTTGCTTCTCACCACTGTCATTCAATGAATGATCTGGAAGACTCATATGGTCTTGTTTTGGTACTGTTTTGGCAGTTGCCAAAATATTTCCTGGGCTTAAAATGCAGTGGTCTTCCTGTCCATCACTGTTTGAAAAAACATTCCCTGCATTATATTCTGTAGCCATGAGAACCTGGTCTTCTGTAGCAGTCTTCTGACAATCCTCATTTTGACTGCTGGTTGTACTTTTCTCCCCAAGAGTTTCTACCGAGAAGCAATTGAGGTGGTTTTCTGCTTGAGAGTCAGCCAGGACAACTCCCAAAGGACAGCAGTGACTATCTGAGATGATCACATGATCTTCTTTGTCCGTCATAGTAATCAAAAGCTGACTGCAATGATTGCATCTTTCTGGAATAGGTTTCACATCTTGGGTGGGGAGGCACTGGACAAGAGCAAGGCTGTGATAAGCCCCACAAGCAATCTGAAGTACAACCCGCCCTGCAAGGTACTCAACCTTTTGAGGTTTGGTCACTGGGAAAGTGTTGGTTATAAGGCCGAGCTGACAGCCACTTCCCCATGCCCATATCTCTCTGTTTAGTGAAAGTGCCAGGGTGTGCTCCTCTCCACATGCCAGCTGCAAAATCCGTATTGGCAAAAGGTTACTAGCTTCAGAGTCTGAAATACTGACAGGTGTTGGTTCTGGCACAGTAGTCTGGCTGGCCACAGCACACTGCCCAGAAGAATTTTCCCCCCACATGTATACCACACCATCTTCAGCAACGGCTCCACAATGGAAACTCCCAGCTGCCACTATGGTAATGTGTTGCCCACTCAAAGTCTTTTCCAAAATGGGACAACTGATATACGCATCTTCCAGTCCAACCCTCCAAGGAAGTTTTCCAAAAGTGTAAACCTCACCACCTAAAACAAAGAAAAAATTGTTCAGGCCATATTCATGTCTATCACATTTATAAAATATTCAAGAAACAAAACATAAAACCTGCCAAACTAACATTGAAGTACAAGAGTTGTGTCCCAGATCTCATCTCATCTTGGCCATCAAGCAGGGTTAGCCCTGGTTATTACCTGGAGATCACCAATGAATACCAGGCTCTGTATGCTACATTTCAGAGGAAGAAAATGAAGAACTAACTCTGAGAATTTCTTGCCTAAGAAAACCTATGAAATTAACGGGGGTGCCATGAGGCAATAGATGGCTTGAAGACACACACACACACACACACACACTATAGTTCAAAAATATTATTCGAAAATGCAATCAATCCCTAACTGGGCAACTAATATACTAGCTATCACAGATTTATAATGCAAGTTTACATGGAACCTGTTTGCAAAACAATATTCCATGAATAAACACAACATACAGAGGTGGAAACATTTCTTAGAGGTTTACAAGCAATTCTAATTTGTAGGAATAATGTTGCATACCTTCTGATAGAAGCACACCATGATTTACTCCAAGCGCTGCCTGCAATACTGTTTTTGCATTCCAACCTAGAAGCCTTTCTGGGGCTGGACAAGCGCAACCAGCCTGCCATATGTAGGCCAGGCCTCTCTCACCATTTTGATCTGTAGAACTACTTAGCAAAAGAAATACAAAAATATAAATCCACAGCAAGTTAGACTTTGGTCAAACTTGAGTTAGAACAAATTATATACTCAGGACAAATTCCTTACACTTGACTATTAAAAACACAGCTGTAATGCATAAATAACATCAGTCCTTACATATCACACATCAGTTCAAGGAAGTCTAAGGGAGCACTTAGATGACCTAAGCATTAGTCACTGTGAGCCTGAAGCATTAATTGTGCCTATTCCCAATATTCTTTGTTACCTGTACACAACAGGGATGTTTATGCGAGTAGGTATAGTGATAGGAATCATGATTTTACTAGATTGATTGATGCGTCCTAGGTTTACAGATGCTATTGGACATGAAGCTCGCCCAGTGTGTTTTGGACTTTAACTCAGTCTAATGTATGTGGTGGGATGGCACACAGAAACAACTCAACTGCCCCAGCACTATGAGATATAGTGATAGTAAAAGGTAATTAAAAAGAACCTTTGAACTTAATTTGGTACTATTCTTCTTGCCTTTCAACCTCCAGAAAGGAATGATGTTATTAACAGCTATGTTGCAGTAGTGACAATAGATCTTTCCATGGCTTAAAATTTTTGCACTAAATCACAGCTCTAAAAGCATATACAATCACATGTTAACTCAGTCTTATGGATTACTGTAATTTACATACAAAATTATTTTACATACAAAACACTTCTATACACACAATGCACATTATTTTCACTACATCAATAATGAAAGTATCAACTTTTTACTGTCTCAGGGACATTTGTTCCTTGCTACAAGTGAAGAGTCATTTGCAAGGGGGAGTTAAGCATTGTAGTAGTACTTAGAAGATGTTTATAAAACACAGACTTACCTTTCTTTTTTCGAGTCCATCAGTCAACAAGAATACTCCATCACCACATCAATTCTTTCTGATAGTAAGAGGGCTGTTTTGAAAACCACTAAGTTGAAAGCAAAACACAAACTTAGTGGCTGTTGCTCATGCATGTTACAAGGTGGCTACACACGACTGGAATGCTTAAAGTATTCTCTTAGATTTAAAAAAAAAACAACACAGATGACCTAACATTTGCATTTCTCTTCTTTTTCAAATTCTTTGTTAACTGAGATATGCATGTATCAGTAAATCGGAAAATTAATGATTTTTTTTCTCCACTAATTCTCCTAGTATTAAGCAGACATAGTGCATTTATTACCATAAAATGAGAAAACAAAACCAAACCAGAAGACAATGCTGTATATAGTATTTGATTAAAATCTTCATCTTGTCCCTCATCTTATAAATTTTCCTTCTCACTCTAAAACAAAATATCCCATAATCAATTTTCCCCATTTATTTGAGGGAAGTCTTTGGGAAAACCCAAGGGGAATTTTCCTCCAAAATGTCAGGTTTCCCCCCAACTTCACATTTCTAGCAAACTGAAAAATGATAGTTGACAAATCAACCCTAGTCTTGGTTTCACTTTTGCACATATAAAAGCTCAAAACATGATGTGGGCTTTTTATTAAAAAACATTTTTAACTTACTATCAGCAGTAAGTCAATATATAAGACACTGTCACCATAACAACTATCCACTTCTGGACAATGAATTTGTTGGGTGTTATGTCCTCCCAGTCGTTTCTGACCTAAGAACGTTTCTGACCATGTTTTTTTTTTTTTTGGCAGGATATCATATATTTTGAAGAGGTTTGCTATTGCCTTCCCCTGAAGCTTGCGTCTATGGTCACCACTGCAAATGTGATCACATTCATTTTCTTAGGTCCAATATTACTGAAAATATCTTAAAATCAAAACACTTGTGGAGAAAAATTCAGGAATAAAGTATGCGTGTGAGGGGGAAAAAATCAATGTGTGTGTTACAGCAGCCTGGATTTCTCATTACAAATCAATTAATCTGTTGCTAGTGTACTGCGTCCAGGGAGCTAAAATGTTGGCTTTGTTTAACAGGAGTAGATTTCACTTTTTAATGTAAATGTCTGGTTTGCTGAAAAGTATCAATGTTCTAAAATGCCTTAGGTGCTTCCTCATCTATGTATTGGCCATGTTGGTTGGAATCTTATTAGTGACATGTGCCCCTGTATGGCTTACGTTTTTGGAGATCTCTTTTTTCATAAGAGTGCAATTCTGTAGCCCTTTCCATCCCATCAAAACTCTCTAAGCAGTGTAGCTGTCCAGCCCCAGGAAGGGCTGCTACTGTTTACCAGTAAGGGAGACAATTAAACCAATGCAGCTTTGAAGGGAAAAGATGGAAGGATATACTCATCTGCAAGTTCATTCCCATTTCCCTTCCCACACAAATGGAGTGTGAGATTCTTATTTTATATTGTCCAGTTTAAGTTACTTTTAATTGGAGCTGCACAGCTGTTTGCTCTAAGTCTCTCACAGTTCAACTACATTTACTCTCAGGCCAGTCCAGGAGTATAACTTAATGTTCTTGTAATGCTATTTGTTTTCTTCTCTAATGTTTTATGTCTCTAACCTTAAACTTAAGCAACATTTTCACCTGCATGCTTTGGACAACAGCCTTCCTCAGCATGCCAAACTGCATTTTCATCTAGAATTCTATATGTAATTCTGGATGTCTGGGATTCTGGGAATTATGAGTTACCTGACAATAAGTAGTAGAGTACATGGAAGGCTTATCTGATAGTTGTCTTCTGCCGAGTTGAAAATTAACATAAAGTTTAGAATTCTTTTGTCCAAGAGTTAAAGGATTGAGAGGTTTGGGCAGGTGCGTGTGGGGTTGATGTTTTCAAAACAATTTGAAAAATCTCCACAACACTTGAACTTCCACCTTAAATTCCTTATCAGGTATAGGTAATCAAAGACTGAAGTGCTGGACATACAAAGTTTCAGGCCCCTTCTACACTGCACTATATTCCAGGATCTGATCCCAAATTATCCACTTTGAACTGGATTATATGTTTAAACTATCAGATAATCTGGGATAAGCAGATAATCTGCGATCAGATCCTAGGATACAGGGGCAGTGTGGAAGGGGCCTCAGGGCCTTTCCACACAGCCATATAACCTAGAATATCAAGGCAGAAAATCCCACAATATCTGCTCTGAGCTGGGTTATCTGAGTCCACACTGCCATATATCCCAGTTCAAAGCTGTGTTGGCCTTAGATATAACATGGAAATAACAGACTATGTTCCACCACAATGAAAAGCAGTGTGCATATTTCAGCAAACTTTGTAATCCAATTAACAACGTACACAAGTTAACTGAAACAACCAGATCAGGTAAAGCCTTGAAGAAGTCAACAAAAACACATTTAAATCTTCAAGCAAACTCTTGAAGGTTTTTTTCCCAAAATATCTTCAGGCATGATTTCTTTTCATCCACTTTTCTTATGTTTTTCATTTTGATGACCAAAAATATAGGTCTAGGCTCCTTTGAAACTGTCGGGGAGATATGGTGAGGCAGGTTTATCTGCTTTCTCCTTTTCCTAGCTTTGCGGAGGTAAGCCTGCATTTGCCCTTGAGCTCCACATTACAAGAGCTGAGCAACAGGTCAAACCTGGTGCCCACTTTCAAGGACTTTCACTAGTAATTCAATTTACTTATGGAAATATAATTTTCATGAAGTGATGCCATGGTAGTTATTCCAACCGAAAACAACACAAAGGATCAACACACTTCATTTGGAAGAAAAAAGTCTCCAAGGGCCTACACCTGGGATGCCTCTATTTCTAGTCCAGTGATGCATGAGTTCAGAGTTTAATTCGTTCTGTGACTGCACTCTTAACTCAAATAACTCTTATCTTAAATCAAATTTTCCCATTGAAATGCTACTAATCTGTTCCAGCCTCCTGAACCTCTTCCTTATTTTTAACATGTTTTAAATAAGAAAATGTACTTCATAGATAATAAATAATGTATAAATGCACATTTACGTGGAACAATTAAAAAAGAAAGATCAACTTTAGAATGGTAGAAGCACTAAGTTGTGGCAAGGAAGGACAAAGCGAAGAGGCAGAAGCACAATTTTTTTCATACTGGACTCATTCTAGCCCCTGGACCCTCCTGGACGGGCCCTATATCCCAAGATCTGATCCCAGGTTTTCTGTTTGTCCCAGATTATGTGGTAGTGTGGACTCATATAATCCAGTTTAAAACAGAAAACCTGGGACCACATCCTGGGATATAGGGCCTGTCTGGAAGGACCCTTGCTCCCTCTCTTGCTCTCTCCCTCTCTCTTCATGAAGCCAAACATACCAGGAATGAAAACCACACAAAATCAACTAACCCAAAGTTTCTCAAAGCATATAAGAGTTAAGTGGAATGAGTATGAGGCACAAAGACTGCTCCCTTGAAGCCCCAAAGCCCCGTACTCTCGCGCTAGCACTCCCTCTGGTCCTAGTTATTAACTCAAAATGCTGCTCTTATGTCAAGGTGAAACCAGGCAGAGCTATGGCTCTTAACTCAAACACTCTTAAGTGGAGGTTCCACTGTATTACTAAACAAACACAGAGATATGAGAGCAAGCTTTGGCTAGAGTGAATTGTGGAAATTGGCTGATTGTGTTGACTGTGGGATTCAGGAAGTTGTGGTCCAGAAAAGTAACTTTTCCAAGCTCTGCTGAGAGCCATGTAAAAGGGTTATGTAAAGAGCAACCCATTCAGTCAGCATTTCACCTCCACAAAGCATGGCCAGTTTTCGCTGGAGGCTCCTATAAAGATGCTTTTAGTAGTTCTGCAAATCTAATGCTGTCAGTAGAAAGATGTGTAAATGAATGCACAACATTAATTCTCTTTGCTTTTTGAAATATGTCACCCTCCCTGGCATCCGCTGAGCCATCTGCTCAGTGCATATGTCTGCCAAATATGCCTGCAAATGGACCATATTCCTCCACAGTAAGGCCAATCTCATGCTGCTTCAGGGACAAATATATCACTTGCTGGGACTAGGAAGAATACAACAATAGCAAATGCAAACAGCATCCTCAGGCCCCATCTACACTGCCTTATAATCCAGTTTCTCAATCCAGGGGCCCTTCCACACAGCCCTCTATCCCAGAATATCAAGGCAGGAAATCCCACATTATCTGAGTGTGGACTCAGATAACCCAGTTCAAAGCAGATATTGTGGGATTTTCTGCCTTGATATTCTGGGATAGAGGGCTGTGTGGAAGGGCCACAGATGAACTTGGAAGTCTGACTTGGCCACAGTGGTCCACACTCTGGTTGCATCCTGAATAGACTACTGCAAAGCACTCTATGTGGGGTTGCCTTTGAAGACTGTTCGGAAGCTCCAACTAGTCCAACACTCGGTAGCCAGGTTGCTCACGGGAGTGGGGTACAGGGAGTGCACAACTCCCCTGTTACACCAGTTTCACTGGCTGCCAATTAGCTTTCGAGCACAATTCAAAATGCTGGTTTTAACCTACAAAACCCTACGCGGCTCGGGCCCAATTTACCTGTCTGAACGTATCTTCCCCTATAAATAATAATAATAATAATAATAATAATAATAATCTTTATTTATACCCCGCCACCATCTCCCCAACGGGGACTCGGAGCCCGGACAACATATTACAGCAAGATAAAACCAAAACATAGGAAAGAAGCAACAGCATTAAAATTACATTAAAAAGAAAAAAAAGCCACATGAATACAGTAAGAATAAGAGCAAGTTATTTGCAGGGAGCTCATAAAGAAACACAAGGTTGTGAAACTAAATTTCCCATTAGGGGTGTGTGTACTCCAGTGACAAAAGTGTTGAGGGGAGCAGTAGTGTCATGTTGTACACTTACTTGCCAACGGTGCAGCAGAAGAGCCAGGTTTTAAGGTTATTTTTAAAGGTTTCTAGTGTAGGGGCTTTCCTGATCTCTCCAGGTAATGAGTTCCAGAGTTGGGGAGCCACAGAGAAGGCTCTCCCCCTTGTGCCCACAAGACGAGTTTGTGAGACTGGCAGGGGCGAAAGGAGGGCCTTCCCCCAAAGAAGGGCCTGGGTTGGTTCATGAAGGAAGATACGGTCACGAAGGCAGGCGGGTCCCAAACTGTTTAGGGCTTTATAGGTGATAACCTGTACCTTGAATTGGGCCCAGAAAATAAACAGGAGCCAGTGGAGCTCCTTAAACAGGGGGGTTGTCCGCTCCCTGTAAGTTGCCCCAGTTACTAATCTGGCTGCCGAATGTTGGACAAGTTGTAGTTTACAGGCCGTCTTCAAGGGCAGCCCCACGTAGAGTGCACTGCAGTAATCCAGTCTAGATGTAACTAAGGCGTGGACCACAATGGTCAAGTCAGACTTCACGAGGTATGGTCACAGATGGCGCACGAGTTTTAACTGTGCAAAGGCCCTCCCGGCCACCGCCGACACTTGCGTAACAAGCATCAGCGCTGAGTCCAGGAGGACCCCCAAGCTGCAGACCTGTGACTTCAGGGGGAGTGCAACTCAGTCCAGCATGGGTTGCCACCCAATACCCTGGTCAGGTGAGCGACTGAGCTGGAGGACCTCTGTCTTGTTAGGATTGATCCTCAGCTTGTTCGTCCTCATCCAGATCGACGCAACGGCCAGGCACTGGTCCAGTATTCTCGGGGCTTCCTTGGAATCTGGTGGAAATGAGTAGTGGAGTTGGGTGTCATCTGCGTAGAGATGGCACCGTACTCCAAAACTCCAGATGTCCTCTCGCAGCTGTTTCATGTCGTTGTTAAATAGCATGGGAGACAGAACAGAACCTTGTGGGACCCCACAGGTCAATGGCCAGGGGTCAGAGCAGGTGTCCCCCAGCTTCACCAACTGGGAACAACCCTCCAGGAAGGACCGGAGCCACAGTAAAATCGTGCCCCTGAGTCCTATTCCAGCGAGTCTCCCCAGAAGGATACCATGGTTGATGGTATCGAAAACCACTGAGATATCCAAGAGAACGAGCAGGGTCACTCTCCCCCTGTCCAGTTCCCTGCGGAGATCATCCACCAAGGCGACCAAAGCTATCTCGATACTGTGCCCAGGCCTGAAGTCAGACTGCGAACGATCCAGAAAATCGGTGTCATTGAGGAATCCCTGAAGCTGCGAGGCAACCACCCGCTCCAGAACCTTGCCCAGAAAAGGGAGGTTGGAAATTGGTCTGTAGTTGTTACATATGGTCGGGTCAAGGGAGGCCTTCTTTATTAGAGGTTTAACCACTGCCTGCTTAAGGCAGGACGGAAATTCCCCTTGGCCCAATGAAGCCAAGGGAATTTATTATTGCAACAAACCATTCCAACAACCCTTCTCTGGCCAGCTTAACTAGCCAGGAAGGGCAAGGATCCAGAGCGCAAGTGGTCCCCCTCACCGTCCCAAGGATCCCCTCCACATCATCAGGAAGAACAATTAACCATCAAGGACTTTAAAACCTTCCGGAGAGGCCTTGCTTCTCGGTCCAACCATCTTCGCAGGTGCATTAAGTGAGGACGAGAGACAGGGCCTTCTCTGTGGTGGCCCCCGGCTATGGAACTCTCTCCCTGGCAAGATTAGGCCTGCCCCCTCTCTCCTGTCATTCAGGAAGCAGCTAAAATCCTGGCTTTGGAGTCAGGCATTTGCAGATTGATGGATGATTTGATATAGACAAAGAGTTATTTGGCCACAGCGTTTTGGACTGAATTGGATGTTGTGTTTGATGTGAATTGTTTTTATATGTATTTTAAAACTTATTTATTGTATGTTGTTTTATGACATTATTTATTGTATAGCATTGAATTTTGCTGTTAGCTGTTCGGAGTCCTTCCACGGAGGTGGAGAAGAATGGGACACAAAACTGATTTGAACTGGATTATATGGCAGTGTAGATCCAGCCTCAACGAGAAACAAGGGCTACTTCAAAAAGCTTTTCACTACATATATATAGTTATATACATATATAGGTATAGTTAAATTATAGTTATATAGCAAAAAGGACCCTTGATGGCGAACATGAGGGAACAAGAGGGCAACAGGTAACACTTGTTGGTTCCCTCAGAATTTCTGAGGTAAATGGCAATGGCGCCCCTCACTTCAGGACGCAGGGTTTATTATGCTTGGGTTGGATGTCCTTAAATACAGGTCCCATATCTACGCTAGGAAGGAGAAATGGGTGTTTATTTATTCTTTCAAGCTGTGTGACATCACCCTCGAAAGGGCCAGGACTCCTTGGCATTCGTGGCCCTTTCGAGGGTGACGTCATTCATGTTCTAAATGAGAGACTCAAACCGTTCTCTCCCCCCCCCCCGCAAGCGCGCGCCCCCCAACCGTCCTCAGCACGTGACTAAAGTTGCGTTTCCCGCTTAGCCTCAGCCCCACTGAGGAGCGACGGAGGGGGGAACTGCAATTAGCCGTTCGAATTCCAGCGCTCGTGACGCACACGGCTATTCCGCCTTCTTTCCACCACCCCCCCCCCTTCCTCCTCCTCCTCACCTGGAACCGCGCGCGCTCTCGCTTTAGCCGTCAAGATCCCCGCCGGCTTCTAAGGACGCTCAAATCAGCTGATTCACGTAAAGCAGGGAGGGAGGCAGAGGCGGGGCCTGATGGGGGCGGAGCTAATCCGCGAGCCTCTCTCTGGCTGGATGCGATGGCAAAGAAAAGCCCAAGAGGGGAGGGGGAGCTGAGTCTTGTACGGGATGCCGCGTGGGACAAACTAGCCTGAAGAGCGTTGTGTCAACACATTGCTGGGCTCGGGAGGGAAGTAAAGCCTTTTTATGGGAGGGGATCAGCACGTTTCTTTAAAGAGTAAGAAGGACAATTGTGTTATTCGAGAGAGTAATGGCACATGGTGTGAAGACTTCAGTGATGTCGTGATCACTTTATTTAACTGGTACCATTATACTCTGCCTTTTCTTAATACACAGTGTCCAAAAGTCACCAAAACATATGAACAAACTAATACAGACTACACAGAGAAGCCATTGAAATCCACAAACGTGGACAATCTCAACAGAAAGGAAGAAACCAAGAAAATGAACAAAATCTGGCTACCAGTATTAAAAAAACTCTAAAATTACAACAGCACAACAACAGAGAGGAAACAAACAAGGACATCTAATCACCTTTCAGGCTGAACGAAGGAAGATCGATGCTTTTGAGCTGTGGTGTTGGAGGAAAGTTCTGAGAGTGCCTTGGACTGCGAGAAGATCCAACCAGTCCATCCTCCAGGAAATAAAGCCCGACTGCTCACTGGAGGGAAAGATACTAGAGACAAAGTTGAAGTACTTTGGCCACATCATGAGGAGACAGGAAAGCCTAGAGAAGACAATTATGCTGGGGAAAGTGGAAGGCAAAAGGAAGAGGGGCCGACCAAGGGCAAGATGGATGGATGGCATCCTTGAAGTGACTGGACTGACCTTGAGGGAGCTGGGGGTGGTATCGGCCGACAGGGAGCTCTGGCGTGGGCTGGTCCATGAGGTCACGAAGAGTCGGAGACGACTGAACGAATGAACAACAAATCACCTTTCAAGAAGAGTTTGCTCCAGGCACAGTCAGCCCATTGTATACTAATCAAGGTGGTCAGTTGAACGATTCACACCTAGCCCAACTTACAAAAGCCCTTTGTCTCACCCTGGTCATTTCATTCCACAGATATATAAACCCATTTTTCCCACTTCCAACAGACCTCACTACCTCTGAGGATGCTTGCCATAGATGCAGGCGAAACGTCAGGAGAGAATGCCTCTAGAACATGGCGATATAGCCCGAAAAAACCCACAAGAACTGAGTGATTCCAGCCATGAAAGCCTTCGACAATACATTAAACTAATATTTATTTATTTATATCCCGATTTACGGAGACTGAGGGCCCTTCCACACAGCTGAATAAAATCCCACATTATCTGCTTTTAACTGGGATATGTGGACTTAGATAACCCAGTTCAAAGCAGATATTGTAGGATTTTCTGCCTCGATATTCAGAGCCCTTCCAGACAGGTCCAATAACCCAGGATCAGATCCCAAGTTTTCAGCTTTAAACTGGATTATATCAGTCCACACTGACAAATAATCTAAGATAAGCATTAAACCTGGGATCAGATCGTGAGCTATGTCTGGAAGGGCCCACACAATCAAAAACATTACAAAAACTTAAAATATACAACAATAAAACAATATATCATCTATTGTTATATATTATCAGTAGTATTATACAGTATTTAATATTTTTGTATTGTATTTATTGTCTATTATGATACTATGTCATAATCTGGGAGAGCTCAGGTGAGCTCCCTCTGTCAGCTCCGGCTCCCCATGCCAAGGATATGAGAGAAGCCTCCCACAAGGATGGTAAAACATCAAAACATTGGGGCATCCCCTAGGCAACATCCTTGTAGGCGGCCGATTCTCTCACACCAGAAGCAACTTAGTTTCTCAAGTCGCTCCTTACACACACACACAAAATGACGCTATGTGACCCGATTGTTGATCCTGCATTATAAATGTCATTTCCTAATTGGTTCTATCATTAAAAAAACATGGGAAAGCTTATTAAACTGCCAAAACTTTGTTTTTGCAGAAGGGACATCCTGCAGCACATTTTGCTATAGTTTTTCCAATGAATATCTCCTCGAGTCTCAACAATTTCAACATAGTTTGTGGTAGCCACAAAAATTAAGTTTCTGGAGTATAACAACTACTTTCAATGTAAGTACTGCACAGTTAAATGGGAAGTAACACTTTCAAATAGAACAGGAATATATTTTTTTTGAAATTTTATTAATATCATATTCATATCACCATACTTTATTTATTTACTAGCTTGGAGACCCGGCGTTGCCCGGGTTATTAGAGAAAGTGGGTAATGGCGGTTCTGTATGCCAAGTTTGGTCTTTATTGGTCTTTGGATAACGGCTGCATTATTTTCAGGAAGTGAGTGAAGGTACTTGAAGTCCCATCATCCATGGGCCATCCTCCTACAAACAGCAGCAGGATATAGAGTGGGTCATGGGGGCTCTGTGTGCCAAGTTAGGTCTTTATCAGTCATTAGATGAGGATGGCAGTGGTGTCAGTAAGTGAGTGAAGGTAGTGCAAGTCCCATCATCCAAAGTCCATCCCCTTTCAAACTGCAGCAGGATGTAGAGTGGATCATGGGGGCTCTGTGTGCCAAGTGTGGTCTTGATTGGTCATTAGAAGAGGGTTGCAGCAATCTTTGGAAGGGAGTGGAGGTACTTGAAGTCCCATCATCCATGGTCTGTCCTCCTCCAAACTGCACCAGGATGTAGAGTGGGTCATTGGAGCTCCATGTGCCAAGTTTAGTCTTGATTAGTCATTGGCGAGGGTCTCAGTGGTCTCAGGAAGTGAGTGAAGGTACTGCAAGTCCCATCATCCATCTCCAAAGTTTTCCAAACAACACCAGGACGTAAAGTGGGTCATGAGAGGTCTATGTGCCAAGTTTGGTGTTGATCCGTCATTGGATGAGGTTTGCAGAGGTCTCAGAATGTTAGTGAAGGTACTGGAAGTTCCATCATCCATGGTCCACCCTTCTCCAAAACTGCAGCAGGATGTAGAGTGGGTCATGGGGGCTCTGTGTGCCAACTTTGGTCTTGATTGGTCATTAGATGAGTTTTGCAGCAGTCTTGGGTAGTGGAGGTACTTGAAGTCCCATCATCCATGGTCTGTTGTCCTCCAAACTGCTCCAGGATGTAGAGTGGGTCATTGAAGCTCCATGTGCCAAGTTTAGTCTTGATGAGTCATTGGCGAGGGTCTCAGTGGTCTCAGGAAGTGAGTGAAGTGACTGCAAGTCCCATCATCCATTGTCAAATTCTTCCAAACCGCACCAGGATGTAGAGTGAGTTATGCGGGCTCTCTGTGTAAATTGTGGTCCTGATCCATCATTGTTGGCAGTTATAATGGTCTTAGGAAGGGAGTGCAGGTTTTGCAAGTCCCATCGTCCATGGTGCATCCTCCTTCAAACTGCACCTGGATGTAGAATGCATCATGGAGACTCAGTGTGCCAAGTTTGGTATTTATTGGTAATTGGATGAGGGTTGCAGTGGTATGAAGAATTGAGAAATGGTACTGCAAGTCCCATAATCCACGGTCCATCCCCGGCCAAACCACACCAGGACGTAAAGTGGGTCATGAGAGGTCTATGTGCGAAGTTTGGTCCTGATCAGTCATTGGATAAGGTTAACAGCGGTCTCAGAATGTGAGTGGTGGTACTGCAAGTCCCATCATCCATGGTTCATCCTCCTCCAAACTGCAGTAGGATGTAGAGTGGGTGATGGGGGCTCTGTGTGCCTATTTCGGTCTGTATTGGGAGTGTTCTGACCCAGCCCCCGGCCTTTCCTTTCCTCTCTTTGTCATCTCAGAATGTTGGATTTGAGGCTGGCCAATCAGAGACCATATGCAAATTTCCTTCTGTCATGCCCCGTTTCTGCCATGAACCCTCTTCTCCACCAGGGGCTCCTATTGAAGCTGGCCAATCAGAGACCATATGCAAATAGCACCACAGCGGCAGCCAATCAGAACGCTGCCACATACACCTCCGCCCTCCCTCCGTCCTTCCTCTGTCCGATACAAACAAACACTCTTCTTTATTATAGATACAGATATATATATATACAGATTTATTTGCCACACTTGTAACCTACCCTTCTCACTCCGAAGGGGATTCAGGGCAGCCTTACAAAGACAACAATTTAATGCCACATATACATATATACGGTACTTCAATGTATGACATAAACTTTCAGATATACCAGAGTCGAGAATATTTTGTAATTATTTTGTAAATACTTCGTAATGTATATTTTGTAAGCAAATGTATATTTAGCTACAGTTTCCCATTTTCCCTATGTATGTCACATCTTGGGACACTAATAAACAGCAACATGTCCAGGCTATGACCTGGTTGGTACACTTTAATTTGTCACTTTTTTTTTTGGATAATGCAAGGAAATGATTGCTAAAATTGTGAAAATGTCAATTCTGTGTTATTAATGACTGTAACTGCAGAAACAAGAAAATGTGTTTGTAGAGTTTTAATAAAGTAATTTCTTCACAGGAGTTGCGTCTGTATGAAAAGGATATGGTTGTTTATATATTGTTTCAGAACCAGTACATGTGCCTCCTGCTAAAAGTGAACAAAAGATTGGCATGTATTTTTTAATTGGATGCATTTAGACGATTGATAAAAAAGTTATAAAGCTGCAGAAACAGCAAAACATTGAAAACAGAAATGGGAATCAATCAAGCATATATGAGGCTAACTGTACATTATTGTAGAATATTTTGTAATTATTTTGTAAATACTTTGTAATGTATCTTTGTAAACAAAGGTATATTTAGCTACAATTTCCCATTCTGTAGATGCACGCCAACCCAATTTTTGCTAATAGCATTAGGATTGTAGGAAGAGACAAATGCTGAAGAAAAAAGACAGTCCATGAAACCTTAGGATTATTACAAACAATCTTCACCCCCCCCCCCCCTTTTAAACACCAATCTTGGATTGGCAGCTTTCAAAATCAGGTTTAGTAAAGCCAAAATGAATATGAAACAAGGGGCCTTTGGAGGTTGGAGGAGACGGTTTCTTGAGTCATGAGACCATTTGTAGCAGAGACCTCATGCAAGTCACATGAACATTCATGCCTTTCGAATTTCTGGCAAAGAAAAGGATGAATAGAGAGAAAACCAAGCAGTCAAGAGGACAGGAAAACATGGGGGACATCCTATGCGGAAATGTTCCCAACCCTACATGCAAATGTTGCTGTGAAGAGACAGAAGTCTCATTACAACAAGACAATATTCAGCCCCAAAGAGAGGAGCAAGCTTTTAAAGTAAGTAGCTTTCCAGAGAAGATCTGGGGTTTTATATTTCTTTGGGACAAGGGACAGTTTTCATGGAATGTATATAGAAAGTATTTGAAATAGATTCTCAGGCCACTTCTACACAATGATGAGTATCTTTTTCATGTTGAAGTTGGTTGCCTTTTTCTCCCTTCCAGCCTGCAGGAACACGCAGAAAACGACAACCACTGAATTCCTCACACCCTCAATGGTTCCATACACTTCAAATATCAAAACCAAGACGACGACAACGCCGCTTCAGTGATTCTTTCCAAGAGCAGGATTTTGCTGTGGGATGTCAGTGGGTGAGTGTGCATCATCCAACAATTCACATAATAATAATAATAATAATAATAATAATAATAATAATAATACAGTACAGGTGGTCCCAGTGGTAATCGACGCACTGGGTGCTATACCAAAAGATCTCAGCCGGCATTTGGAAACAATAAACATTGACAAAATCATGATCTGTCAACTGCAAAAGGCCACCTTACTTGGATCTGCGCGCATCATTCGAAAATACATCACACAGTCCTAAATGCTTGGGAAGTGTTTGACTTGTGATTTTGTAATATGAAATCCAGCATATATATATCTCGTTTGCTGTGACATACTGTGTTTTTGTATCAGTAAAATACTAATATTTTTATTACTCATTTGCTTCTCCTGGTGGCTCGAAGTGGGGTACAACAAATTCAGAAACATATGAAGATCAAATATATACAATAAAATACATAAGTTACATTGATAAAAACCCAAAGATGTTTAAAAAAACTTACACCAAACAGATACATCATTGACATATAGTAGCCATAGAATTTATTTTATTTATTTATTTACTTCATTTCTACCCCGCCTTTCTCACCTCTCAAGGGACTCAAGGTGGCTTTCTTTCTTCTATCTGCCTTATTTCAGAGACAAGCCATGTCCAATTGTGTCCTCCAGAGCAGGCAGAACAATCACTACAGATATACGTCAAAAAAATTGGGTCTTGTGAGACTAGCTATCTGTTGACTGAAAAATATGAACAAGTCTGTGTTTCCTAACAGTTTTGTAATCATTTATAAGCTGGAACCTGAGATTCGTTTGAGGAAAGGCCAGCTCCCATCTACACCTTATTTTAGTGATTGGATTCAGCTTTGTGGAGAACTCTTAGAAGTCTGCACAGAGCAAAAATGTAACACATTATTTTTAAATTTATTTACGTCACTTTTATCCCGCCCATTTCAGCCCGAAGGTGACTCAGGGCGGCGTACAATCAGCAACAATTAAATGTATATAAATACATACATCAGTTAAAAGCAAAAAAATTACATCATAGTACATTAAAAAACTATAAAAGCAATAAAAAACAATAAGAATTATAAAACTATGTCTTCCTGTTCAATTCATCAACTGTTTCCATCATCTTAGGCATTCCTTGTTCATATTCCAATTTGAGTTTATCTGGTCATGCTGAGGTTCAAACGCTTGCTCAAAGAACCATGTTTTTACTCTTTTTCGAAAGATCAGGAAAAGAGGTTTAATTAGAGGTTTCATGCTTAATATGCTTTGAACTCATGCCAAAACCCAAAACCAACTATGTTTTCTGCCCTCTGTTTTCCCTGTCTTCCATTTAAGGAAAGAAAAAGTCTCCCATTTGGAAAAACCTCGTCCTACTTAAACCTGGAGAAGCTGAGTGAGAGTTCTCATTCCACTGTGTACAAAGGAATCAGCAGGTAAGTTTTGCATTGTGTGAACAGATAATAATTACTCAGTGTCCCATAAAGAAATTAATTCAAAGCACACAAAAATAATATCACAAACAAAAATTTTAGATAATAAATATTCCCTAATTCAAATTCAATGTTTAGAGAGAAGCAGATTGTTATAATATAACAATCTCTAGACCTCTTGACTATACAAAATAGCCTTACATTTGTTGTGAAGGGACATAAGAGGAGATATGCAATATAAAAAAAAGCTGTAATGAAAAAAATGGATTCTAATTCTAGGTGTTTTCTGCAGAGAAAGTAGTCTAAATGCTTTTGTGGTATGAAGTGCACAGAATACCATGTCCAGTGCATAAGGAGCTGTGTATCCAAAGAGATGCAAAATTTCCAAAAATGTTGAAGCCTTGAGGAAAATGATTTTTTTTCTGAAAAAAATGGAATAAAAATGCAATATTGACACCTATTACAGATTTCAAAAGTCACTTTGTTCTTTCAAAACATAAAGTGTATTTTATATCACTTGATTTGGTGTAAAACTATCATGTCTAAAAGGCCTTTAAAATTCATATTAGAAATGGAGGTACAAGATCCTTAAATGTAAAGAACACCATAATTATATGGAACCTCTGTGATTTTGACAGTTTGAGGTATGGGCAAAAAACTCCCAATGAAGACAAAACCCCCCGATGTGTATTAGTAAAACAAGTTAACAGTTCAAAGCTGCTAGTTGGGTTGAGCTCCCGACTGTCAGTCCTAGCTTCTGCCAACCTAGCAGTTCGAAAGCATGCAATGCGAGTATATATAGGTACTGACTCAGCAGGAAGGTAAAAGGATGCCCCGTGCAGACATGCCGGCAAAAAGATTGGAGATATCTACAGACAGCACCCTCCTCGGCATGAAAAAATGAAACAAGAGCACCTCCCCATGGCTGGAGTTGAACATTGCCTCCAGATGCTGGAGATGAAATACCTTATCTGTACATTGTATGTCACTGTTCAAAGTGTAAAAGGCATTGAATGTTTGCCATATATGTGCACTGTGATCCGCTCTGAGTCCTTCTTGGGAGATAAAGCAGAATATAAATAAAGATGATGATGATGATTATTATTATTATCTTTGTCTCCCAATAGTTCTCCATTGCCATGATAAGAACTGAGGGAAGGAAAGCAAGACCAGATATTGTAATGATCATTCACCCTACATAATCTTTCACAAAGGCTTTCTTTGTGAGTCCCTTCGGGGAGACAGGGTGGAATAATAGTAGTAGTAGTAGTAGTAGTAGTAGTAGTAATAATAATAATAATAATAATAATGTTTGACTTGTGATTTTGTGATACGAAATCCAGCATATATATCTCATTTGCTGTAACATACTGTGTTTTTGTGTAAGTAAAATAATAATAATAATAATAAATATTATTATTGACCCTTGCTTTAAGCATTTTATTCCTTCTAAACAAAGATGTTTATTTTTTCCAATTTTTTGAGAAGAAGTGGCTTATGGGAAAAACAGCAAAGTCATTTCCCCCCGGGCCTTTACTTTCTCTGAATATCCAGCTATTTAGTTAGTTCATGTAAAACTGTATAATAGCCTCTTTCAGAAGTCTTGTCTATGTTGTTACAGCAAAATGTGCGCACTTGTTACAACCTAAGTATGCCCCAGTATCACTGGCATATTTCATGTCCAGTTTTGAGAGTAAGTTTCTATTTCTAGATTTGAAGACTGCATGCATATTTGAGAATGTTTACTTCACTTTGAGGCAAAACTATATGGTCTAAGAACTTACTGAAAGTGTGAGAATGGTTTTCTATGAAATTACTGTCAGACTGTATCCTAATGCCATCTATTTCATGCAGAGGGAGGAAAACAGCGTTCATATGAAACTGACTTCACTGGGTTTTGAAGCCTTTGAGTTGAAGTTAATTTGGAATCCAATTTGGAGCATATGGATTGAAACATATGTCCTTCCCCTAGTCACATTTGTGTTTTTTACATTCCAACTTCGGAGGTATTTTTGTTTAAGAAAAATACTACATTCTTCCCATACTAATGGCATGTCCCCTATGTAGCAGTCAAGAGCATGCCTGGCCTGCAGGCCTTGCAAATAATCTGAAAACATTTGTGAGGTCTTTTAGCACAGGTCACACAGCTTTGTGTGCTCAACCTTCCTGTGTGCAATCAGAAGACAATAATTTGTGATCCTCTGGGGAGATCCGTGATTCAGCTTTTGAAATTAATGCCAAAGAGGTGACAGAAGAGCTTTTAAGTAGATTCACCAGAACCAAATCAAATTAAATCTTTATTATGGTCATAAACCAGCATAAGGAGAGTGGGACACAGTCTCATAAAAGCATAACACATTAAAATCATTAGAATGTAGAATAAAAACAAAGATACAGAGGTATATTAAAAAGTTAAAACACAAAATGCTAATTAGAGAATAATAATTTTCAAAAGTGACCAGTTATGGCTAACTTATCTATAGGATGTGATGGTGAAAATGTTTCTAATAGTCAAAATAAGGGGCAGCTGTAACTAGGCAAAGAATATGGAAAGTGGCATTATAAACATTCAGAAAGACCAGTGGATCATTGAGAGATGCACCTGGTCAATACATTTGCAGACAAAACATTGTTTTCCATGCCCTAACAAATAGACATGAAGAGCAGGCAGGATTTTTTCTTTTAATATTTATTTGTCGTTGGGCAATTCCATGCTTATGTTGCTGTTACTGTTTTTTTGTTCATGTTGTGACTCTGCATGTTTTGATGTTGTTGCTTGGAAACTGCTCTGAGTCCCCCCGGGGAAATAGAGCGGTATATAAATAAAGATGATGATGATGATTATTATTATTATTATTACTATTATTATATCCGACTGTATATCGGACTTGTAGTCACAGTCAAGACAGCTATGTGTGATAAAGTGCATGTTTTGCAAAAGTTTTGCTTCTATGAGGAATCATAGAATAATAAGAGTTGGAAGAGACCACATGGGCCATCTAGTCCAACCCCCTTCCATGCAGGAAAAGCACAATCACGAGAACCAAAAGGAACAAATAATTAACAGGCAGTGGATCATCAACACAAATAACAGTTCTGAGAATGGGAGGAGTGTAAGAAGTGGACTTTCTCTGAATGTACTGTACATAATGCATCCAACTGCAATGTTATGCTTATGCATTGAGATTCATGAGTTATGCTCTGTCCCACTAGAATATATGGACAGCTAGTAGCTATGAAAGTCATCAGCCTGAAGACTGAAGAAGGAGTCCCTTTTACAACCATAAGAGAAGGTAAGAGATTCAGGATGAGCAAAGAGCTTATCTCTACTAGCAATTAATCCCTGAATCTATTTTTACTATTGGAACTATATTCTGACCAGTAAATATAAAGAAAATGGCCAATGAGTACATACAGATTACATTTTCCTTCCTTCCAACTTCCATCACTTAACTAACAACGAACAAGTGTCCTTAGCTGAGATGACAACACTGTTTTCATCATACACTGAAATGTGTGACACAGAAGGGACTGGAATTGAATGTGCTGCTACTTCTACCAGTTATGATCCCATATGAGAGGCAGTGTGTTGTAGCAGTTTGAGCACTGGACTATGGCTTTGGAGAGCAAGATTCAAATATCCACTTTGTCATCGAACCCCAATGGGTGACCTTGGCCAGGTCACTTTCAGCCTCAGAGAAAAACAAGTTTTCACTTCGCCAGTGGATTCCAGTTCTATTAATAGCTATTTTCCCACCTTTACAAATGTCACTTTCCCCACAATCATGAGTTTTTTCCCTTTCACAAAAAGAAAGAAAGAAAGAAAGAAAGAAAGAAATACATGAGGGTCTACTGGTTTAATGGATTGCACCAGGAGTGCCCAAAGCGATCATGATCCCTGTTTTATTATGATAATATTTTTACTGTGTTATATGGCTTTAGAAAAGTGTTATACATCCATTATAAGGCTTCCCTGATGCTGTTATATAACACTTGCAAAGCATTTACCAATTTCCTATATGCTGTACATATATTCTAAGTTAGGGTTGTTAGGGAAATTTCTCCAAAACAGCAGAGTATTTATAAGTACAAGAAGAATACAGTGATACCTTGACTTAAGAGTTTAATTCATTCTGTGACTGAGCTCTTAATTCAAAATGCTCTGATCTCAGAATGAATTTTCCCATGGAAGTACACTGAAATGCCATCAATCTGTTCCAATTCACTTGACCTGGATTCAAGTTAATTGTTTATATTTATATATAATTTGTCTTTTATTTACACGTGTGATTCTTTTTCTTGATGTGCTGCAATACTTTTTTGAAAGTGAACTTTACTTGCACTTTATTTTAGTCAGTCTTGTTAGGAGAAATCACCATACCAGGCAAAATGTTTGTAGTTTTCTTGATGTCGGATTTACCTATTTGCTTCAGTTTCTATTTATTTCAGACCTTTAGAGGCTCCGGCTCACACAGATGCGATATCCAAACATCTTGTTTAAATTACCTTTAAAACAATTGCTTTCATCTGCTTGGAAGTCCCAATGGAATTGTATTTTTCTTTCTTTGCTAAGGAGAAAGGGAAAGCGAATAAGCAATTTTGTGCCCATCTCTTGAGAGATCATAGCCCGCAGGTAGAAATGTGCCTGAAACTGCAGCTTTAGTTTCTTTTTCCCAATAAGGTCTGTGTTTTATGATTCACCCTGCAACCCACAGGACACACTAGAGAGTGTCCAATAAAAAAGGCTGAAGGGTTATTAAGTTTCATAGTTCACAATAGTGTTTATTTATTTATGTTAAAATGTTTAAACTCCACTTTATTCCTAAAGACTTCTAGACTGCTTATGATACAGTCAAATTTTGTTGTTGTTCATTCGTTCAGTTGCTTCTAACTCTTCGTGACCTCATGGACCAGCCCGTGCCAGAGCTCCCTGTCTGCCGTCACCACCCCCAGATCCTTCAAGTTTAAGCCAATCACTTCAAGGATACCATCCATCTAAGGATACCACACAATCTCTCCGATCATCTGGAGAGGCCCTGCTCACAATCCCACCTGCGTCGCAAACGCGATTGGTGGGGACGAGGGACAGGGCCTTCTCTGTGGTGGCCCCCGACTCTGGAACTCTCTCCCAAGGACATCAGACAAGCCCCAACATTGGCAGTCTTTAGGAAGAGCTTGAAGACGTGGTTGTTCCAGTGTGCCTTCCCAGAATAGGAAACTTCTAGCATCATGTCCCAAATGCACTTTACTAGAGATTTAAGGTTGTCTGCACACCGCATCTATCTCCAAAAACCTATCCATCTCACCTGTCATGCTCAGCATTTTAAAATTTTTAATTATTACATTTGGCCCGGCCTTAGTTTTAAATGCGTTGTGGTGTTATTGTCTAATGTTTATTGCTATTGTTTTAATGTTTATTGCTTGTTTTGTGAGTTTATTTATTGTTGTATTTGTTATGCTGTTGTTTTATTGATGTGTTGGGCCTTGGCCTCTTGTAAGCCGCACCGAGTCCTTTGGGAGATGTTAGCGGGGTATAAATAAAGGATTAGCATAATTGTCTTCTTTAAGCTTTCCTGTCTTCTCACGAAGTGGCCAAAATACTTCATCTTTGCCTCTAATATCTTTCCCCCCAATGAGCAGTCGGGCTTTATTTCCTGAAGTATGGACTGATTGGATCATCTTGAGGTCCAAGGCACTCTCAGAACTTTCTTCCAGCACCACAATTCAAAAGCATCTATCTTCCTTTGCTCAGCCTTCCTTATGGTCCAGCTCTCACATCTGTAGGTTACTATGGGGAATACCATTGCTTTTACTATGTGGATCTTTGTTGCCAATGTGATGTCTTTACTCTTCACTATTTTATTGAGATTGGTCATTGCTCTCCTCCCAAGAAGTAAACGTCTCCTGATTTCCTGGCTGCAGTCTGCGTCTGCAGTAATCTTTGCACCTATAAATACAAAGTCTGTCACGGCCTCCACGTTTTCCCCCTCTATTTGCCAGTTATCAATCAGTCTGATTGCCATAATCTTGGTTTTTTAATATTTAACTGCATAAAACTGCTTTTGCACTTTCTTCTTTAACCTTGATACAGTCAATGCCTTTATTAAAAACCTCCCCTGTCTCAGTTTACAACCAAACATAAAATATGAAAAATAATGGAAGAAATTTTGAGAGCTTAAACTGCTAATTAAAAACAATACCATTCCAATAAGGAGAGACAGTGGTTGAAAATATGCCACCCAGTATGGTTGTCCTGGCTGTGAGATTCCAGGAGCTATGATCACAAAATATAAAATTTTCCAGTTCTGGGATGAGGTTGGCATTTCAATTGCTTATTTGCTTCTGATCTAGATGTTTAATTTGGTTAGGAAAAACAGGAATTTTAATAAGCCTCTGTTTCTCCTCAAGTTTGGAGGTGTAGACATTGTCCCAGATAAATTGACTTTTGGCAAAGTTGACTTGCCATCTGTGCTTACTAGCAATCTGACCACTGTGTTTGTGTCTTCTTTAGCATCCCTCCTCAAGGGCTTGAAACATGCTAACATTGTGCTTCTTCATGACATCATCCAGACCAAAGAGAATCTGACATTAGTCTTTGAATACATGGTGAGTTGTTTTGCATTTGACTGATTAGTTTGGTTAGGAACAGTTCAATCGATTGCTCTAAAGATTTGATTTCTGATATTTCTTCTTAAGCAGTAGGCCTTTTGTGTTTTCCTGAATATGACAGAGAAAGACTCTTCACCTTAATGCACTCTAATGAGCTAAATAAGGGTTTTTTAAACCAAAAATATTGAGCTAATTTGGAAATACAATGAGTTAAGGGAAATGGCTGGGGAAAAAAAAAACCCTAATAAGGAAGTTAATTAGTGAGTTAATTCAAAGCCCTACATAAGAGAGGCTTTTCCAGGTCCTGCCATGAGAGATGGTAGGAAAATAATTTCCACCCTTTGCATCCCACTACCATTTCTCTGCATCTTCACCTTAGAAGAAGCCATCTTTTAATGGATTCTGTAAAAAGGATGTTTGTGGATTGATTTTCCCAATCTTGTTCATATTTAGAGCTCAAAATGGCCAAGGACCTTTATATCTTAGGGACCGCCTCATTCTTTTTCCCCATCAGTGGTCACCTCGATCCACCCAGGAAAATCTCCTCTACATACTGGGTCCTAGGGAGGCACATTTGGAAGCTACAAGGCGTAGACCTTTTTTGATCTATGCTCCAATTCTGTGGAACTCATTGCCTCCATATATTAGAGCAATGTCAGAGTTGCGACCTTTTGTAAAGGCGCTCAAGACTTGGCTGTTTGGTTGTGCATTTAAGTAATCGGATCAAATTTTGCCATAGTCACTGCTGAATGTTTTTATGTTGAATGTTTTTATGTTGAATGTTTTTATATTGAATGTTTTATATTGTGTATAAGCTATTTTAAATTGTAAGTCGCTCGGAGCACTTTGGTGGAGAGCGACTAGTTAAGAAATAAAGTGATGATGATGATGATATTGTATTGTCGAAGGCTTTCATGGCCAGAATCACTAGGTTGTTGTAGGTTTTTTCAGGTTGTATGGCCATGTTCTAGAGGCATTTTCTCCTGCATATTTTCTCTTGTTCATATTTCTCTCTCTCTTTCTTCTATGATCGTTTAGCACAGCGACTTAGCACAGTATATGTCTCAGCATCCTGGAGGACTTCATCCTCATAATGTTATGGTAAGTTATTGAAGAAACAAGAATCCTTTCTCTCTGAAAAAGGCATATTCAATTGTGGAAAATTGCATTATTGGATTCAGTTTGAGAGAGAGAGATTGAGAGAAACATATTTCTATCCTGCTTATTGGTTACCTTTTGTGACTAGAAAGCCAAACCATCTTAGAGCAGAACTAGACACTATGTGGAAAAGCTCCCTTAGAAAGCTAATACAACAAGTGTCATCAGTATAGGAAACCCAGAACTGCACCTAAGATCCAAGCACACTTGCCTTTTCATAGTGCACCCTGGCACCCATATGTTGATTTCCTACCTTCTTTTTTAAAAAGAAATGTTATTAGGTTACACATATACATAAAAGAAAAAAAAACAACAAAACATATATATATCAACTTTGGTTAAAGTTTACAAGGAACGTGGGAGAACATTAGATTATAGGATAGTAGGAAATTTAAGAAATCAATGAAAAGGAAAGAAAAGAAGAAAGAAGGAAATAGTAATAATAATAATAATAATAATAAGCAAAACTAAAATATATATAGTTATTTGACTTCCATTCTGTGTCTTCACCAATAATATATGTCAACTTTTTAAATTTAAATCTATCTCTTCTCATTTCCCTCTGAGGACTCCTTTTCACTCCTATGCCTAAAAAGAGGCAATAAACAATATTCCCAATAAAAGTCCCAGATGATAGTCTTATCACTTTTTTGTCCTATTGACTCTTCTCATTTAGGTAATTTTCAAATGATGACCAATTTGTCCCCTTTATTGGTTTTCCCAAGCTTTTCATTAAAAAAAAGTTAGTTTGTCCATATCTTTGATCTCTTGCAACCAGGGCCGTAGCCAGAAAATTTTTTTGGGGAGGGTTGACAATTTTGGGGAGGGGGTTTGAAATTTTTTTTGGGGGGGGGTTGAAAATTTTGGGGAGGGTTGAAAATTTCGGGGGGGGGGKGTGTGTGTTGAAACCTGCCTCCTAGCTCACGCTGAAGCAAAGAGCACAGCAGGGAGCAGAGCAACCTTCAATAGCCTGCAGCTCCACCCCTGTCAACCATCTCCACCAAGTCTGGCCTCCTTAATGAGAGCATTCAACAACACACACCCCCTCCCCCAACTTGGTTGCTTCACTACATCGGCTATTGCTGCAAGTAATGACAGTGTGAATAAATTGTCAATATTTGCTTGAGATAGTGCTTACAGTTCTGGAGGGACTCTTAATTTTTTGCATCTCATAGACTTAGCATGGGGATTTGGTTAACCAGTTAAAATTCATGAGTAAACCACATTTTTTAAAAAAAAATCTGAAACATTTCAGGGGGGGGGGGTTGAACCCCTAAAACCACCCCCTCGCTACAGGCCTGCTTGCAACTTATTTATCCAGTCCTCTGTTTCCAGAATTTTATCCATTTTCCAAATTTTTGCATATGATATCCTTGCTGCCATCGAAGTATAGGTAAATAAAATGTCCTTGTATGAATCTAAAGTGAGTTCTGAGTCCGTTATATTTAATAAATAATATTCTGGGTTTTTTGGGAATGATATTCCTAATATTTTTTGTGTCTCTTCATGTTTATTTTGGGTTTTCTTACACGACCACCACATATGGAAAAAACTACCCTCAACCTTGATTTCCTACCTCCTGGTAGCATGCCATTGTATCACATGTAATATCCTGCCCCTGAAAGGATTATCCAACTCTTGTTTACTTTTCAAAGGGGAAAAACCCTCATAGGAGCATTGTAGATCATAGAGAATCATTTGGATCCTTGCATCTCTTTGTGTGCAGTTAGGAAAACCTCAGGCTTCTGCATATGCTTAGTGTCAAGGGCCTTAAGGAATGGAGGAGATTGTCACACAAAGCAGGCAAATTGCAATTGCAGCAGAACAACAATGTCTTTGTTTGAACTTATCACATGACATTGCTTCTTTCTCTTCACTATTCCAGTGAGAACTACTGGAAGTCTGTTTCTTTTTACAAAAGGAGATCATTAACAGATTATTTGTGTTTGTAAGAGAAATGCTTTCCAGGCTTTTGCCTGCTGGGAGATCAATAATAAGTAATAAGTCTACGGCCTGCCGTAATTGCAGTTTGCTTGCCTCATGTGGTGAATTTCTGCTAATTGTATAGTTAAAGCTGCGTTGAGTCCCCTTTGGGGTGAGAACAGCGGGATAGAAATATAGTAAAAAAATGTAATATTTCTAATTTTAAAAAATTGTAGTGGTTTGGGGGCTGATCACAGGCAGGTCTCCTTGCAATTTCTATTTAATATCCACAAAATAGGAAGCTCTCGATTCTCCTTTCTTCCCTCGCCTACTAGTTTGAGACCTACATATGGAAAAATACAGCACTCCTGTTGAATTCAGATCACTTTGTGCAAATATTGGCAAGGAGACATTGTTCTATAATGTCACAAATATTCAAGGTAACTGGCTTTCTTGCGTACCAAAATCAATATTTGTTTTGAAAGGAACTAAATAAAAATGGGCACTACAGGAAAGGAGATTCCATCTGAACATTAGGACGAACTTCCTGACTGTGAGAGCTGTTCAGCAGTGGAACTCTCTGCCCTGGAGTGTGGTGAAGACTCCTTCTTTGGAGGCTTTTAAACAGAGGCTGGATGGCTGTCTGTTGGGGGTGCTTTGAATGTGATTTTCCTGCTTCTTGCCAGGGGGTTGGATTGGATGACCTATGAGGTCTCTTCCAACTCTATGATATGATTAGCCCATATATTTGGAAACACATCAATGGCCTGTGATGCCTGATTGTGCCTTAATGTATTTACCTATCTTTTATTGAGACTGTTATCTATAAGAGAGATTGGCTTATTTATTTATTTATTTCTCGCATTTCTACCCCACCCTTCTCAACCCCCGAGGGGGGACTCAGGGCAGCTTACAGAAGGCACTATTCGATGCCAGCAATACAATAGTAAGATAAAATATATATCAGCAACAATTAAAACAATTAAAACAATCCAGTTATACAACACAGCTAATAAAAAATCAATCTAATGATCAACGTTCGCCAAGCTCAAAGTCCGTAAGTTCATTCCGCATTGTCATAATCCTATCCAATTCTAGTCGTCATTGTCCTTTGTCTGTCTGCCAGATTACCCAAAGGCCTGGTCCCATATCCATGTTTTTAGTTTCCTTCTAAATGGATGAAGTAGATGGCCATAAAGAAATACACCTACTTGCAAGCCTCGGCTTCTTTCTGGGGTCCGCTGGAACTGGGAAGAATTAACACTTACGACATGTAGATAGTGGGGCATCATCTACCAAGATGGTGCCATATTAAATACTAACTGTTGGTATTACATTCTTGGGATGGCACAAGGTGCAGTCCACCATTGATGGGTTATCCCATGTGCCAATCCAACTGCAGGAATCCACATTCTTTTTCTACTATATTCATTGAGATCCTCCCAAGCTTGTCTATGTAGCAAGCTACAAACACACAAGAGTAAGCCATAGTCAGTCTAAGGTCGAGGTACCAGTCAATTAGCATAGAAGGGATACACAGTAAAGCAAACCATGAGGTCAGTCCAAAGTTCCATAGCTAGGAAATCTGTAGCAAACACAGTCCAAGACATAATTCACAACCCACAACCAAAATCTGAGATTCAGTCCACCACACAAAGTCCAAGAAACACACATGGCCTCGAGGCTACAACTCAAACAAAAACGTTGCTGCCGGCAACTGACTGCCTCAACTGCCATGTATTTATGCTGGTCTCACAGCTGCTCCGAATTGCTGGTCAAACATCTGGACCTGCAAACTTGAATTTCTTCTGCTTAACCCTTTGTCTTCCAGCTCAGGGATCTGCCATTGTAGGTTCTACACTGTCCAACCAAGGGTGTTGTTACTCTTGATCTCTAGTCTGAGAAATGGTGGGTTCTTCACTATTTGGCTGGCGATGCTCCAGCTCAGATGCTAGGAGAGGGCAATCCTTCCTCATACTCATTGTCAGTGTTGGATACAATAGATCACGTCTTTCACTGTCAGGTTTTAATCACCTGCACAACTAACAAAATGTTGTTCCTTGTGCATACTGAGAATGAGACTGGAAGGAGGAGCAATCCACAGCCACCCTTCTGGGACAGGGAAGGGAAGGATTAGGAAGTGAAGAAGAGTTGTATCGGTTAAAGGAATTGAGTTAAATAATTTGTTAAGGTAGTATATGTTTGGTTTTGTTGAGGATTTAACATATGTTTAGTTTTAGTTGTTTGTGTTAGAAACCAATGGAAACAAAAAAAATGGACTCTTGAAGTCAGGTTGGCACATGGGATAACCCATCGGTGGTGGATTGCCCCTCTTGGCATTTCAGAATGAACCTTCACAGTAAGACCAATCTATCCATGTAGATAGGGCACTAAACTGGAAAATAGTGTCTGTCTAAGATACTGATATAGTAGTTTCATTATACACATGAGTTTCCTCATTCCTAAACACATTTCCTTTTGAAACACTGATGTAGAACAGTTAGAATATACACCCATAGTCTGCATATAGGTGGGAAACATATTTTGAGAAAGGACAGTAGAATGAAGAAGCATTCTTCTCAAACTCTGAACTCACAAAGCTAAGCTTCTACAAAATAAGTAGAACATGTTATCCAGATAGCTAACTGAGTGAGTGCAGTAATACAATAGCACAGGTGAAATGTTTTAGATCTCTTAAAGAGTAAAATGGCAATAATTACTGAGAAGGGGGAGAAGCTTGATTATCCATAGACATAAGTCTTTTGTTATAAAGATCTCCGTTTGGCACCATGTTTATTTATTTATTTATACACTTGTATACTGCTAATATCTCAGCCTAAGTCGGCGACTCATTGCGGTTTATTGCCTATGCTTTGGGATAGTTATGTACAGTTCATAGCATCATTGCACTCACAGGTATTGTGAGATTTTGGAATGCTATTTTGAACTCTGAGTAGCCATTCCATCACTACCAAATAAAATACCTCTGATTTGTTCTAATGCAAAGCAGCCTATAATAGTGTATATTCTCAGCTGTACTAGTGATAAAAAATGGCTTTCAAGATTTTTCATTTTGCTTTCTTTTCTCTGGATTGACTCTTCCACATCAATCACTAACCAGAGATACCTGGTTTCTTTTCGTTTTCTCCAGCTTTTCATGTTCCAACTTCTGCGAGCTTTGGCTTATATCCATGAACATCACATCCTTCATCGGGACCTGAAACCACAGAACTTGCTCCTCAGTTGCCATGGAGAGCTCAAGTTAGCTGACTTCGGTGAGTCATCACAGCCCGCCCCCAAGACATGGTTTCTGCAGATATCTAGATTTCTTATACCTATGAATACAAATCCACCAACTTTTCCTTTTGCTAAACTTGAGAGGAAAGAAATACATATATCTTTAGACTTCATTCTTCAGCTCTTTCTAACAAAGAATAAGTGTAGACCTCAATAATGACACATGAAGCTGGATTAAATCAACTGCTCCGGAGTGGTAATTTGCTTCAGATCCATGTGAGATAGATAGATAGATAGATAGATAGATAGATAGATAGATAGATAGATAATGTTTAGAAGCTGGTCCTAGACATCACTGACATGGCTCATGCTTTTTGTGTGATGGCTCCAGAGCAACTTTCTTGTTATCTCTGTTCAAGGAGGTTCAGGAGAAGGTGAAGGAGAACATTTTTCTTTGGGTCCTGGGAGAATTGCTGCCACTCAGAGTAGACAGTTCTGGGCTTCATAGACTAATGCTCTCACTCAGTTTATGACATCTTCCAGTGTTATTTGGGAGCGTAAGCTTAACCACCATTGTGGACTCAGCACTCTTTACTGTCTAGGATTTGATTCTCACACTTGTTCCATTTTAGGGGATAAATTATATGTTTGTTCATATACTTAAATATACATATTTGTTCCTCCATACTTCTGAAGCCACTTCAAGAAGGAGAAAACCAGAAGCTGCAATAATTATGAAATTATAAAAGAGGGTTCGGGCTAACACAAGCCTCAATTCTCACTCTTGAGAAAACACAGTATTCATCATGCAATCAGCCAAATTATGATATTAAATCTGTTGGTGAAAGTTGTGGTAGGTGATCAGCCAGTCACAAGAACTTACCCAGTGATGTCAGCTACCAAAAAACTAAATCTGAATATTGAGCAAAATACTGGCATCTCATCTTACAAACTATTCAATTAAGATTTATAATTGCATTGTTAGCTTCTTTTTGGTCCACCTTCCAAGCTTTTCTAACACATATATCTCTCACTTGTGCTTCAATTGCCTTATTTATTAAAGGTAAAGGTTTCCCCCTGACATTAAGTCCAGTCGTGACCAATTCTGGGGTGTGGTGCTCATCTCCATTTCTAAGCTGTAGAAATGGAGATGAGCATTGTCTGTAGACACCTCATAGGTCATGTGGCCAGCATGACTGCATGGAGCGTCGTTACCTTCCTGCCGGAGTGGTACCTATTGATCTACTCACATTTGTATGGTTGGCAAAAGCTGTGGCTGACAGCGGAAGCTCACGCCGCTCCCCAGATTCGAACCTGCGACCTTTCGGTCAACAAGCTTAGCAGCTCAGTGGTTTAACCCACTGCGCCACTGGGTTAAACCAGCTCAATAAATAGTAAGGTTAACAGGAGATGGGAATAATGCAGAATTCCAGATGTTGTTGAATTACATCTCCCTTACCATTGACTATGTTAGATTGGGTTTCTCAGAGTTCTACTTCTTTGTGGTCTCTGAGACTTGCATATAAACACAACTTGCAATTAAACACAATGTTTAATTCTCTGTGTCTGTTCAGACCATCTTCGGAAATTTCTAGCACTAAATCTCTTTGGTTGATTCCCCCCTCCGCTCCATGCACTTGCTCAGTATGGTTCCAGAAAAGGTCCCTCAGTACTCTTTTATCCGCCCCCTCAGATACATCATAGGAAACTTCATAGCTACTCTTCCTTACCTTGTCCTATTTTAAAATTCTTCTCCAGTTTAAGTATAAACAGTATACTTTGCAATGGTTCTCAACCTGTGAGTCCCCTGGTGTTTTGGCTTACAACTCCCAGAAATCCCAGCCAGTTTACCAGATGTTGGGATTTCTGAGAGTTGTAGGCCAAACCATCTGGGGACCCACAGCTTGAGAACCACTGCTTTAAAGGATATGTGCCACCAGGTCTGTAAGAACAGGTTTCGCATCTTAAAGCCCTTCTCTGGACTATCAAAACAACTGGTTTTGTTGTGCCCCATTCTAAAGTGCGCTGGTCATAGACCGTAATAAATAATTGATTGATTGGTTCAACTGGTTTTGTTACCTCAAATAGTTCTTTTCAGTACTATTAGCTTCATCATATACTGTGCCAATGAATTGTGCTAGTACCAACAAAACATCCATCACTTATTAGGAAACCTTGGCATCGTCAAATTTGGGTACAGTTTAGCCTAGCTTGAAATCATTTGGCATCACAAAAATATATGCAGGCTGCCTATGCGGTTTCTCCTGCTCTTAAGAAATAGAAGAATCTTTCTGTTCATTCTTCAGTTCCTAAGAATAAATCCAAGCCTGTCTATGTATCACTGGTTTATCCAAATGTTTAGGACATGCTATTAGTGCCTCGCAACTTCGGACTGATCATAGAATCATAGAATCATAGAATCAAAGAGTTGGAAAAGACCTCATGGGCCATCCCGTCCAACCCCCTGCCAAGAAGCAGGAATATTGCATTCAAATCACCCCTGACAGATGGCCATCCAGCCTCTGTTTAAAAGCTTCCAAAGAAGGAGCCTCCACCACACTCTGGGGCAGAGAGTTCCACTGCTGAACGGCTCTCACAGTCAGGAAGTTCTTCCTCATGTTCAGATGGAATCTCCTCTCTTGTAGTTTGAAGCCATTGTTCCGCGTCCTAGTCTCCAAGGAAGCAGAAAACAAGCTTGCTCCCTCCTCCCTGTGGATTCCTCTCACATATTTATACATGGCTATGTGAGAGGAAGCCACAGGGAGGAGGGAGCAAGCTTGTTTTCTGCTTCCCTGGAGACTAGGTGATACCCTGATGATACCATGTTTTCTGGTTCTTCCAGAAAATGTTATTTTATGACTGTTTTTTAATGTATTTTGATGATGTTGTTGTTTGTTGTTTATGCTTCGATTTTATTGCTGTAATATGGCCCCATGTAAGCTGCTCTGAGTCCCCACTGGGGAGATGGTGGCGGGGTATAAATAAAGTTTTTTATTATTATTATTATTATTATTATTATTATTATTATTATTATTATTTATTGCTCTTAGCCCTGATGAAGACAGGGCTAAGAGCAATGGACGCGGAACAATGGCTTCAAACTACAAGAGAGGAGATTCCATCTGAACATTAGGAAGAACTTCCTGACTGTGAGAGCCGTTCAGCAGTGGAACTCTCTGCCCCGGAGTGTGGTGGAGGCTCCTTCTTTGGAAGCTTTTAAGCAGAGGCTGGATGGCCATTTGTCAGGGGTGATTTGAATGCAATATTCCTGCTTCTTGGCAGGGGGTTGGACTGGATGGCCCATGAGGTCTCTTCCAACTCTTTGATTCTATGATTCTATGATTCTATGACAGTCCCAGTGCACTCCCTGGCCAGAAAGACAGAATTCAGACCATTGAATTCTGTAAGGTCAATGGCTTTCTTGATGTCTAAAAAAATGAATCAGTTTTCTATCTTACTGCATTTTATTTCAATGCTTTCCCCTCTTATTTCCGTTATTCTTCAGTTGCTCCACAATCCGAACTCTCCAGTTGCTTATCAGAATTTTTTTGTTAGATTTTATTTATTTATTGTGTCAGGAGCGAACCAAAACAGTTGTATTGCATTAAAACAAACAAGGAAACAAACAAAACACAACGTTTGCAGGCTTGATATTCTATTAAATGTCCTTTGACCAGTATCTGGCCACTTGGAGTGCCTCTGGTGTTGCCGCAAGAAGGTCCTCCATTGTGCATGTGGCAGGGCTCAGGTTGCATTGCGGTAGATGGTCTGTGGTTTGCTCTTCTCCACACTTGCTTCTCCACACTTTTGTTAGATACCTAATATATTCTCTCTTTCACTATTCAAGACAGCAATGATCCAGCAAGAGCTACTAGCTACTAGCAGTGCCATGTGACACATTTGTCCAGTCATAACCTTTCTCCTTAGGGATGTTCAATGTATTGTCGAAGGCTTTCATGGCTGGAATCACTAGGTTCTTGTGGGTTTTTTCGGGCTATAGGGCCATGTTCTAGAGGCATTTCTCCTGACGTTTCGCCTGCACCTATGGCAAGCATCCTCAGAGGTAGTGACGTTTCCTGACATTTCACCTGCATCTATGGCAAGCATCCTCACAAGAACCTAGTTTCTCCTTAGGCTTTCTTATTTCATGAGTCTGCCAAAAGAGCTGTCCACTCTAATGAATGCTAATGTTTTTAAATTCTCTAACTCATATACAGAAGTAGCTTTGGTCTTAATTGGAGATCTAATGAGATGGGAAAAAACTAATCAGTTTATAACACAATAAATTAATAAGGCAGTTTTTTCTGAACTTTGTTCATATGTGACACACTTAATATACATAATAGTGTGAGTATTTATTTCATTGACATGTTTGATTACTCCGGTCCATCATTTTGAATATTTGTCTTTATGAGAACATACATTATTTTGAAGTCATGTATGATTTAAAATAACTAATTCCCCCATCTATCTTGGTAGGTCTAGCTCGTGCCAAGACTCTTCCCAGACAAACATATTCGGCTGAGGTGGTGACACTTGGATACCGCCCTCCTGATGTGCTGCTAGGAGCCACTGATTATTCTTCTGATATTGATATATGGTGAGAGTTAACTTTGGAACATTTGAGAAAAAACATTTGAGAGAAATTGGATACAGTATTTTTTCTTTCCACTTTCAATCAAATTCAGAGATCAGAAGGACACTGCGAGAGGGCTTTTGGGAAGCAACAATATGTCAATTGAATGACACCAAAATTAAGTTTGGAATCATGATATCAGAAGTAGGTTCCGTTGGCTATTAAAAATTACTCAGCTCTGTGATTTAAGTTGGAAACAGGATTTGCTGAGTTTTGCCTGATTTCACTAGTGTCTCACCTCAATATTTAATTTTAATTGTGTCCTAAGATGAAATGGAATGATTGACTTTGAAAAGTCCTGTCTTCTGAAACCAGTATCCAAATGTGGATTATCCCATACAGTTAGTTTAGCATATAGAAAGAATTGTAATTGAAAAGAGTCACACTGGTAGCAGATATCAGCAGAAACCACCATCTTGTTCTTCCTCAAATGAATAGAACCTAAGACAGTCCATTAAATTTTTCCCCCAAGTTCTTTAAGGAAGAAGCACCTGAATTAGACTGTGTTTGCCAGTCAAAAGATATACCTTATGATACAATTCCAATCTGGAAAATTTAATCCACCTCCAAAAATTCAGATCATAAACAAAAACCCTTCAAGGTCACAAAAATAAATCACAAGTTACTACTGTCAGAATTTTGTTCCCCAAATAATTTTGGCTCCAAATTTGATCCATAATCAGATCTTACACATTACCATTGTCCCCTTTAGAGACATAGTGCTCTCCTTATATTACCCCCCAGGTCCAAATCCTGTTCATTTTCCTTTAGCACTTTATCAATCAATCCTATCCTTTGGCAAGTGATTTGCACCAGTTGCCCGTCCAAACTCAGTACAGTACACTATTCAGACTATTGAAGGTTGCTAGATGTTTGCTACATATTGTATCCTGTGGTTGTTTTATATTGTTTGAAATGTTTTTTATGATTTTTGTTGTTATATTTTAACAGTGTTGAAATTTGGGGAGATGGAAGCAGGATACAATAATAATAATAATAATAATAATAATAATAATAATAATAATAATAATAAATATTTTAATTAAATCTCAACAAAAAACATACATCATCCAAAAGGACAAAGAAAAAGCATGCATTTAAGCCAAACAAACATAACATAATCCAATAAAATAATAACAATAAATACACTACTTCAGTGCCTTATCTAGACATTCTTCCTTTCTGCATTATATTTCTGACTGAATGAATAACCACTTTTTTTCCTCCAGGGGTGCAGGCTGCATATTTGTTGAAATGCTTCAAGGTCAACCATTGTTTCCAGGAGTTTCCAACACCCTTGAACAGTTGAAGAAGATCTGGATGGTGAGTCTAATGACACATTTGAAAACTGCAATGAAAATTATTGGTGCATGCAACAGAAAAGGAAAATTTGACTGATATTCGATATTCCCTGGGTTCAAACCTACGAACTGTTAACCCAGTGCTCCTGTCTTACTGGATAATACCCAACAAGACCATTAGAGATCAGTGAGACAAGTGTTTTTCACATGACTATCTGATTGTTTTCAATGAGTTTCTATTACTTATTTCACAGAGTGAGGGCTCCCCTGTTAGGTAAATAGTTCAGAGCATTTCTGTAGCCTATAAGAAAAGGGGGAAAAACCCACCAAGAAACCTTACCCTTGAGTTGTAATGTTTTGCATGATATTGTTGAGTCGATAAGAGAAATAATCTTTTATATCTTGTTTTCTCTTTCTGAACTGATAGCAAGCTGGCAACAGGGAAGTGGGGACACAAACAACTTTAACTCCTCTGTTTAAATAAACTGGCATTTAATCCTGACTGTGACTGTATTTGAAACAGGAAAGATCTCCATGCACTGCCTCACTATCTATCTATCTATCTATCTATCTATCTATCTATCTATCTATCTATCTTGGAAAACAGTACACTGAGAAGGCAGGGGGCGGGGGCGGTGAAGGAAAGTGAACAGATATATGTGAATAATGATCCCTGCATTCAGAGTTCGTTAGTACACTTCTAAATGAAAACCATGCCATTCCTAAGGCAAACAATACACAGAAGAACTGGGTACTGTATTTTTCATTCAGCTAGCAACCAAAAGGTTGCTTGTGGGTATCTCATCTTTATTCAGGCAGATTTATTTGCTTGAGGACAGATTCTCAAGGTGGACTAATCAGGATCGGGTTTTCTTGAGGCCCAGCCTGTCTTTGCATCGAGCCTTGGATTGTTTTTGAACACCTGTCAGAAGATCCGTTTACTACCTATTCCCTTTCATCTCAAAACAGCAGGGGTCTCTCTCACAGCCACGGTGTACAACTTCTGAATGCCTATCATTTGAGCAAGCTACTGTCGGGAGTCACTCATCAGCTTTCTAGGGGAGCACCTTAGGTGTAAATAAGCCTGTGCAGTGGTTTTGACAACTGCTGACACATTGGAAATGGCACTTGCTGGCGCAGTCACTCAAACACATTTGTACGCCCTCCTCTCATGGCACGAAAACATCTCTAGGTTCCTTTTCGGGAATTTAACAGATATTAGAGCCTGATTTGGTGCGTAAATGTATTCAGAGGAGACATTAATTTATGTATTTTGCTTTGTACAGGTATTGGGAGTGCCAACAGAGGAAACATGGCCAGGAGTTTCCAAGCTTCAGCATTATAAACCAGGTATGATCTTTCTGGCTGTGTCTTCAAATAGTATGCGCACTAGAAATGTTCCTTAGAGCAACTTTCCACATGGTTGTACCCTAACATTAACAATCCTTGTTAGATGTGTTGTTGAAGGCTTTCATGGCTGGAATTACTGGATTGCTGTGAGTTTCCCGGGCTGTATGGCCATGCATTCCTGACGTTTCACCCACATCTATGGCAGGTATCCTCTCCAGAAGAGAATGTTTCTGGAACATGGGCATGCAGCCTGGAAATCTTGACCATACAGCCCGGAAATCACAACCTCTGAGGATGTGGGTGAAATGTCAGGAGAGAATGCTTCTGGAACATGGTCATACAGCCATGTTACATCCTTGTTAGATTTTAAGGTCAAAAACTGCCATCTGGAAAGGAGTCCAATGGTATGCAAGAGTAGGATGAGGACTGCAGAACACTATGAATATTAAAGTTTGCTGGCAGCCCAAGGCTTTTCTCCCCATTTCTATGCCATTTCGACTCCATCTAAGCCCCGTCTAAGCCCCTGACTTCCTCTTCCCTCAAAGATACTCTACTTGGGTCTTTCTCGCAGCTCTGCATTCAACTCTTTTCTTTCGCAAACCTAATGTTTTCTGTGATTTGCTTTCGACTCCTCTCCAACCAATTCCCATTCTTTCCTTTGGAGAGATATTTCATTTGTCCATTCCAAAACACATCTTGTGTCTTGTGCCCTCTTAAGTTCCTTTCCTAAAATCAGTTCTGGTTGCTACTTCCTCTCTCTACTGCCTCCTTCCACAACCTTCATTTTGAGCTAAATGCACCCAAGTTCACTTTTGCTGCTTTTCAGCTATCGTTCTCTTTTCCACTCAGAATGACAAGCCTTCCTGTGAATGATCACATGGTGGAAGTTTAGGATTGTTTAAGTTAGGATAGTAGAAGTATTACTATCCTGACTAATAATAATAAAACTTTATTTATACTCTGCCACCATCTCCCCAAGGGGACTTGGGGCGGCTTACATGAGGCCAAGCCCAGCAATACAATATATAAATATACATCAGAACACAACAATAAAATATAAAGAAAATAAAAATACAATACAAAACCATTATAAATAACACATCAAACAAAATAAATCGCAACATTTAAAACACAGAATCGATCACAGTGGGCAGGGCCGGTTCCAATAGATTAAAAAATTAAAACACTGAGTGAGACAGCAGTGTAATGCATCTGGACAGGGGATCCGGAGGATAAAGTAGGGTTTGATTGTACTGACGGGTAAAATAAAGTGCTTCCGAGGGCCTTTTGCAAGAACTGGTCAGGCCAGGGAATTATTGTTCATTCATTCATTGAAGGCACACTGGAACAGCCAAGTTTTCAAGCTCTTCCTGAAGACTGCCAGAGTGGGGGCTTGTCTAATATCTCTGGGGAGCAAGTTCCAGAGCTGAGGGGCCACCACAGAGAAGGTCCTCTCCCTCGTCCCCACAAGTCGCACTTGCGATGGGGCGGGGGAGCGAGAGAAGGGCCTCTCTGGAAGATTGAAGAGATTGCGTAGGTTCGTAAACGGAGATGCGGTCACACAGGTAGGCGGGTCCCAAACCGTTCAGGGCATTGTAGGTAAGAACCTGCACCTTGAATTGGGACCGGAAAATAAACGGCAGCCAGTGGAGCTCCTTAAACAGCGGGGTTGACCGAGTACATTTTCTGCCCTTTCAATCAGCTACACAACTCAACTCTTGTACTTAAGCACTCTAATGTCAACAAAAAATCCTTGTGTAAGAAATGAACAAGAAGTGAACAGGTGGGTACAACAAACTGAAGACCAGCACAGACATGGTATAATATTTGGTCTTCGGAGTATGTGTATTAGACAGAGAGATCACGCACAAAGCTTTTGTCTTTATTTTATAGTGCTGTAGGCTATATTTCAGAGGAAGGAATGGGCAAAACCACCACTAATTCTTACCTAAGAAAACCCTGTGAAATTCATGGGGCTGCTATCAATCTACAGGCAACGTGAAGGCATGTACACCCACATACTCCACACCATTTTCTATAGAACAGACAACAGTTACGTGATTTCATTGTCCTGAAGAGGTGTTGTAAGGTCCCTCATATCTTTACTGTGGGCAGGGTGATCAAGCATGTGTGCATGCATGAGCGCAAGTGTATGAGAGGTATTAAGAAAGAGAGAGCGCACAGACACACATGTGATTTATAAAGCACATTTCTTTTATTCCCCTGCAGACTGGGTGAGAATTCTGTGTCCTGAACTTCAAAGGGCCAGTTGTCTCTTATTTTGATGTGGGCAGATTGAGAAGTTCGCTTTGAAAAGCAGCCTTTCTTTCCCCTTTCCTTTCCATTCCTCTTCACCCCCCCCCCCCCACTTCCAACCCCCTTTTTTGTTTAATGTTTTCTCAGGGGATATCTTTCAGAGCAGTACACCCAAGTGTCAGAGAGGGTGGGGTGGGGAAATGATCAACACCAATCCTCAACCTCTCAGCAGGATCATTCTCTGGAAAAAAAAATATGAAAGTGAAATATTAAAAACCCTGAAACGTGAAATCCATCCACCTGCTTATTAGCCGGTGTGCCTTGCTTGCTCTTGGAGAGGGGGCAAGATCTGTCTAGAAAGCAGGAGAGGCAAGGGGAGCGTGGGAGTGCGGGAGGGAGTGGGGAAGGCTTTCAGCCCAAGGTTTACAGGTTTCGCAGCGCATAGTAACATCTCTTCAAAGAAGTGGGTGTTGCTCTTCGACTTGCTCCAAACTGCCCTCTTTTGGCGTCAGTGCTTGAAAACTAAACGTCTCTTATTTTCACATGTTGGTCATGATTGGCCCAACAATAACCCGAACTTGCTTTGTAAAGGGAAGGAATCTTTTACACAATTAGCTGAGACTCATTAATCAAACCGGCGTGAAATGAGAATGTGCCGCCTCATTCTGCCGATGAGGGGTATATATGCTGGTCCACTGTAGTTGTGAGAATCATAGAATAATAGAGTTGGAGGACACATGGGCCATCTAGTCCAACCCTCTGCCATGCAGGAAAAGCAAACAATATTGCAGGATTGTTGCAGATGTTAGGGGTTGTTGTGTACATTCCAAAAACAAAAAGTCAAGTACTCTGGAAATGGAAAAACACAGCCTGCAAAAAATTAAATTTCCCCCTTTTTTTGTAGGCAAACAATATGTTTGGAAAGGCAGCACCAGAAGGCTTTCTCCTATTCATTACTTTTCAGAAAAGTGCCTTGATTGATACAGGACAATATTCAGGATCTAATGAAATGGTTAAAGAAACTAGTTTTTAAAAGATCATAAACTGTTAGGCCAAGGAGGAATAATGTGGTTTGCTAATGGTGTCCTACTCTCGGTCCCGCCTTCGTCACAAGTACATTAAGCGGGGACGAGAGACAGGGCCTTCTCAGTGGTGGCCCCTCGGCTATGGAACACCCTGCCTAGGGAGATCAGCTCTGCTCCCTCACTCTTAACATTTCATAGGCAAGTAAAAACATGGCTGTTTGAGCAAGTGTTCACAAATGCAGAGTAGCTAACATAGGAAATTAAATGACTTGACAATAGAACTGGACAAAGCTTGAAAATAAGGAGACGCTAATGATGTTGTTTTTATTGCTCTTGTGGTGTTTTATACTGTTTAATGTCTTAATTTATATTATGTTTTATGTGTACTGATTTGTTGGAAACCGCCTTGAGTTGCCGATCGGCTGAGAAAGGTGGTATACAAATATAGTAAATGAATAATAAATACCGCTCTGGCGGGAAGGTAATGGCACTCCATGCAGTCATGCTGGCCACATGACCTTGGAAGTGTCTACGGACAATGCCGGCTCTTTGGCTTAGCAATGGAGATGAGCACCAACCCCCAAGAGTCGGACACGATTGGACTTAATGTCAGGGGACAACCTTTACCTTTACCTACATTCAAAAGAACACTAGCAACCTCTACAGTCTTTCTACCTGATGAAAGTGGAAAAACTGGGAATATCTGGGTGGTGGGGGGGGGGGGGGGGGGGGGGGGGGGGACGGGACTGCCTAGTGTAGTCTCAGGGCAAAAGAGGAGCTAGCCTCACACACCTGTAGGTTCTGAATCCTTTTCCTCTTCCTGTGTGCCACAAGTTTTTGGCACGTGGCCCTGATTATTTCTGTATAGCCTTGCAACGGCATAGTTAAAAGAACAGGTAATGAGCCACAGATGACTTCAAAGTGAATGGCTTGTACATGAGGCTGACTGCATATGTGAATTCAGAGCAAGAGTCCCTGGGATACTTCTCACCTATTCTTTGCTTAACTGTTACAGCAGGGAGGAAGAGCCAGAGTTTACCCACCCTTGAACTGTTGGTGGTGTTCCCCTAGGCAAGCAGTTGGCTGTTGTGTGAACAGAATGCTGGACTAGGTAGACCCTTTAATCTTGGGCTGGAGAGGCCCTAGAGTCTGCCCGGTCTGCTTATTTTTCAGATCCCTCAGTATCTGCAGAAGCGCAAGCAATACTTTTGCTTTGTGCTTGTTCATTTGCTTGGGAGACCTTAATTTGCTGCTCCTCAAAGCAGTTCTGAACTGTTAATGCAATTTTTTTCAAAGCTCTCATGCTGGGTAAGCTTAAATCCTTGCATTAATCTACTGCTGTGTTTGTTTCACCATGCTGAAAAGTAAGACATTTAAATCCCCTCTCAATTCCACTCATGTTCCCAGAGGCGAGTATCTTGATCTTTTTCTGGATATGTTAGAAGCAAACAAGTTAGAATTCAGATACCTGGGGTCAAGGATAGGAAAGGATTACGGAGAACAGAACATGGAACTAATTGCTGTTCCAGCAAAAATTAAATTGCCTCCTGCTGTGTTGAGGATTTAGGTTGCCTGGTTTAAAATTTGTAACACCTCCAAACATGCAATACGGAGCAGTGATTTGACGTGGCTGCAAGGACACCGCAGTTTGTAAAGGTTGTGTCATCTGTTTGAATGGATGTGGATACCACGACAAATGGATTCACTTTGAAGTGAATG